TTTGCCCAGATGGAAGGTGGTCAAGAAACATATAGACGGGTGTTCATAGGCGGCGTTGCTAGTGTTGATCTGAATAATTATCTATACTTAAGTGAAAGGGGTTTCAGGTTCAAGTTCCGCTCAAGTTCCGCGATTTCAGTAAGTTGGGGGAATATATGACCACGATCGCAAACTATTTCCACATTTTGGAATGATCCTATACGGCTTCGGGATATCTCTGGGTTGCAGATTTGTCCATTCCTTCACGGCGTGGTCCATGATGGTGTTATCTCCGTCGTATCTTCCCAATGTGCCATTTCAATTTCTGTTGGCCGCAGATTCTGGGTCCCATTTGACGACCTCATGGATCTTTTGCGGTATCCTACTCTCCATCGTATCAATAAACAAGACCTCCATTGACGGGAGATATTTGAAGCCTGAGAGAAGTGCTTCTGTTAGCCAAATCGAGGGACGAAAGACTTGATTCGATTGAGTATTCGATGGATCTTCTGAGCTCAGCTTCCGTCACGATATCTTTGTACTGGGAACCCGACGTACATGGGTAGAACTAAAAGATTCCGAGTTTCGCATGCCGTTATACCAGCATGTTTCCAGCCGGGCTCAAGAATCCTTTCAAACTCACCTGGGGATGAGCATATGTTGAAATTGTGTCGGGTTTGGTGTCTTCACAAGGTTATTCGAGGGCCCACAGTTCGCGCGGCTTTGCAGAGCCGGAGGCCGGTATCGTTTGATCGCTGGGTTGCAGCTGCGATGCACTCGGCACTCGCTTGATGCGGGTTACTGCAAACACCGGCAGAGTGGCGTCAGGGGTCCCTGTTTAAGCAGCGTCTACGGGCATTAGTAACGGCCACTAGGACAGATGTAACATGGGAATTTATGAGCGATCGGTATGGCTTCAACGTCAAGTCCTCCATTATCTTTCTTTTAGATATCATTTTTGACTTATTTCTGGGTATGTTTCCTTGGAAGTGTCTCCTGGGGCCTTTAAACGTGCCCAAGGCCTTTACTACATAATCTACTGCTATACGAAAGCAGGCTATATCATTGTGTCCCGGTAACCTATATCAGGCCCGTAACGGTCTCATAAACCCCTTCACTGCAGGAATTGATGGGACCACGGCCATCCAGAAGAAGGCATGCCAACGATAACCTACACGCGACCTTCCTCAATTGATGATTATCTTCTCATTTCACATTGCTTATTTCACGACCCTGCATCACCTAACAAAATTTCTTACCCCGGTATGCCATCCCCAATTGAAATACCCTCTCACAAAGTCAAAAATGAGAAATTGGCTTCATGGGGCTATCTGATATACTGTACCACCTGCAACCCCGATCTTCTCTTCGATGGCGCATCGGTAGATTCCATTTGTGCATATTTCGATACCAAAGATACGTGAGGATTCTATCAAGTATCATATGTATATTGCGGTTGATGAAAAATGTCTGCAGAGGCTAATGGGTGCTCCGCTAGCGGCAGAGTTCCCGAATCGGAAGATGGGCGCTTTACATATTGGGAAGGTAGTGGAGGTCTGCCCGGATGTTGACAAGTATATCGATTTTCAAGGCTGAATGAGGCGCTCAATCAATTCATTGTGAGAGCCGTGGAAGATTATGGTGGTTGGGGGGTCAGATTCATGCTTTGTTCATCTATCTATACCTGGTGGCTCATGTCTCTTCCGGAATTCGAGAAAGCGTCCATCGGGATTAAACCCTCAATGGGAGAGAACTGGAATTGAACGGCCTGGGGAGCGGTAAAGCAATTGAATTAGTGCCGAGGCTGCACATGTGTGTTACTCGAATCAACAGTGGAATGAACAATGGTTTTCATTTCGCCAAAGAATATAAGGTTTGAAAAAGGGTTGTGTGGATCTAATTCGTTTTCGGTAGGTCGTCCCAATACCAATTGAGTTGGCGGACGGGTCGATTTTCAATCACCCTCAAACCTCCTATTTTCATTCAATGTCCACGTGGATTATAACCCCTACCGGGGCTTCTCTTGTACGTTCACGCGACAGCTGCCCGAGTGGATCGTCTTGATCAAATCTTCCGTAATAGACTTTTGCGGTCGGGTTTGGTTTGAGTGAAACCCGCCCCAGGAATGAGTGGGCCAGCCACGAAAAAGGGTCCTTGGTAGAGCATTGCTGCCTGGAGGCTGTTATCCTGCGTGACACCCATTAATGACAAGCACAATTTGATGAAATCTGCTTGCGCGGGCGGAATCTGAAAAGGGTCTTTGGTTCACACGGCCTCCAAAGATAATCCCGAGCTCGTATGTTGGCACCGCAGTCCGAACGGTACTTAGTCCACGAGGCTGTCGAGAATTGGGCACGGATGGATGGTCAATTGCCTGGCAAATGCGCTGTTTTTTCGTTCTCTCAATTGTATCCGACATTGAATCCCCGCGTGTTTTCGTTCCTCGCCAGAAATAGATTCATCCGTGGGAGAAGAAGTCGAGATGATCCTCAGGGTTCTGTCACATGTGGCCGTTTCCATGGTCCCCACCAACACCGGCAATTTCCAATTCAATCACCAAATCCCGCCGTGAAAACCGAACTCCTTATCTTTGAGACATACGTCGTGGACCGCGGACGAGTTGGCCCACCCGTCATCATCTAGACATGGAATTCCCTTATCTGCATTTCCAAAGGCACACCCCCGTCAGTGGCGACTGGTCAGTAGCAGGGCTACGAAGCCGATTATGTCATTTCGTTCAAGGATTGAAGGCGCCCCTGCAGTCACGGCTTAAATGGCTTGACGGACTCGGGTGGAAACCAGAAAGGGAATAGGAGAAATCTTATCCGCCAATGATCAAGTAGACCGGGGATATAGCCTCATCCAACCACGGCGCCCCATCTCTTCCCGGAATACCGTGATTGGAAGGGTACCTGTGTTGTTCGGTGATCATTGGTCCGATCAGCGTGAGCGAAGCTTGGCCTGTTACATCCGAAGTGATGGCCTGCATAAGCGTACTCGGCGCCCAGCTGTAGCCATCCTCAAATGTCCCAGGCCCTCGAGATCCTCTTTGACAGCAAATGCCGCACCCTGCACAAGGTCGATTCCCCGCCTTATCCACACGTTTCTCTTATCTACACGTTTCCAGTGGGTCGTAGCTGGGGTCCGCAGGTTCAAGATCGGAAGGGATACGAAGAGCACACGGGCGCACGTCTCGGGCCACTCCACTGGCCATTGCTTGAGTTCAACTCAAGGCGTCAAATCCCAGCTTGGCGAAAGTCATGGTCTGTCGATCGCGTTTCCCCGTGTTAGACATAGAAGACCCCGTTGATCCCGCTGATCCCGTTGATCCCGAAGAAACCGACGAAACAGAGTATGGCGTTTAGGCCGCCGAACCTGTTCAAGTCGTATGGTCTAGATCTCCTTCGTGAACCTGCAATGTGGATAGATTCATGCTCAACAGCCCCCCGGCCCCCCTGCTCGATGGAGAATTACCCCGGAATTTGCCACGGGAGGACAGCCACGGCCTTTCACAGTAGCGCATCCATCGGATTCTGACCGCTTCTTCGATCGAGCTCCCGTGCTGGGATGCTAGCATTACGCTACGTCTCGAACGGGCAGGCACTAAGGTCTCTGCAGGGTCACTTATATTGCACTTGGTAATTAAGTGGAGCCAAGCTGTGGAGATGCAAGAAGCGAACCTCGGACGGAATGTCCCATCTCGCAAGGTCACTCAGCACCACTCAGCAACCGCGATTGAAAAAGACTTTCCGCGGCCTCTTGATTCGCGTTTCGAGCTAAATAGCCAGTCGGTTCCGATCCACCGCCATTGAGCCTGGACGCATCGGGGGGCAAAAATGCCAACTTCGGTCGATCAGTCGAGAGTATAACTTATTCCCGAAGTATTTCCAAAGTTTCCAGGCGGCGACAGCGGGTAACGATTGCCATTGCTGCCTGCCAAGGGAGCCCTCGGGCGACACTTGCTGGACCGTGCTCTCCCTAGAGTTCGTCAATGGGCGCTAGTTCTCACTGCACTCCTCGATTCGATATCGAGTCTGGTCGCTAAGGATAAAGCTAGCAGGGGCCCATGCAATACCCGGGTAGAGATCCGGCGTTAGCCGGGCCCAGAAAGTTACAATGTCGCATTGCTTCGAACACCCCTGGCCACCACTCACTGATTAGCCTGGGGAAGCCCTTTCAGCCGACAGATTGCTGCGGGACATTTGCACATGCTCGACAAATTTCCCGAGCCTTGTTCTTTCTTTTGTTCTTCTCCACTTCCGTGCCTATCCACGACCCACCTCACGATAGGATATCAACCCCACTTCGCACGATCGATTCGGACGGTGCCAGGATTTGGGGGAATTAACCAATTGCCTATACAGTAGCGCCATGTATGTAGAACGGTTCGGAGATTTCCGGCATTCCCAACTTCCCGTCCTCTTACACAAAAGAATGGCGAAAGGAGTAGATAAGACCGGCAGGGGGAAGTTCACGATAAGGCCAAGGATGGCTTTTAGCGAAGACCGAAGCAGAATGGGGGCTACGGGCTACTTTCCAACCCCTCACGGAACGTTTCTAGACGGCTGACACCGGCGAAGTTGTCAAGAGGGGGTCAGCGAAGCAGCCAATACGCGCCTATCAACCCCTCTCTTTCCAGAAAGTCTGCAGCAAAGCATGGTCATCGCTACCTTTCTAGAAGCCTGGTACAGAAGGTTCGGATTGGTGGATGCCTGCGATTACCCCAGGTCCGCTGCGAGTGGATCACGTACCTGCGCACGGCGGAGTCGATATCGTCACTAAGTAGTCGCTTGTCGCAATTGGCTACCACCGCCTGCTCTGCTATCTGTTATAAGCCTTGCTCTCTCCACCTGGCCCTCAATGATCTCCATAAATTTGAAACTCGGCGAGAAAGGGTCCAACCGTTGAGTTCTCGTTCTTCGCCACTAATTACACCTCAGCCTCCCCCCCCCTTATTCACTCTCCGGGTTGTCCGAATAAATGTTTTCCTAAAGATCTGACCTGATTACCATCCGATCGCCATGACGCGCACCGAGCCTGCCCATAGCAGCATGTCGTGGGAGACCAAAAGTATTGCTGCTACTGATGATGGCAACCGAATTGAGTCGGTCGGCCAAGATCCTCGGCCAAGAGGACGAATCCGCCGGTCGATGACCGCGTGCAATACGTGTCGCAAGCTGAAGACCCGCTGCGATTTGGATCCGCGTGGCCATGCATGCCGTCGCTGCCTTTCACTCAGGTTTGTAACACCTTCCGTTTCATCCCCCGGGACGGTCATGGTCGCGTGAACGGTCACTGTTCTTTCGTTCGGGAGCCGCCGAAGTCCTCGACGATCAGCATCCTACGATCAGCGCTGATGGCCCGTTGTACATGACGCTAACTCCTTGAAAGACTCGAATGTGAACTACCGGAAACCCAAGATCGTTTCTTCCAGGACAATGCGTCGACATGGTCCGAAGCTAATGCCGCCATTCCCTCTATTGAAGAGCGGCTTGTCTCACTGGAACGCGGCATGGGCGAAATGATACATCTGATGCGGCAGATGGTAAATCAACCGTCCAACGCCTCCGGCAGTCCAAGTTCCTTTGCAGGTCGGGGCTTGGATGAAACGTCCAACGAGAATAATGGCCCGGTGCCCTCGTTCTCGCTCAAGCCCGTTCAACTCATTAGAGACCTGCAGATCGAATGCTTTAACGGACGAGAGAACTTCCCCACCGATGTCGATCTCCTGGGCGACATCGTTTCCCAGGGAATCATAGATGCCAAACTATCTTTGAAACTTATTGAACTGTATGTGTTCCGTGAACCTTGGGTTGATGACTTGGCTAACGATGCGTGCAGCTTTGTGGAGTACTTTAGTCCGTGGGTGTCAATAGATCTTTCATCTGGCATCCAGCGGACGGATACTCTTCTTTTCAACACTGCCTGTCTACTTGCTTCTCGATACCTGCCCGGCATGCCTTCAAACACCGTCCATGAAATCTCCCTTCAAGTGCAGCATGCCGTAACCAAAGCGATGTGGCGAAAAACGCCCTTGTCCAATGAATGCCTCCAGGCACTGGCACTTCTCTGTCTATATCCTACGTCCGGCCACAAGGAGGGATTCATGGACGGCTGGTTGTTGAGCGGGATCTCAATCAACCACGCCTTACTTTCTTTCTCTTTTCTCAACCAACCATCTAATAATAAAAGCCTTTTGAGCGACGAGATGCTTTCTCAACTGCGTCTCTGGAACACATTCTGTCTTACCCATTTACAGTATGTCTAACCCAATCTGATGAACGGACTTTACTAACCAAAACCCCAGTTCTGCCCTCGGCTATGGCCGTGCCATCAATGTGCAGCCACAATACCTCGATCACTGCGTTCGCATTCTGGATCATCCCAGAGCCACCTCTGAAGATGGAAGAATCCTCGCAGAGATTCAACTCTACCGAATTGCATTGAAACTCCAAAATAACCCTCAACGGCTCCGTTTCGCCGAGCCCGAATACGAGGAGATTGAACGCTGGAAAGTGGAATGGGCTCACCTGCTCAGTACGTCCGTCCAAACTCCAACACCGTTCCAAGTATCTAACCAAATCACAGCCAACGAAGGCCAATCGACCCTCGAACTAAGCCTCTGGTTCACCCAACTCCTTCTACACCGTACAGCAACCCGCCTCCAACCAGAATCCGACCGCCTAGCACCCGAAATATGCAGCAACGCACGGCTGATCTTTTCCCGCTCCCTGCAAACCCGCTTCTCAGCCGCACCAGGGCTAATCGATAATGTCTACTACATCCTCGGCTACGCCGCACTTACACTCTGCGACTACAACCCCTCCGACCCGCTCATCAACCAAGTGCGCTCGTTCCTCTTGCACCTCGCCCCGAACAGCGACCACATTGCGTACAGAATCGCCTACATCGTCAGCGAAGTTCAGCGCCGCTACGGTGAAGGTGCTTCGGACCAGGCGTCCCCAGGTGCGGACGTGATGAAGACTGGAATCTTCGCGGCGCCTCGGACGGAGAACATCGATCTGTCGCACCTTATTACTGCAGGCTCCATGGAGAGTCTTGTTGATGGGTATGGGTGCTTCGATCAGCTTATCCCGGCTGGGTATGTGCCGCCGCAACCGCCCTTCCAGGCGCAGACTATGTTCCAGCAGTCGACGCATGTCGTAGGCGGGTCGATGCCTGTTAGTCAGGTGCCGAGGATGATTCATGACTTTTGAGCGCGAGGTTAGGCTTGGGTTTTGCGGGATTGGGAATATGGGCAATGGTTTGGCGAATGGGTAATGGTGGATTTGGTGGAATAGCTTTGGTTTTAATTAAGATGCAACGATTTCATCCTTCTATTGGAGAGTAAAGTACATTCTTGGAAGAGAACTTGTCAAGTGGCTTGGTGTTGGAATGAGCACGGGCAGATCTGAAGCGGTCATGTGGCGTGGATGAGTGTGGTTGGACCTGTCAGCTGCTTTAATGGCATCCCTGCAATCTTCACTTTAGCTGAGCATTGACCGACAAACCATGAGATCTGCGAGGTGGCGACTACCTCTTATGGAGCGATTGCATTCCAACGGCCCGAGCCATGTAGATCTTGAACCATCTTGAGATTGAAATTGTAGATATTTAGTTGCGGTGAGGAGATCATGTACAATATCTAGAGAAGATCATGCCCCGCCACTATTCAGTTCCGCTGTGTACTACGGCGACCCCAATATTCTGCTTTCCACGTATAGTTTTCTTGGATCGTTCTTGTAATAATGTAGCCAGCAGATCCATCTTTGGCACTCAGCCACTCTGCAGAGTGACGCTCTTGAGTCTCATCTAGACTTATCAAACTTCATCCGTTTCGATGATCAGTTGCCATGTAGTCTACACCAAATTTTCTGCGCAGACTACGCATCAATAGCACCCTAGTTTAATTGTTGTAAATGTCATGGACATTCTCTAGGTACTAAACTCCATTGTAGACACCCTCCCTGAATAATGCCCAAGAACCACAGTACCTCCTCGAATGAATGAACAAGTAGGGCGGTACTCAGGAGGCATCCATAAGGCTCTATCACCTTGAAGAGCTATCCATTGATCGTGAAGGGATACTTTGACAGTGGGCTGCTTCGAAGAGCGGACGCTATTCTCATGCTGCGACTGAATATCGAACGACCCGATGCTGGTCTCAAGACACTGACCATTATCAGACCACACCATGGACTTAATATGGCCCGGATGGCGCTCCACGGTATCTTTTAGTATGCCAGTGGCGATTTCCCAAATTTTGATTGTCAGACTGCCGGAGCTCGATGCTAGGAAATTGCCATCTGGCGAGAACGCCACAGACTGGACTAAGTGCGGTCTACCCTGCGCTAACCAATTGTCTAGGAAGTCCTTTGTCACGTCATCGAAGCCTGACTCTGACAGATTACCCCTTGGTGTGAACTCGATACTCTGTTTCAGGATGCCGGTGGTGATGTCCCAGAGCTCGATTTGCTCGTAATCAAAACCCGCTGCTAGCAGCTCTCCATCTGGTGAGAATGCTACACACCCGAGCCCACCTCGATGACCCTTTAGACCCTTTAGTTTCTGTCGGATAGTTCCGTCAAAGGTAGCCCAAGTGCTTATAGTTCCATCAATGGTACCTGCTGCCAGCAGTCTGCTATCTGAGGAGAAGGCCACTGATTCAATTGGACCTATATTTACCTCCAGTGTGTGTTGCAATATTCCAGTGGTAGTGTCCCAGAATTTGACTTTGTGATCAGCAGAGCCCGTAGCCACCATCTTGCCATCTGGCGAGAAGGCGACAGCCCGGACTCTGTTTGAATGACCTTCTAGGCTGTGTTGGATGGTCCCACTTACAGCATCCCATAATTTGGTTGTCTCATCATCGGAAGAGTAGGATGCTACCAGCTTTCCATTCGGGGAGACCGTGACACAGACAACTGGTTCTAGATGCCTCTCAATTTCCGCAGCCGGCGGGAAGTTTCGCGTGGTGATTTCCCAGAGGTGGATCAGGCCAGACCAAGAGCCCGATTCCAATAGCTTGCCATCTGGTGAGAATGCGAGAGAGTACAAGTAATTCCCGTGACCTGTCAGGGCTTGCAGTTCGGTTCCAGTGGTAATGTCCCTAACTTTAGCTATACCTCTGAACGCTGATGCTAATCGCTTCCAATCCGGTGAAAACGCGACACAATCAACGTAAGATAAGTCTTCGTGTATGGTATGTTGAAGAGTTCCAGTGGCGATATCCCAGATTTGGAATGTTTTGTAAACGCATACAGCCAGTTGCTTGCCATTCGGTGAAAATGAGAAGCCCAAAACTGGAGATTCACACTCCAGTGTCTGTTGCAATGTTCCAGAAGCCGCATCCCATAGCTTGACGGTGCGATCCGCAGATCCTGATGCCACCAGTTTGTTATCCGGTGAGAATTTCACGGATCGCATGTGAGATAAGTGTCCCTTTAGTGTGTGTTGCAGCCCTCTAGCAGAGTCCCAGATTTTGATGGTGCCATCCATATGGCCCGTTGCAATGATCTGGTCATCTGACGAATATGCGACAGTATTGAATCTACCCCTACCATATTCGTCAGTTTTGACTATATCCGGGTGGCCTTCCAGAATCCTTTGTAGGCTTCCAGTGGCTGTATCCCAGAATTGGACCATTCTTCCGTTCCCTGCTACCACCAGCTTGCTATCGGGTGAAAATTTTACCGATGTAACTGCGCCGAGGTGTGTCTCAAGTGTCTGCTTTAATGCCCCACTAGCCGGTTCCCAGAGTTGGATCGTGCCAAGCAGAGAGCCTGATGCCAGTAGCCTGCCATCTGGTGAGAATGTGACAGACGTGACTGCTTGTGAATGACCTTCCAAAGTCTGCATTTGGGTATCCCATTCATCATCCACCCAAGGCAACCTTGTGATCCAGCCAGGAATCTTTTTCTCAAATGCCTTTCTGATGCAGCACTTCCATGGTGCGTACACGAGGCACGAGCAGTATAGCTGCAACGGTGCGGTGTCAGCTATCTGTATGTTTTTCAGAATGAATCGTTTTGCATCTTGGAGGAACCCTGATATTTTGGGTTCCGTTTGATCCTAAGGTGCCAAGTAAATGAATGATTCCGAGTAATATTTTTGCCCATCCACTTACTTGAGTGAGAGACTGTAGAGTGTGGATCATGTCAACACATTCGAATATAAGCTCTAAAAGACTCATTGCTTCAAGCCAGTGCAGGAAATGTTGTTGAAGAAACATATTAAGCCGGTTAGGGACACAGAATCCACCCTGGTCGAGGTGGTATACCCAATATCGACAGGAGTACTGTAAATCGGTCGACAGGTAGCAGTTGATTGCTTGAGAATCGAGGTCTGCGCGACTCGTTCCGTGGCTTGGTAAATCGCAGATATTCTCCTTCAGACCCCTTTGCATGATGGTAAGACATTGATTGGCTATCTTTCGGTGCATTTCTTTCTCGTCTATCCAGAATGGACTTTTACCTTTCCTGTCCGGATTCACAAGAAAGTCCCGAAACGACAAGTGCAGAATTCGTAAAGGAGTATCAGGATCCTTCGGAACACTGAGGACCGAATGGAATGAATCCAGTCGATTGCAGATGTCATCTTTGGGGATATCCAGGAAGCGAGAGAGGGCATTAACCGAGAGAGGGGAAGCAAGAAGGACGATGATCCCGATAATATCTTGGAACTCTCGCAACAGCTGCTTTGAATCTTCTTCATCCTGGCCGGTGAGAAGCTGATTCAAGATTGGAAGGTATGTTCTGTCCAGTCGCGATGTGCGGTTCAGCGCTTGGTCTTGGAGGATTGCTGCAAGGCGCTTCTCTGGACTCCAGTTCCTATCTCCAACGAAGAGGCACACGGTGGCGGCAAAAATGAATAATGGAGCGGATAGGGCCGCCAGAGCTTCGATATTCTCACCTCCCGGCCAGTCTGGGGCTAGTGCACGCTCGCATCTAATCTTTGCGAGTTTGTTGTTCAGAAACAAAGACAGATCGCGCTTTATCACCAACTCGGGTATCTCATGGAGTATCAGGTCCTGATGTTCATTGGCAATTTGCTTGAAGCCCAGTCGTATCGGTAATTCAGGCCTGCTTGTCAAAAATATACGGATTGGCACGCCCGAATCCCGCATTCGTGGTAGCAACTGGAGGAGAACCCGCACATCTTCTTCCCGGTCGCATTCATCCAAGGCATCGATCACTATCACAATTTTCGAACTATTTTGGACCGGCCGTAGTTCTCGGAGCGGCTGGTAGATGAGATTTTGAAATTGATCCCTGAGTGACTTTCCTACAATACCAGGATCGGCCTCAAGTGACCTCCTTACGGCTGGTATTAACTGAGGCATATGGTGCATCAATTGAGTCACGAGTGTACTGAAGAACCTGGTCGCATTTCCCCGGTCCCCTTCGCCTCTCTTAAAGAGAAAGCTAGCGCCCAGTAGTCTTCTCCCCTGGAATGTTCTGGCCACAGTTCGGGAAATCGTTGATTTGCCTGTTCCAGCCATTCCATTCAACCAGAAGATGCACCTCCCTTGTGAAAGCTCTACCCAATCATTGATCTCTCCAAGTATTTCACTTCTGGTTCCCGGTAGACATTGATCTTCGTGTTGGTCTGAATATGAATCGAACTCGGCGCCTAGGGCAGTTGGCAGCTTCGCAAGGTCGATCGTTTGGCTCAGGGCATTTATAAGTGTCCTGGTTGATTTTAGACGTCTTCAATCCTCATAGAGAATCATGAATATGCAGACGTACGTTTGATCAACTTGCAAAGCTAAGTTCAAAGCCGTCTTGCATCTCTCGATGTCTTCAACGGTTTTTCTCAACTCGTCCTTTTTTAGAGGCCACTTGAGAGCTCGAATACCCCATTTGGTCATTATCTTGTGTCTGTTGCCCGGGTCGATCCTTTTATCCAAGGCCGTGAGCGTTGAGAAACACTCGTTCATACTGTCAACCATCATCTTAGAGGCCGAAAGGTCCGTGCCGTCTGGACTGTGCAGAAGTTCTGACACCTTGTTCAGTAAGCCAGTAAGACTTGCAACCTCCAGGTGTAGGCGATGAATATCATTCTTGGCATCTTTCACCTCATTGAAGTAAGTCACACAAGTCGTTAGAACAGTCCCGGCAAGTTGGATGACTGCTATAATGCTGGCTGCATTGGAAACGCCGTCCATTTTGTCGGAGAGCAAACGTGTCGCGCTCAGATTGTCACCATGGTAGACATGAATCTGTGTTGATAGCAAGGGAGAGGAGAGCGGAAAAAAGACCAAAGGTGGAAGGCTGCCCCTGATAACCCCGCCTCAATCATGAAGAGCTGAGGGCACGTGTGATTGGTGTGGGTTTGGGGGCTGAAGATAACTGGTTTGAGGTGTTTCGGTGAGCTGGCTATTTGTGTGGGCTATGAAAAGATCGGTAACTGGATTCCTGCTTCTGTTTGTCGGTGGTACAAATTACGGGATATTCGGAGATCGGGTTTACGGAGCGAGCACTCGCTGTACTTGAGGATTTAGTTTTGTTTCAAGGATTGTCTTCATGTCTTACGCAAGCAGAGGCTGAGGATAGGTAATTAACGATCGGGTTTAAGGGTCTGTATTCAATCCGACTCCCCAGGTCGTCATTGGGCTCGGGCTGGGTGTGCATTGGGTCGGAATCAGCGGTGTGCCCGGGGTGAGACCGGAGGATGACGGAAATGAAGATGGACATTGGAATCAATTGAATAGGAAAGATTTGCATTCACTTTGGAAGTTCTTAACGCGTGCAAGTTGCTGTTCAGGACATGATCTGGTCTTATCATTCGTGGTCAAATTATCATCATTCTCCCTTCATTCACCACTTCAGGACCCAGTTCTTGCTGAATGCTCCCTCTGAGGTAGTATCCTGCAGACCGTTCACAGACAGTACGTGTGAAGTAGCATTGTACTGCACAGCCGAGTCGGGGATAGCCTTGCCATTGAGAGTCACGCCGTTAGGTTTCTGGGACACACCCAAGACGGTAACCTTGGAAAGCGGGTTGGTCTCCTTCCAGTTACCACAAGCCATGGCACTAAGACTAGACTTGGTGGCATGGAACTTCACATCGAGGGTAGCGTTAGGCGAGATGCTCACGCCGTCGTCGAGGTAGAGCTCGCCCGAGGCCGTGCCGTTGCCGCTCAGCGAGGTGAGGAGGGACCAGGGTGTGTTCCGGGCGTCACGGGTGGTGAGAGCAGGCTCTTGCATGGGGAGGACGCTACCACCACGGACAAAGACGGGGATGTGGCCCAGAGGAGCGGGAATGGTAGTGTTGACGCCGGGCTTGGCATCGACAGCGGTCTGGGTGTACCAGTCGTACCAGACTTCACCCTGCTTCACGCCGGGGAAGACGCCCTTCACGGTGTCGACCTGGGGCGCGAGGACTGGGACAACCATGATCGCGGGGCCGAGGAGGAATTGGGTGTCGACTGCGGCAAGCGAGGGATCTTGCGGGAACTCCCAGGCGAGTGCGCGCATGACGGTTGATCCGGTGGTGTGTGCCAGGTGGAACAGTGTGTAGAAATACGGCAGGATGGCGTAACGGATCTTCATGGCAGTCTTGGAAGAGTCGATAACGGATGCCCATCGGTACGGCTCCTGGGGTATGGCGCCGAGAGTGTTGTGGTTTCGGTAGAAGGGGAAGAATGCAGACAACTGCATCCAGCGGTTGCAGAGCTCCTCATCAGTGTTATCTTGGAATCCACAGGTGTCAACACCGAACATGGGGATACCAAATAGAGAGAAAGAGAGCGCCTGTGGGATAGAGAAGAACATGTATGCCCACCTGGAGAAGTTGTCACCTCCCCAGTGGCCTGCCCACCTGCCAGAGCCTGCAAAAGTCGAGCGTCCAATAATGAATGGGCGCTTCTCGGGGGAGACAGCAAGCAGACCGTGGTAAGTGGCATTGAGGATCTGGGTGCCAAAGAGGTTGTGCACGTCGTATTCTTGAACGCCATCCGAGTGTGTCGCGTTAGGAGACATGGCGTGCACGGCGAGGTCGTGGCCAGTCTGGACGTTGTTGATCACGTACGGAGGATAGTTAATATCGCGCACGCCTGGAGTAGGAGTGGTTCGTAGATAATCCGGGGTGGATGAGGAGCTGGTAGCACTTCCAGCAGCTTGACTCGCCGAGGCCGCCGAAGCCGAAGCAGCCTCAGTCGAGTTAGTGATGTTGAATTCTTCCGGATAATCAAGAACCAGGTTTCCAGGAGTTCCAGGAAGCGAAGTGCCCATGATGGGGTTCAAACTAAGATTGTGAGACCCGCAGCTTCCGACGCAGAAGGATGACACCTCGCTCATATCAATCCAGATGCCATCGAAGGGAATCTTGTCGTGCCAGGTGACAATTTCGTTGGCCCAGAAGGCGCCGGCCTTAGGACTATGCCAGTCAGGGAACACGGTGTATCCAGGCCAGACAGCACCGATGTAAGTACTTCCGTCAGGGTTCTTCATGAAGACATCATCCTTCGCACCACGTGTGTACGTATCATAGCTGTCTTTGGGTCAGCAGAACTCTTCAAGAAGGAGTGTATGGTACTCACGCATCGGACTTGTTGTGCGGGTTCGGGATATACAGCGCAGAGTCGACAATAGGAATATAGTGGCGGCCACTCTTGTGCAATTTCTCCAGGAATGCTCGTCCCTCGCTGTAGGAGTACCGAATAGGATCGTTGTCGAAATCACGCCAAGTCTTCATGTAATCAATGTCGTTCCTACCATTGAATCAGCTGGTGTTCCACAAAGGATCACATGGAGGTTTGTGCCCAACTTACCACATGTTCTCGAGAGGAATCTCAAACTTTTCAAAGTTTGCTACGACATTCTCCACTTCGGACCAGTTGGTGTAACCCCAGCGGCACTGATGGTAGCCAAACGTGAAGTACTGCTGCATCGCAGGCAGCCCAATGGTACTCATCTGGTAGTTCTTCGTCACCTCAGGCTGAGTCGGACCCGCGTAGAAGGTCAAGTCGAGGCCACCACCGAGCGTGCGCCAGGTGAGATTCTGAGCCCCAGTGAGGATCTCCTGACCGTGTGCGTTTCGAAGGAAAACACCATGGGAATAGGAGGTATAGTCCTTGTCAGGATTTGCATCATCGCTCGAAACGGGAGTTCGGCAGCCCTCGTCATCGACCTCGTAGTAGCGGGTATCCAGATAGAACGGATGAGCTCCATATATGTTGCTAGCACCATGTCAGTCTCAATGATAGCGCAGTATTTCATCAACAGATGAGTTACTTACCGATCTATTGGATCTCCAGCATCCGCGTTATAGATAGTCAGAGTAGCATTCGGCAAAAGGCGCAGTTGCTGGATATGCTCTCCAAGACCATACAAGTTGTAGTTATCGGGCAGGGCCGTGACAAATTCGATGAACTGGTCCTGGTACACCAGAACGGAGCCCACAGTGTCAAAGACCACATCCCCAGTGGACTTTCGGGTCACGGTGAAACCGAAAGAAGGGTCGTTGGACCACGTGAACTCGAGATCACTGTCGTTCTCTGAAGAGCCATCCTTGTCGGCCAAGGGGCGGGGCACCATATGTTCGTTGAGCAGGTACCAAGAAGCATTGGAGGCATCAATATGAGTCGGGATGATCACGACATTCAAGCGGTCTTTGGCAAGGTACTCGACCGTCAAGTTCAGGGACTCGATATCCGTTCCATATGCATTGCAAGCCTGACCAGCCAGCTGCAAGGTTGCCGTAACCCCGCTAGACGTCTTCTGTACATTGGATGCCTTATATCCAGGACAAGCGGACTGTGCGTTGATAGCCTGCGGGTCATCGATATTGGCGATCAAATTGGCACCGACGTCCGCAGAGGCAGGGAGGCTGAACTGATGGTATGCCGAACTAGTGGTGGCGCTTGGCGAGGGCGTCGAGCTCGCGCCATAGACGGCCGGGAGAAGGCAAGCGCCGACCAAAAGATCCACAAAGCCAACCATGGTGATCAGATGTGCACTTGGGGATACAGTCGGAACTTCGAGCTTCCACCCTTCTTATAGTCCTGAGAAACGACCCGATGCAATCGTAGCACTGCAGAACAGTTTTCCCGAGATCAAAACCCGAAGGCATCCCGATGGACAACGCGCTTCAAAATTTCCGCTGAATCCCCGTGCTCGGCGGGGGCGCGCTGTGGACAGAGTCACATTCCTCAGAAGTGAGTGGCCGAATACTTTTGCGGGGTTGATCAGTCTCGATGAGTCCGGGCATTGCGGGGACGATCGTCAGCGTCCCTGCCACTTTCCGTCCGTGCGACCCTGAAACCGGTCAAGACGGGGTTCTCAACCCAGAAAGAAGCCCAGACCTAGCAAGTGCAGCTCCAGCACAGTGTGAAGGTTTCACCCACTCTGTTCTATGCCTGTTACGTAGCATGGGAATCCCGGGCCGTGATTGGCGGATCGCCCGATAAATGCCCGAACCCCTTCGGCGGACACTCTTGAGGGCAAAGTGGGACTCAGCTTTCATATAAGACACTGTTCAGCAGTCAGAGATGATAGTGTTGGAGACACTGGCTAGCCCACTTGTCTATAACAGACTACGTGGGGGTAAAAGGCAATCGTGAACTCCCGGAAGGTAAATACAGCACCACAAGTTTATTCAGCACAAACCCGGGGAAAGTGGGGACGAATGGCCTTAGGTTCACAAGGTTTCCAGAACGGGTTCACCGGTGAGTGTTTTCTCTCTAGCCGATACAACGGATGGCGATGCAAGTGATGCAATAATGTCAGGGCCCTCTGAATCTTACGAGGGCGATCCGGGGACGCAAAACCGGCCTCTGGGGATAACTGGGGAACCCGCTCGCAGGTACTTCGGGGATTTTCCGGCAACTTTTGTTGTTGGGTTCAAAGCAGGAACCGGCAGTCTCCGTCAGTTCCACCCGCTGAAGATGGCCTGATCTTTCTGGTTGTTGGGGATGGGGTCCTTCTGTGACTTCCTCGGCTTCCCGAGGTAAAGTAATCTCGGCATCTCCGTCCAATCCTGATGGAGTTTGCCCTGGACGCCTCCAGCGGCCGGGTTGCTGTCATGATTGGGTCGGCCTACGATGCCAACCCCGAGAAAGTCGAATCCGTTGAAGACTGCGGAGACGGCTCGAGGTCTAATGTAGCTAAGTGGGTGCTATACGGCCGAATTAATCTGCAATCCCAGAAAATCGCGCATCGCCCCGCTCACCAAGCCTTTGGTCGGCCTCCGGATTTGCCGATGTCAGTGTAGCCGAGTGTGCTATTTCTGCGTTGACCCTTTGCCCCTGTTGATAGACAGGGGATCGCTGCCAGATTGGAGATTTCGCTTAGCTACCGACGGCTCAATAACGTGCATCAGAATTCCGGAAGGCTACTTGGCACGCTCCTATCATTGGGTCCAATTCAATAATTGAGTTTCTTGTAGCCTAAGTTAAGCCGGAATCACGCCCATGGCACGGCTAGTCTCGATGTTAGGCATGGGTCTTACCGAACACTTAATGTAGAGGAGGCTACAGAAGTTGTAGTATCAGGGCCTCATCTCCTCTCTTCTCGTGCAGGGGCCTTTGCGGGGTCTCAACCAGCCCCGCGCTTCCCCAGATACTCTCTATTTTCTATTTTAAATTTCAATCTTCACATCGACTCGACAATTACCCCCTACCATGCGCTACGCGGCTTGATTCAGACTCGACCACCATGGACCTTGCACCACCGTCCAAGCCGGCGCCGAAACAGGCATGTGATAATTGTCGCCGACGCAAAATCAAATGCTCGCGCGAACTGCCCTGCGACAAATGCCAACGCCTGCTTCTGTCCTGCTCCTACAGTGATGTGCTCCGGCGCAAAGGCCCCAAATTCCGAACGCTCTATCCTCTTGCGCCTATCCACCCGCTGTCGAACCAAAATGAAATAGAGCGAAAACAAACATATACCGACTCATCCTATGGGCTAAGTTCGCCAGCATCGCCAGCATTCGCGGTCAGCGATGCACAGTTTATGCCCCATGATCTTTCGGATACTCTCTCTCTTCTCCCGCCTCCAGACCTGGTGTCTTCGCCGGACTCCACGGAATCCACGGTGGAATCAGCAAATGGTCGGGTACTTCCGCACGCTCGTCGTCTCTCGCCGCAAATTTTATTGGCGCATGTCAACGTCTACTTGAAGTACTTGTTCCCGATCATGCCGGTTGTGCGCGGGGAGGAGCTGCATTTGGATAGTCAGCAGCCTGAACGGCTCTCCCCACGACGATATGCCTTTTTGGCCTCCTTGTGTGCGGCCACGCATATTCAACTTAAACTAGACGGAACCACTCCGGTACCGGACCATGTTCGTCTCCAGAGCTTGGGCGATGGTCATTCTTTGGTTTCAGGCGAGAAGCTATTAGCCGAAGCCGTGCGGGCGCGACAGGAGTGTGATCCTGTAGAAGATATCAGCATCGAGACACTCTTAACCTCTTTCTTTTTATTTGCGTCCTACGGCAACATGGACAAGCAAACCCATGCCTGGTTCTATTTGTGTCAATCTACCTCGATGGCATTTACATTGGGTCTGCAACGCGAGGCAACTTATGCGGAACTCGGTGTCGAGGAAGCCGAGGAGAGGCGGCGTGTCTTTTGGCTGCTTTTTATCACGGAAAGGTGAGTTGACCCCGCCATCTCTTTTCTTTCTCAATACTAATCAACCGAACAGAGGATACGCTCTACAACAATCTAAACCAGTTATGCTCCGCAGTACCATACACAAACCGCAGGTTCTCTGCTCAGAAGACCCAATCCTAGCATACGGATTCATCAACTTGATCAATATCTTCGAGAAACTCACTGCCAATCTGTATGACTGGGTCTCTGCTGGCGGCGGTGACGGACTCTTGGAGAAACCACCTACATCTGTCATCCAATCAAGCCTCTCCAAACCGATCTCGCTAGATGGGGTTCTTGAAATTCAGCAGGTGGATATCCTGATCACACAGCAGTGGTTACAGGCGATGATGTGGAAATTGTCCATAACCCATGCCACGCAACCTGGCCCGCGAGATGATGGCGTATTGCCATTCCATCTGCCAGTACTGGTTGGTAAAGCAGTAATGAGTGTTATCGGAAGCGCGTCACAAGGGGCGGTCGACGCCCATGGAATTGGCATGGTACGTCCCTCAAACAGCGACACAATGAAGATTCTAACCAAGTGAGTACAGGAGCAAAAGCTATTCGATATGGGTTCTTCGGTCGCCGATGTAACTCGCTCGCTCGGATCAAAATCTATGCATCGTCTATCTGAGTCGTCTATTGATCCTAGGGAACTCCTTTGGGGTATTCTGCACACACTATCGCAGATCCGAGGCTCACCTTCCTACCTTTTTCCATCGCTCCTGGAACGTTGCAAAACGGTGCTGGGACTCGACTGCACGATTACCATGGGCAATTTCCTGCCAACTCTTGGTGCACCCATGCCCGACCAGTTCAGTTCATGGGCTGGTGAGCAACGCTGGGATATGCTCACCGGCCGGAATCCTCACAGCATGGGCGAAATGGACGGTGAACAAAACGAGTCGGTGCCTCATTTAGCCGCAGTGTCCCATGGAGAACTCGGATTCCCAGACTGTCTTTTGCCATGAATATGCATTTCTGCAACGATTACGTGCGTTTGTATGACTGTTTTGGTTTGATCATGATACCATAGGCGTTATATAGATCGATGTCTTTGTCGCGATGTACATTTACCGCGACAAGATGTGTGTTGGAAAATAACTGGATAGGATATATTGCGTAAAGCCCCACTGTGAATACATTGCTCAACTCTACCAATTCAAAATGGCTTGTGTAGGATTGTTCCTGAGTGGGTGGGAATGGGATCGGCCCGTCAAACGGTCTTGGCGTGTTTGTTTCGGCTCGGAGATTCCATCGAATGTGGATAGCTTCAACTTTCTTCCTTTCCGACTTCAATTGAAACCGACAGCAATTGAGGATGCGCTAATACTTCTGGTACGTCCCTTTGTGCCTGCGCGAACCTGTGACGGACTGCGGAGCCATGCTAACTGCGACCAACCACGTAGCTTACGTCCAAATACTCGAATTCGCAAAGCTCATCAAGCAATCCAAAACATAAACCCGGCCCTTCATATCCCATATAACCAAAACAGAGGAGACATTCTCCTCTCCAAGCCACCATGGCATCCCTCCGCACCCGCTCTCTGCCTCTCCATGCCCTCCGCACTGCACCAACTGCGACACGGCCATCATCATTCCTCCGCCAGATCTCCCCTCTTCCCGCAACCAAGCCAGGGAACCCCTCGACATTACGATGGCACTCCACTTCATCCGTCTCGCCGGATGAACTATCCCACTTCTCTGCCCTGGCCAGCTCATGGTGGGACCCAATGGGCCCCTCCCGAATCCTGCATCTGTTCAACCCCCTCCGGCACGAATTCATCGCGACTTGCCTAGCAGACAGCCCACCACCAGCAATCCAAGACCCTACCTTCAACACCGCAAACCTCCATTACCTCGACATCGGCTGCGGCGGCGGCATCTTCGCCGAATCGCTCGCGCGCACAATCCCACTCGACCCTTCCGCCGCATCCCCCACACCCACGCGCGCAGCATCCATGACAGCCGTCGATCCCTCACCAACACTAATCCAGATCGCCCGCGATCATGGACGCATGGATCCAACGGTAGAGTCACACCTGCGTAGCGGCAAGCTACGATACCTAAACACAACCCTCGAAGACGTCCTCTTCACCTCCACGCCAGAAACACCCGCGCAATTTGACATGGTTACCCTCTTCGAAGTAATTGAGCACATTGACCCAACAACGACAACACCACAAGCCTTCCTGGCCAATTGCCTTCGAGCCCTGAAGCCAGGTGGCTGGTTAATCGGCTCCACAATCGCACGCACGTTCCCATCCTGGATCCTGAACCAGGTTATTGCCGAAGCGCCGTGGCCGATTGGTGTTGTTCCTCGGGGTACGCACGAGTGGAGCAAGTTTGTGAACCCGCCGGAGTTGAAGTCGTGGGCGCAGGAGGGGTTGATGCGTGCCGCTGATACGGCTACTACTCGTGGCGGGGCGAGAGACCTTGAGGGGATGCGGTGGAAATGTGTTGGGACTGTTTATGTACCTGGGCTTGGGTGGAAGATTGTACCTGGGTCTGAGGATTGGGGGAATTATTTCTGGGCCGTGCAGAAGAGTGTCTGAGTTATCGGAGGATATAAACTATCATGTAAAATAGATCCTTTTTGTTGTATACTATGTTAAACTTTTGATATCTCGTGGTTTGTTCACGTATCAGTGTCTATTCTTTGACTGGGTTATCATTTTTCATCTTGCAGAACTCAAAGAAAGTTCCTGGTTCTCTGCATTGGATTAGCCTCTCTCTTCAACAGTTCAATCATATCTGCCGAATCCTTATATCATTCGCTACTCAGGAAAACCCTATTTTTTTTTTTTACTTGAAGCCCAAACTTCTAAGTAGTCATCCTCATCCTTGAAAGCATCCATCAAAATCGTTGCTGAATGCCCAGGTGTAGCCCGGATAACGATGAAGGGCATAGTTTGGAGGGCCGTTGAGCGATCAGTGTCTATCTGCTGGCCAATGAGCTCCTTTCAAACCAAAACCAAATTAAACTCCTATGATACAATAATCTTACTGTAAGTGCCTCATCTGACACCCATCATAGATAACAGCGGGAGAGGTGGTAAAAGGTGCCTCAGGCGGCTCTTTGATCAGCACAAAAACCGATTAAATGCTGCCCAAGTAGCCTTGGGCTTCAACCCCAGGGGCTGAGTGTTATCCTGCGCTACTTGCATCCAATAATAGCATCTAGCTTAATCTGGCACAAGCCTGGAATGCGGTCTTGGCTGCAGGGCTGCTAGTTCCAGTAGTCGTCGTTGAATGGAGCGGGACAGGCCCAAAACCAAGCTTTTGGGCGGCCCGGAGTCATCATTCGGGTCAACAAAGAACATAGACAATCAACATAGACCATTTCCAGGTACCCAAGTAAGAGCAAAAGGTACTACTGTAAGTAGTAACAGCCCACTTGATCGACCCGCAGCTGTTAAAGGTCCACACATAGTTCAGCTGGCAACAAAGTCAGCCCTGTCCCAAGTCCGCGGGTCAGGCCCCAGCAGACCGCCTTCAGGGCGGGGGCAAACGTGACTGGTACTTGCCAGGCACGCTATTTTTGTGTACGGCCAGATGTACCCGGCCCTCGTAAGGCTTCCCCTTTAACTTCCTTTCTCCCCACCCTTCGCCTGTTAACCCCTCTACACCTTCCCTATCCCCTCCACGACCACTAATTTCATTCACGATGGTACGCTACGAAATTCACCCGGTTATCTCCCTTTCTGCATTCGCCAGCCTGATAAATGACTCCCCGCAAAGCGGGGCAGTCCGACTTTCCATTCGAGACCTCGTGCTGACCGCGCCATCGCACCTCTCTAGGCCGATTCTCTGACCGAAGAGCAAGTCTCCGAGTACAAGGAGGCCTTCTCCCTGTTTGTGAGTGACCGGGCCCAATTGAAGATGGCGCCGAGAACGCTTGACTGATAAGACTTTTTTCCACAACAGGACAAGGATGGCGATGGTGAGTGCGATCGTTCCTGACAGCTCGTCGCGGGTGTTTTTTTCTGCCAATCGGCGATACACAATCCACACGAGAAAGATGTATACTGAGACGAATGACCAATAGGCCAGATCACCACCAAGGAGCTGGGCACTGTCATGCGCTCTCTTGGCCAGAACCCTTCCGAGTCTGAGCTCCAGGACATGATCAACGAGGTTGACGCCGACAACAATGGCACCATTGACTTCCCCGGTATGATTCTTTTTCTTCGCGCTGATTGCGCCCGCGGTACTGATCTCCGCCCGCAGAGTTCCTCACCATGATGGCTCGTAAGATGAAGGACACCGATTCCGAGGAGGAGATCCGGGAGGCGTTCAAGGTTTTCGATCGCGACAACAACGGCTTCATCTCCGCTGCTGAGCTGCGCCACGTGATGACCTCCATCGGTGAGAAGCTGACCGACGACGAGGTGGACGAGATGATCCGCGAGGCGGATCAGGATGGCGATGGCCGGATCGACTGTACGTCATACACGGGATGGACCATGATTGCAGATGCTAACCATAACCATACACAGACAACGAGTTCGTCCAGCTCATGATGCAAAAATAATCTCATAGCCGTCATGTTTTTCCCCCCTTTAGCTGAAGTCGCGGTTTCTTTCCAACGAGGATGTTTACTACTCTTCTCCTTCTGTTTTCCATCTCCGTTTCCACCGTCTCTGTAGTCGATGCTTCCCGGCTACGGCTTGGATGTGTTCATGATCAAGCGTGCTCTTTGAAATGCGGTTCATACTTTCTGGTGGTGGAACCATAGGTTGTCCTTTGGGCTTGTTCGTACCTAGAAGCTATAGGATATGAACTTATTTTATGAGTACCCACTGAGCTTGCAGTAGAACTTGAGATCTAGCTATAGATGCTTAGTATACCTTCGCCCGACTACTATAGCAGACCCATCCTCTAAATAATACCCAAAATCTACCGATTAAACCTCAACACCTCCATATACTGCCTCGCAACATCCGTCCCAGCGGACGGGTCAGGATCCTCCTCCTCACCCTCAACCAGCGGCACCGTCACAACCCCATTACTCCCTTTCTTCTCTCCCCTCCTCTTCAACTTCTCCTTAACTTCCTTCCCAACTCCAGGGACCAAAATAGCCTCCCTAGCCCCCTCAAACCTCAGCCTCGTCCAAAACTCCCTTATCAACTGCGCCGTCGCGGCATACTCAGCATCAACATCCGCCTCCTCCACCCCCGCAAACCCCATCTCATCCCCATCCTCCTGCCCTAAAGCAACAGATTCCACAACCGACGGCCCCAGCCACTCAATCTCCACAACCGTCCCCCGAACACGGGCAGTTGGATACGTCTGCCGCACGTCACCCATCCGAACCCGGAAGTCACCAACCTCGTACACAACACCAGCCGGCACGGCCATCGTCAACCGATGGCACCAGAACGGTTGCGCAGCGTACACGAAATGCTGGAATAACGTCCCGTACGACGACGGGGGGACCGTCGTCATAACCATCGACGTTTCCGCCGCGGCATTAGCTCCCGTGGGCGTCGCGGGCGTCGGCGTAGAAGCCGGCGGATGGAAAGGCTTCTCTGCAGGCTCAGAGGCGTAGATGAACCCGTGAGATGGGTAGTGGCTTAGTGTGAGGAATTGCATGTAGCGGGGTTTTTTGGACTGTGGTGAGGCGGGGAGTAGACCGGGAGTGTCGCGCATCAGTTTGTGTTCTAGGGCCCACCGGCCGGCTGGGACGAGGTCTTGTTCTGGGTAAGCGGTGCGGAGGCGCTCTGTTAGGGTTGGAAGGGCGGTTGTGGTGTTTGGGTGGGAGGGAATGAAGTATATTCTTCTTCGTTGTTAGTTTTCCATGGTTGGTTTTTTTAGATAGGGCTTGGTTGGTGGGATGTACCCGGTGATTGGCATGGTGGGTGGTTGGCCTGCGGTGCAGGGTTGATATCAATTTGAGATTGGATTGATTGGGTGGTCGGATGGATGAGCAGGCCTGATGTGGTGGGCTCTGGCGAGTGGTAAGAGTTCAATCTCTCAGTTTCGAGTCAATTGGCCTGATTCAATCATGCAAATTGGTGGGCTTAAGGCTTTATGCACAGGTTTGAGGCGTCGAGCTCTCAAAGCTTTGTGTTACGGAGCTCTTGGCTGGGTGGTCAGGTGACTAGAGCCCCTTATCTCGTCTACGGACGCAGCTTAGATAGCATCATCAAGAATCTATTATAACCTCAGTCTTGCGTTCCATTTCCTTCTTACTTTTTAATGACTATTAGTTTATCCGTGTTACGGCCAGTGAGCCCTCCTAGTGTTCTTTTCGTTCCCAGGCTGTGTCGCACGCTGGGTGGCGTTCAACTGTGTTTAGTCCAGCAATAGAGAACTTCAATGGAGAACTTACGTTCAATTACCGACGGCGTATGATAATTTTTCTATCTGTTGCCATTTTCGTCATAGTCAACGCGCGAACCAAGCCCAGTGGCAGCGTAGACGAAAGTTCGGCATTTGTGTGGGGTAAATAACTGGGGTAATCATGGAGAAGTGCCGAGACGGCACTTACAACCAGAGGTTACCATGAATGAAATGGGCAAAGCTGGGATTCTTACACGTGGTGATCCTCTTCAATTGCCGTTTGTTTTTGATAGCCGTGTGGGAGCGAAATATAAATTGCAGCTATATGGAGTGGTTTGATCTATCAACGACAGGCAGACCACGAAGACAGTCTATGATTGAGCAATATGCGGTTTTCGAGCTCGGCACTGTTGGGTTCAGCCCTCCTCATCGGTCAGGGACTCTGCAATAGTAACCCCGAGAACAAGCCTAGAGCCATTCCAACACCGCGGTGGGATACTCCCACTGTGCCCAACGACCTCCAGGCGTTCTCCATTGAATTTGCCTTCTTTCCTGACTATGCGGGAAACAAATCTCATCCCAATGAGTTCTCCAAGAACCTTCTTACCAACTTCAAGACTCTCACGGGCGTGCCGCCGACAGTGAGAGTCGGGGGGTACTACTCAGTATGTCGTGATCCATTGAAAAGCTGCCTTTACTTTAACCAGAGAAACTGACAAGCACACAGAGATCATTCATATTATCATCCCGACCAAAAGGAGAACGTCGAGCTCATCTATGCGAACCCGAATAATGACCAGCCAGACACGATCTACTATGGCCCAGCATTCTTCGAGTCCTACCATACACTGGGCAACGTCAAGTTCTTCCACGGACTGAACTTGAACCAGAACCGCTCTATCCAGATACTTCAAGAGGCTGCGATTGAGGCATGCATTTCTATCGGTCCTCAATTGGAGCTCTTCGAGTTGGGTAATGAGTGGAATTTCGCGCCTGGAGAATACCGCACAGCTAACTACTCAATGCTGGACTATGTGCATGAGTGGAACCAGAAAGCTGCCGCGGTCAAGGCCGCTGTTCAGAAAGCTTGCCCTGGACATTTCCCCGGGTTCTTCGCGCCTAGTTTTGCGCTGCTTAACTTCATCAAGAGCCAGTGGTCTGCGGAAGACCTCTTCAAACTTGGCTACGATCCTCATAACTTGATAAAAGAGCTTTCGTTCCACAAGTGAGTTCCCCTCCCTTTATCACTCCCATTTACCCAACTGACTTTGCTCGCCTCAAGCTACATGGGTGTCAACGAGCCACCTAATAATCCTCCGGTGGATTGGGATCTCCAACGTATGATTTCTGAATGTAACATGTCCAAACAAAATCTGACTGCAACAGGCCTCCTTATGAACCATACCAGTATCCAAGAGAGCCTAGCGACCCAGATCCAGCGCGCCAAGAACCTCGCGTACCTCGGACATCCTTATGTTCTTGGAGAGCTCAACTCCATCGCGAATCAGGGCATCACTGGCGAAACCAATACATTTGGAGATGCATTGTGGCTAGTTGATTTCTCCTTCTGGGCTGGCGCTCATGTACGATCATTCCAATGCCCCTTCTCATTGCGATGAACCCTCGTTAACGTATCCCTGCAGAACATCAAGCGCCTCCATTTCCACCAAGGCCTTGACTACCGCTACGCCTCATGGCAACCAATCCTCGGCAAGGGCCAACCCCCTACCACTCGTCCCCCGTACTACGGCCAGATCATGGTTGCCTCTGCTCTTGGCCACTCGCACAACGCTCGCGTTGTCAACATTCCCTTGAATGAGGAAACCGAGTCCGCTTACGCCATCTACGATGGAGACAGGCTATCCAAGCTTGCCATCGTGAATATGCAAGCTTTCAACGAGACAACTACTGGTACCCGCCCGAGCAAGGAGTACAAGTTCGAGGTCCCAGGCCACTACCGTCAGGCCAAGGTTGAGAGTCTGATTGCGCCAGGAAGCGATGCTACAGAGGAAGTGACCTTTGCCGGCATTTCGTATGACCATGACCTTGCGATGGGCAAGCCCGTTGTGGTTGATCCCAAAGAGAAGTTTGTGATGATTGAGGATGGTGTACTTCGTGTTGATGTACCTGATTCCTCTGCCGTTGTTGTGTCGCTTAATTGAGGTATCATGTTCTGAGGTCGTCGCACACCTACTAGCAGTAGATAACAAAACTGAAAATGATCGGCAATACCAATCGATGCCGAAGTTAAATACTTCATAGTGCGAGGAAGCAATTTGTTTTCTAGTCGGGCAGATATTACGGAGCCCCTTATCTCGTCTACGGACGTAGCTTAGATAGCATCATCAAGAATTTATCCATGACCTCAGCCTTGCGTTCCGTTTCCTTCTTACTTCATAACACTTTGTTTCAACTACCAGCCAGGATATGTGCTTGCGCGGTGCTGAGGTTCGCAATCTATCATTATTATTAGCGTGCATTCTCAACTAGAGGGCATTATGTTTTTCTATGCAACCTTAAGGTATAATTTATGTATCGAATGATGTATGGCGAGTCTGAAGATGTCGACCTTCAATCGAGGTGTTCCAAGGTGCGGACCCCCGCCAGTTGAATACTAAGCACTCTACCGGGAACTTGCCATCCAGAGAGGCGGCGTCTAGTCGCAGAGCTTCACTTCACCAAGAACCAATGTTGGCAATGTCTGCGAAATAAAATGCAATTCAGAATATATGTATAATGATGTTCCTCTATGTGCAACCCCGCTATATCCATGACTCGAGCCAAAAGAAGCATCCAAAAATAAAAACTCCCCGCAAACCAGTATCAAAATAAAACATTTCCCAAATCAAATATGCACCCCTCTTAAACATGCTAAAGCTGCTGCTTGTCAATAAAATGCAAAAGGATGGATCAGAAAAAGTCCTGCTCAGCCAACCATTGCGAATCCATCGCATAAGCAACCAAATCAGCCGCACAGCACATGTCCTCGTGACCATGCTCGATATCCAGAAGCTCGAGGACAGATTTCAGCCTGTCTTGTAGCGTCTGCTTGAGATTTGAAACCCGTGCAGAGAGGTCCTTGGCTTGTCGCTTTTTCACCAATGCACCTGCTACCTCGTGGTCTTTAGCTTTTGGCTTGCCTCTGGCAGATCCCCCTTCTGTGAGTTTCTTGTTCGGAGAACAGGGTGCAAGGGCTCTTCTTTGGACAGAGACAGCTGGCTGTTCGGGCTCCATCTTTCGATTCTTGAGGAGGTTCTTCAGGATGAAGAGCAGCCAGACCAGGTTCGTTCGCGGGACATATTCCGCCCAAATGCCCGGGATGTCGGGTGTTTTCTCGGTCTCCGCGGGGTTTCCAGTATAAAGTGTTGCGCGCATACTATTGGTGACTGTTAGAAACTTCGTTCCTAGGGAAAGGAAATGCTGGGCCCAACGTACTGTCTATATGTGTTTCGCAACAAGATTTCGTCCTTATCGCGACCAACAGCATCGAAAATCTGCTTCTTGTCCAGATCGGATGAAGCAATCTCAATAACCCCCTCCGGATCATCGAGCAAGTCGGCAAGGCGAAGATCAGCACGCGAAAGTGAATAATCGATGATGGTTGTCTCGAGGGAACTAGCTCCAAATCCACTAGATGATTGCTGACGTGCAACCTCTAACTCCGTAGGGGGCTCCATCGAACCATCTGGTCGTGTGGAGCGAATGCAGACATTGCCCAAGTGAAGATCGCGATGCTGAACATAAGTTAGAAAGCGCTAAACAGGATATCATGCTTTAGATGAACCCACCTCGAAAAGAGCATACTCTTCGGCGCGCGCCAACGCCATAGCCACGCCCCAGAAGATATCATAAATCTGGAAGATCGACGCCCAACTAAACTTTTCAAGCTCACATCCCGCATCGTCCATCTCCACAATCGCCCAGAGCTGCGTATCAGGGTATGCCTTCTTACTCGACGGATTGGGATTCATGCAGTCATCTTTGGTCTTCTTGTAGTAATCCCAAGCACTTTGGAAAGACTCTGGGAATCGACCCTGTACCACATGGATCTCCCTGAACCGCGCAAACCCTGGAATCGGATCAAGGTACTTGAGCATCTTGACCTCGGACACAATTTCATCAATGGTGGTGAATTTCTTCGAGCCGGGGCCGCTCTGCGCTCGCAACGGGACGACCTTGAAAACACCATCGCCGTAAGCTTGCAGCTTGGCTAGTTTGGACTTGGATACTGCAGGTCGACAGCTCTCTTCCCGCAGATGGAGCTTGTATACCTCGCCGTATGAACCTTCTGCTAGCTTCGCGACGTGGAACATTGTTGCGGATCTGGAGGCCCATGTGCTGAATTTCTGGATATTTTGAGATGCGACTGCGGACAGGGCCTCGTTGAGGATTGGGCGAACGTAGGTGTTGGCTTTGGTGTCGTGGACAAGGCCGGACGACCGCCGCCCGATGGGAATCTTTTGCCTTGGGACTCTTCGGTCTATTGAGGGAATGCTTGATTTGCCTTGAGGCTTTGAGGGTGTAGGTTGTAAGGTTTTGGCGCTGATTCTGACCTCCACCATGGTTTCGTAGGGCTTCGCTTTCTCGGGGGAGGTCTGCGGGGTTGAAGTTTCGGATTGTTGAGAGGCCGGGCTTGAAGGTTCGGGGGTAGCGTCTTTTTCTTCCTGCTGAGTCTCTTCCGCTGCACTGTCGACATCTGCTGGTGGAGATACCGACTCATCTTGAATGGTCACTGCGGCCAATTTGGATTGTATGGCCTCGACGGTATCATCTGATTTTGTGGGTGGTGGTGAGACCTCCTTGGCGGGGCTTTTCTTCTCAAAGACAGCTCTAGCCGCATTGTTTCTTCGTTTGCCGTAGACTCTCCGTTGGGTACCAGCTCTGGTTGAGGATTTTCGTAGCATTGGTGTCGCGTGACCCGCAAATGGGGACGATGGGGGAGAGGGCATGATCCCTGTGGTGTCGTAGGGCCTCTTTCGGTATAATTAGCTGTAAGGAGTCCGTCAAAGGTGATATGAGGAAATTCAGAATCGAAGACAACAGATAGAAGGAGTGACGATGTTGGATTCGAAATCGTATTGACGTTTAGCCGAAAAGGGTTTAGCGCTCCGTTGCTCTGGTGAGCCATTCTTCTACCTGCAGCCAATCACAGGCCGTACTTATACTCCCTTGACTCCCTGCGTTGCTACCTTCTTTGCTTTGTCTATTGACGTCAAGTAGATCTGGTTTAATCATCTACAGAGAGTGAATATCAAGGATGTGACTCGAGAGTACTTTTTTTTAAAAAAAAAAAAGGTGCAGGCTGGTGGTGGTGGTTCGGCGCTTCTGCCTCGTCTAACAAACAGCCACACCCGTGGACCCCTACAATATAGAAACCCCCGATATGTACACCGACGTTCCAGAAGACTCTTTATCAGACCAAGAAATGGTTCTTGTTATTGTATTGAAACATCTTCCCCTTCGACGGTTCTGTAATTCGAAAGAAAAAAATCTTTGCGACGTCGTATTGTTGATTACCATTCTCGCCGACGGGATGTGGGTTCACTACAACATATGACGAAGTGTCAAAAGTGAACGTCAGACATGCAGGAGTGGAGCATTTCTCCCTTACTCCAATCATTGATCAATCAGAAATCGAAATTCTCCTTTTTAGGCTTACGAGACAGAACGTGGGCTGGACTCAGGAGTAGACTCGGATCTACAAAGACCAGGCCGTTTTTGGCCCGCGGTCGACCGAGAGTTCGGCGTCAGCAATTATTTTGTTTTGTCGCGTCGAGACCCCCTTTCCCCGGGCAGGTGGGTGCTTAGCAGGGCGTAGCGCTTAGACTTATGCGGCAGCGGGCGATGAAGGTGATGTGAATGGCCTAGAGAGGGCGAAGTGGGAATACTACTCGGGGCGGGTCGGGGGGAAATCCAAGTTCCTGGAATGACGTTACCCATGCACAACAACGTCCACGAGATCGATAACTAACTCTAGATTCTAAAATACAGCAATGCATACCAGGAGAATAACGAGACAAGTAATACAGGAAAAAAACAAAAAAAGAAACACGCGTAGGGACAGCAAATTTGCAAAAAGCAGAGGGCGAAGTGGTCCGGGCACGCGACGACTTCGGAAAAGCTCGCTTTAGGATTTTCACATTCCTCCTGACCTCGCCATCCACCCTCCACCCTCGCCTCACGCCTTAATCTCTCCACCACCCTTCTTTGTTTCATTCTTTGCTTTCTATCCCAATGCGAGGGCATGGCGTTCAACTTCAACTGGTCGCCTTTGATGGCGGACGCGAGTTTTTACTCGCGCGCCCAAGAACTGCTGACGGCCGCGCTCAATAAATCTCCCAAGCCGCCCATCATCGTCGATGATATTATCGTCACCGAGCTCAACCTGGGCTCCATGCCCCCCGACCTGGAGATCCTGGAGATCGGCGACCTTGCCGAGGATCGCTTTCGCGGCATCTTCAAGATGTCTTATTCCGGCGACGCCTTCTTGACCCTCAAGACCCGAGTCCAGGCGAATCCCCTCAATACCTACCTTCTCACGAGGCCTGCTTTCGCATCGCCGCAACCTCTCGCCGCTGCGTAAGTTCTTCCTGTTGCGCTCGCACGGTCGCAATAATTTATTTTTTGGTCGGCTTTGGCTAACGTCGCGCCTCTAGTACCCCTCTTACCATTCCTCTCCAAATTACCCTCTCCGATTTTAAGCTGTCCGGCTTTGTGATTCTCGTTTTTTCTAAGCAAAAAGGCATTACCGTCGTCTTCCGCAACGATCCACTCGAGTCGCTCAAGGTATCCTCGACCTTCGATTCAATCCCATTTGTGCGCGACTTCCTCCAGAAAGAAATCGAAGCTCAACTACGAATACTGTTCATGGACGAACTGCCCGCCATCATTCATCGCTTGTCGCTTCGTCTGTGGGTTCCGGAATATCGCACGGGCGACGAAGTGCAGAACGAGACCGACAATACGGAAGCGGCATCAAGCGAGGGCCCCGGCCAAGATCCTTTGGCTAGCCCTCCGCAGGACCCCGTTGATTCGCTTGGAAATGCTTTGAACGAGACGGAAATTGCCTCCCTTTCGCTGGATTCCTCCGTCGAGACGCACTCGCTCTTCTCGCAGAAGAACCTCCTTCGCCTCGCCGCTCTGACAGACTCGCAACGGACCCTATCGCTCTTCACACCTTCCATCAATGAAGTCGTGTACCGCGCATGGACTTCTCCTTCCGACCCCAGCGAAATACCGTCCAGCGTCATCTCTCCTTTGAGCCCCACGCTTTCCCGAACGCATTCTCAAGTCGGCAGTATTTCGTCATCGCTCCACGAGACCGCCAGCAACGCTTCTCTGCACAGTCGTCCTTCTTTGGGAGGTCACTCGTTCAGCAGTTATGGTTTGAATCTCGGGACCGGACGTCACTCGAAGGCTCATTCTCGGAGGCGGAAGAGGCGCGTGGTGGATATGCGTCGCCCCAAGACAACCGATGATGCCATGAGCGTGAGCGACGACAGCTCAATGAGGGAATCTAGCAGCCCTCCTTCCATCTACTCCGCCCCGCTACCCTTCGTCAGCGAGCAGGCGGATGACCCTGTTACGCCTCCGCTGTCCCCCGAGATCGACTCTCTCCTGCCTTCGATCCCCGAGCGCCACCGGGCGAGCCTTTCCGGACTGCAACAGCGCCAGGGTGCCCATGAATCTGGAGACCTCTCTTACTCCTTGGAAACCATTCGCGCCTCTAGATTGGAGGATGTGGAAGCCACTCCTCGTGCGACTATGCGCGGTGGCTACCCTAATGAGAAGGCCGAGGCGGGATCCTCCCGACCACCCCTGCCCGCTACAGTTCTTCCATTTACCAAGGAAGGCAGCGCCGAAGAACCAGTCGACTCTCTCCTGGTGGAGCGACTGGCCGGGGAAATTGCCCGTCGCATGCGCGACGAGAAGATGATGACCGGCAATGCATGCAGCAACTTCTGGTCTCGTGCCCACGATGATACTCCCCCGCCGGCCTACGGCCACTAAGATTGCGACCTCCCACCTCTATTTCCTTTGTTTTCTCTTTCCTCGAGATTTTTAATGACCCTTACGACTTTTTATTCATCTTTTGTTTGGAAGCGGGATTGTACAAAACTGGGTTTTTGGCTGAAAGATTTGGCGCCTTTGTTCTTTTTCGCTAGATACCACACTCACTCGAGCATTTTGTGTATTATGTTGGATTTGCGGTATTTGGATTCGGAATATAGGACAGGAACATGAATTGGACTATTTTTCTTTTTACAACGGATGTGTGTGCTGTCATATTGTAAATGCGAGGCTCGAAGGCAAAAAAACTGGAGAAGTCCCGTGGGGCGGGCGCTAGAAGCAGCTTAGCTCCGCACCGATTCTCTCAACCTCCTTTCTCTTCCACCCACCATCCTATCTCTATCACAACCATGGCGGGCATGCTCAAGAACGTGTTCGGCTCGTCCTCCGGACCGGCCAACCCTGACGATGGTAGGCTCCCGTTTGCGCCCCAATTGCCGCCGTGCGCGATGATCTAACGCCGTTCTATCATAGACTTCGCTGATTTCGTCGAGGCCCCGAACCCGTCGCCTGCGTCCCTCGTCGCCGACTCGACTACCGTCCAGGCATCGAGCACTGGTGCCGTGCCCTTCACGGCATGGTACCGGGTCTGGGAGCGCACCTCCCCCCGCGACTTCATGCAGGAGGCAATGATCATGCCCTTCATCCTGGTCATCCTCCTCTTCCACGTCTGGGGCACGCGCAAGAACCGTCGCAAGGCGAAGGAGTGGGCCCGGGCTCACATTCCTGCCCTCCAGAAGGAGTTCGCCGTCGTTGGCTTCGACGGCGTGCCGCGCTCCGAGGAGGGTGACTCCGTCACCGTGGAGCTGGTCAACCCGGAGAAGAGCCTGAAGGAGAAGTCGGCCAACGAATTCTCCACATATGCGACTGGACGCCAGAATGTGGCTTTCTTGGACATTGCGCTCAAGATGCCCAAGCGCTATAACCCTATCACCTACCTCATGGAATACGCCTTCAGCTTCTTCTTCGATAGCTGGGAGGCCCCCTCCGAGAAGTACGAGGCTGTGATGTACACTTTTGACGGCAAGGAGAAGGACCTGGTTCCTGTTCTTGGCAAGGACACTGCGTCTCTGAAGGTGAACAACTCGACCTATGATGGCTTCATCTGGGCTGTTGTTCACAAGAGTCACATGCGCAAGTTCCGCACTGATCGCTATGATGCTTCCATCACTTTCTCCAAGGATCACCCCAAGCTTCCCTCCTGGGTGACTGTCATGTCCGAGAGCGCTGAGATCACCGACACTCTACTCACCCCGGACCTTATCAAGGCTATTGAGGAGGCTGGCCACGACTTTGAGTTCCTGATTATCTCCGACCAGCCTGTTGACAAGCCGACCAAGTAAGTCTTAACCGCACGATATCGGTCATGCCCAGCTAACCTCCAATAGGATCGATGAGACCGTCCCCAAGAAGCGTATCCAGCTTTCCATCAACCTTGCATCGGCCTACACCGCGACTCTGCCCCTCTTCAACCAGTTCCTGCGTCTCGCTGATAAGCTCGTTGCCTCCGCCCACTTCCGCGCCGAGGTGATGCGCAAGCTCCGTAATGTCCGCGAGGAGGAGATCAAGAAGCTGCGCCGCATCGAGGAGGAGGAGAAGGCCGAGGAGCGTAAAACTGCCGCCGAGAAGATCAAGAAGGAGGAGCGTGAGCGTATCCTGCGCGGCATGACCGCCGATGAGCAGCGGAAGTTCCTGGAGCGCGAGACCCAGAAGGACCAACGCCGTTCCCAGAAGAAGCAAACCCGCCGAGGCTAAGCGGTTGGAAATGGGATCTAGGGAACAACAATAACATTCGTTCCCCTCCACTCGCAAACCTCGAAGTGGTGGAGTTGAATGCGAGGGGAAATTGTCTTACTCCTCTTTTTGATACCTTTGCTCCCCTGGATGTATTCATACGGAGGGATTATATGCACGGTGTGGATGATGTCTTCATGTTAATTTTACACGTTATACTTCCACCACCCTGGCTATTGCCATGTTCCAGTCGTAGGCAGCGGCGATGCCGTGCTTGCCCCGAGTCAATCTCCGGGAGCAACCAGACTTCAACCCAACAACTTTCAAAGTTGTCATCAACTATCTATACCCATAAACAGCCCATTACATTCATTACAACCATGCAGCTACTCGCCTTCCTGGCCACAGTCACTCTTTTGGCAGTCCTATCCTCAGCAGCCGTGATCCCTCGACCACAACACGAGCTCCGCTCACTCTTCAACGCAAGCCTCCAAGACCATATCCAAAGCCGTCGAGACAACATCCAAACCAATCAACTCCCAGCCGGCGCAGTGCTCAACCAATGCACCGTCCCAGGCACAGTGGCCCTAACATTCGACGACGGTCCTTACATCTACACTCCCCAACTCCTAGACACCCTATCCGCCCACCATGCAGTCGCAACCTTTTTCCTAAACGGCGTGAACAAAGGCAGCATCGCAGCCTTCCCAGACCTCGTCCGCCGAACCCTGGCCGAAGGTCACCAACTCGGTTCCCACACGTTCGTCCCCTTAACCCCCCCCCAAACCCATCCCAAAACCCAACTAACCCGCCAATATAGATGGGGCCACCTCTCGCTCCCCAGCCTCCCGTACCCGTCGATCCTCGACCAAATGATCTCCCTCGAAGACTCGCTCTCCGCTCTTTTGGGGTTCTACCCAACATACATGCGCTTCCCGTACCTGCAGTACGACGGCGTGTCCCTAGCTGCGATGGCGGAGCTAGGGTATAGGGTCATCGGCGCGAGTGTCGATACGAAAGACTACGAAAATGATGACCCTGGGCTGAGCTGGCGCAGTTTCGAGAAGTTTAAAACGGAGCTCAATGCTGGTGGGACGATTGTGTTGGCGCATGATTCTCATCAGACGACCGCGGAGGTATTGGTTGATAACATGCTTGCGGAGATTGAGAGGAGGGGGTTAAAGAGTATGTTTTGCCTTTGGGAGTGGTTTTTGGGTGTATGGGTGGCTTTTGGCTAATGCGTTGTAGTGGTTACGGTTGGGGAGTGTCTTGGGGAACCGGCTGAGTTTTGGTATCGGCAGGGTCGTTGAGGACTTGAAGGTGAAGTGGGATTGGTTGTTGGAATGTGGTGTGAGGGATCATGGCTGCGTTTGAGTTCTCTTATGTTGTAGATAGACTTATTGTGTTAATCAGTATCCAATAATCTTTGCTGCTTTTGCATGAAATGCATACATCTTGTGGCTGGAGACCTTGGTTGTAATATACAACAGAGCGCAGTGAAACGATGGGCAAGGAGCAGGACACTAAGCATTCATAGAAATATAACGCAGACAAAGCCATAGGACCTATAGCCAAAATCATCTGGTCCGAAGAAAGCGATAATAACGAAGGCGAATGGGCGCGCGCGGCAGTACACTAGAATTCGAACACAGATTACCCCCAAACACTCACGAGTTGTTTCTCGGCTAGGCGTGAATAGTCCTTTCCCGGCCGTGTCTGGCCATGCAATTTGCGTGCTATTCTCATCCCCATCGTCAGGTGAAATGCTCTTGTGGGAATGAGGGAGAATGGGAACGGGAAACAACAATGATCAATAAATTCAACGGATTTACATAGAGTATCCTTCGCAACATCTAAGTGCCGTCCGGCATAGCATGTCCTTGTTCAAGTATTCGTCCGATTGCGGCGACAGCTCGGGAAACATCATCTTCATCTGTCTGCCAATTGAGTACGGAGACACGCATACAGCGTTGTCCTCTCCAGGTAGTACCGCTGAAAAACGCTTCGCCTGTTTCTGCAACGGCTGAGATCAACGTATCCGTCCATCGATTGTGATCTGCCAAAGTCGTATCGGCCCTCCGGTCCAGAAAGCGCACCAATCCTCGGTTCACCGAGGACTTCCATACCAGCTCCGCTCCTGGCAGGGCTCCAATTTGGACGAGCAGACTTTGAGCGTGGGAACAACACCGTTGAATTAGATCGGCCACCCCTGTCTTTCCGAGGTGATGCAATGCGGCGTACGTCGCAAAACCTCGACCCCGTCGGGACCATTCCGGATTCCAATCGATTTGGTCACGAGCATCTGCATGATGTGTGAGATAACTCGCGCGATATGACATTGAATTCCGGTGAGCCTCCGAGTGGGCTGCAAAAGCATATCCAGAATCGTACGGCACGTTCAGCCACTTATGGCCGTCGGTGGCCCAGGAGTCCGCTTGCTCGGCTCCCGCCAGCAGATGGCGATGGGTCGGACTTGCTGCCGCCCAGAGCCCGAATGCGCCATCAATATGAACCCAGGCGCCCCAGAGGTGAGCTAGAGGAATGAGCTCAGAGAACGGGTCGTAGGCTCCGATGTTCAGATCACCAGCTTGCAACACCACGATCACAGGTCCGTCAGAATACTCCGCCAAAGCTTCATTTAGTGTTACCGGTGCAAGACTGCCATTTTCCCCGGCCGCCAACTCCACCACACATCGGCTCCCCATTCCGAGCAAACGGACTGATCGATCAATAGAACCATGCCTTTGACCGCTACTCAATACCCGAATACGAGGAGCCGCGCTCGCAAGTCCATCAAGCTCATGGTCCCAGCCATATCGGGCCAAGAGGCCGTTGCATGCGGCCGCGAGACAGGTGGTGTGCGCCATTTGACAACCTGAAACAAGAGCAAAGCTAGCTGAAGATGGCAAGCCTAGAAGCTCTTTAAGCCACATCCCACACACTTCTTCCGTCACGGCCGCTGCAGGGCTGCAATCCGATAGAGCTGCATTTTGATTCCACGTGGATGTAAGCCAATCTGCCGCGAGGGCGACGGGAAGAGTGCCTCCTATGGCCCAGGCAAAAAAGAGACCTCCGGCATTGCCCATGATTCCTCCCTCCGTACTGGCCATTAATTCATCAAGGACCTGTTTTGCATCTGTTGGGTTGTCCGGCAGCGGTTTGGTTAATCGGCGACGAAGGTCGGGAAGAGAGGCCATAGGGCGAACGGAGTTCGTCTCGAGCCCCTCGAGGAATTGGAGTGCATGCTCTAGAGCTGATCGCAAAACAGTAGGAAAGGTCGACCCCTTCATCTTTTCCTGGTTCATGATGCGAGGGTCGCGAGGGTCGCGAGGTTCTTGCTCCTTGAGCTCCATTCCAGGAACCGAAGTAATAAATCAAAAGATGTGCAGAAATTTTAAGACTGGGAATATTTCACGATCTTCATTGCAAGTCCTCTTCGAATCGAATTTATAGAAAAGCCAGGAAGGCCCCTCGTGCTGTTGCTGCCGAATTGGCGAATCAGAACCGGGTATTCACTTTTAACTTCCGTATTTTCGGCCAGCATCTTACATCGGAGATGAAGTTAGATTTCTGTTTACTATCGAGCTTAGTACGCCTCTTCAACCAGCTAAAGATGGCCCTGGAGCCTCAAGGTCATGGCAGTCTCCTTTTTCTCGCAATAATGCAACTTTTCGGGTATCCTTATTTACAAAATTGAGCTTCTAAAAGAAAGGTTCGTACCAAATCACCCCCTAGAGAGCACATGCGCCATCATGATAGATCGGAGAGCGAATTTCAGCTGGTAATGTTGGAGAGTCGAAGATAAGCTGAGCGACGAGTGGAATGAATTATTATGGAGGACTAGGCGCAGTACAAAATTATCTAAAATTGGATTGACCCATCATTCTACTGTGTTGCGTAAAGCATCTTTATATGGAGCGCTGAAGAAACTATTTTACCTGCAAAAGTCACATAAACTTCTCAGGTTTCCCACCTACTAGTCCACAGGAGAATATGGCGAACAAAAATTATGGAAGATGATCGTCAGAACGGAGGAATAGTTAACTAACGTAAGTCTTAAACGAGTAGCACACCAAGCGTGCGGCCATCTCCAAAAGACCATAGTAAATCTTCGGATGGTGGTGGAGATACACACTTGGGTCCGGCGCGATCGTGATGTCGTCCATGATGGAAGGGGTTGAAAAGTCAAAAGGCAGGCCGGGATCAGGGATCACCCTGTACGGATGATGAACTGTGCATACGATCACGTGAGACTTGCGGATACTTTTGGTTGTGATCCTAATTAACAAAATTAACAAAACAGAATCAACGCGCCGTTCCATGGGATATTTCGAGAGAAGAAAAAGCCACTCGGACCTCCCCGCCCCTTTCTTTTTGACCTCTTCGGCAGTGCAATTCTGGAGGGGAAAGTGTTTGCTGATCCCAACGAGTAGTGCGGCCCCCTGGTCAATTCCTGACGAAAAATAGTGGGTACTTCATGCAGGAAGCTGGTTTTCGTCGTGGGTGCCGTCATCTCTTCTGTTAACACCAATAGCGCCGTCTCACTGTATCCCGCTAAACCACGAAGGTTTTATAATCATTATTATTTGGGAAATCCTGCAGGGTAACCAGCATCCATGGCCAGATCATTGAATGCAGTGGCCCGCTGAATATAATTTGCGGGCAGAGTGGGGATCGGCTTTTGGAAGGCAGCGGTTATCACACGGGCGCTCGTCCGCAAAGCCAACTAGTGCTTTTGAGCTCTCGACGCGGGATCCGACCACGAACGCCAGTAAAGTATAAGTTCCATTGCATAGTCACTCCACCTGCCAATTTTGGGTTTTCTGACACTTGGCCTGGAAGCGACGGCATCTAATCAGAGTGCAAGGAATTATCATCCCTTTGCCCACTCGTCATCCTAGTATAAATCGCCACTGTGCCGTTCCCCTATTCTCATGCTAGTCGTGAGAGTCGGGAACACCCCAGCACTCTGCCGACACGCAAATTTTAACGTCACGTCTCATGGTACCCGACCTCATGCCGTCAGTTTACACTTGGGGTCCCTGGGCACTGGCTCTTGTAAGCGCAGTCTTTGTGCGCGCCATCTTTAGACGATATTGGACCTCGATTAGAGATGTTCCCGGCCCGTTTTTGGCGTCTTTTTCGACTTTGTGGCAGGTCGTGCAGATTCTGAAAGGCCACACCGAATCGGAAACAATTAGATTACACAGACAGCACGGTAAGCTTGTGTCTTGTATCCCAAGAGCCCCTTTATAAGACAACCTGTATTCTTATCTTATTTAATGCAAGGATACTTTGTTCGCATCGCGCCAAATGAAGTCAGCGTTTCTCATCCGGATGCCGTCCGACAACTACTTCATGCACAGATTGCCAAGGTATAGTGAGCTGCTTTGCTTTATATGATGTAAGCTTCGCGCCTAACGTCCATCCTACAGGGCCCATGGTATGCAATCATGAGTCTACCGGATTATCGCTATGTGAACCAGATGTCAGAATTAGATCCCAAAGAACATATCAGAAAACAGCGCAACATCGCGTCGGGATATGCACTTTCCAATATCATTCAGCATGAGCCACATTTCGACGCAATTCTGCGGCTCTTGACCACCCGTCTAAACGACTTTTGTGAATCCGGGCAACCGGTTGAATTGGATCGGTGGTTCACCTTTTTTGCATTTGACGCCGTGGGCGAAGTTATCTTCTCCAAGTCTTTTGGCTTCCTGGAGCAAGGGAAAGACGTCAGGGACGCCATTGCAAACCAGAGACTATTAGCGCCATATGCCACCGTGATGGGCCACTATTGCTGGTTTCATAACCTGACGCTGGGGAACCCGCTACTTAGTCGACTGGGTATTCAGCCATCTTCGCATGTCTTCGACACATGTATTGCGGCTATCGATGCGCGCAAGAAAAACCCTGCCAAGCGAAACGACATGATGCAGAAGTGGATTGACACCCGTGCCAAGTATCCTGATCGCATGGAAGAAGTTGAGATATTTTCTACTGCTGTCGGTACTCTTGGTGCCGGAGGAGACACTGTTAGTGCAACGATACAAGCACTGTTTTATCTCTTGATTCGTCATCCTCGACATATGATCCGGCTCCAGGATGAACTGGACGCTGCCCACGACCGCAAAGAACTCTCGCCTATTGTTAAATACGACGAAGCTCAACGATTACCTTTCCTTCAAGCTTGTGTATGCCGAAACACTCTCCCCGTTGTGAAAGTCTGGTTTTAACACGGTCATATAGATAAAAGAGACATATCGGTTTCATACCGCCGTTGGCCTTGGCCTTCCACGAGTCGCCCCGAGCGGTGGAATTACGATCGCCGGCAGATTTTTCCCAGAAGGGGTAATATTTTCCCGAAACGCCTTCCCTTCGTGGCCTTGTGTATGGCATTCACTGACGGCAAACTCCAGACCATTCTTAGCGTGAATCCTTGGGTCATTCACCGCAACCCCGAAATATTCGGTGAAGATTGCGATAGCTTCAACCCAGACCGCTGGCTTCAAACAGAAACAAGGCAGATGAATGCCTTCTTGATCCATGTATGTATACGCTATTTCCTGCCACTACCTTGGCAAATTTTTCTAATGACCATTTACCTACCACAGTGGGGGGCCGGGTATAATGCATGCCCCGGACGAAATTTCGCTCAATTTGAAATATCAAAGCTGGCTGCCACTTTATTGCGGGATTATGATATTGAGCAAATAGATCCCAAGCAAGAATGGACGTGGAAAAATCATTTTATTTGCGTGCCATATGAATGGCCCTGCAGAATTCGACATCGTTCGAGGTAAAATAACCTCGGATCAAATCTTCACCAATGATACCCTCTCTTTCAGCGAGTCAGCACCCTCTGGTTAATATCATCATTTGGGGGCACTGCAGAACGTGGTCTCGCCTCTTGAACGAACAATCTAGTATAGTACGCCTTGAAATTGGTGACGTCACCTTACAGCCAAACATAGCACTGGGAATATCATTGATGGGATACCTAACAACAAATGTGATAATCCTATTAGACTACGTGGAATATACAAACTAACCTAAAGAGGAAAGAGACTCGAACCTACAGGAGTGGGGGGGTGCGTTAGTCCCGATTGGGTAGAATCCTTCTGTTACGACTCTTTGCGTCACGATCACCCTTTTCCCAACCCTTCTCGTCATGCCGGACACCGAGCCTTTGTGAAGCTCGAATGCCGTCGTTTTTTGCAAAGCTCAAAGACATCTTCGCTGCCCCAGTCCATGCTCTGTCCACTTGTTGCGCTAAATGGGCTGTCTTGATGCCTGCCAAGAGCCATCTGGATGACCAGTATGGATTTCCGCAAGCAAGAGGGGCGGGGCAAGGACGTGGGTATTAGAGGTTTCACCGAACGAAGGTAGTACTAATAACACCGGATACCTCAAAGTATGGAAATACTGATTCTCCCCAGCAAAAACCATCGGTTTCCAGACCACATTGACAATACCGGGTCTAAAAAGATCTCTATTTCTGTATCTTTCTATATCTAATTTTTTTTTTCACGCTAGAGCAAACAAAGGAAATTCATCAAGACGTCAAGCTCCAATTTACAGCTTGCCGAAGATCTTCACCCGCTCCTCGATAGGCTTCTGCGCCTTCTCGCCAGCCTCGACCTCGGGGCTACCGAAGACCAGCTGTGCGACCAGCCGCCACTCGGTGGGCAGATTCCATTGCTGAGCGACCTTGGCGTCGATCAGAGGGTTGTAGTGCTGCAGGTTGGCGCCGAACCCGACCGATTCCAGAGCCGTCCAGACTGTATCTTTGTTAGCAGGGAACTCTGATCAAAGGAAAAAGAGTGCACGTACGGAAATACTGATGCATGGCGTTGGTGTGGTCGGCCCAGGGCTCGAACTTGTCTGAGAAGGCTGGGAACTTCTCCTGGAAGTCCTTGATGTGGGCTGGGTCTTCGTAGAAGAGGACCTGGTGGTTGTCAGTTCTGTCTCAATGCTTCGTCTTCAACAAAGGGTAAAACCTACAGTTCCAAGAGCAGCTCTGAAGCCCTGCAACTTCGGCAGAGTCTGATTCTTAAACACCTCCTCGGGAACGGCACCAGTCGAAACAAGCCCGCCAAATGCCTCGATGGCGATATCCCAGAGCTTCTCGTGCTCCTCGCGTAGAACAACAACCAGACGAGTCGACTGTGTGTTGAACGAGCTAGGAACGTTCAGAATAGCCGCATTGACCAGCTCTTCGACCTTGGAGTTGGGCACAGGGCTGTTCTTGCCCAGCTTGTAGATGGTGCGGCGGGTCTGGGCGGCCTGGACGAGTGCGTCGGTCATGGTGGGTGGTGTGTACTTGCGGAAGGAGGTTGAGAATGGTCGGAGGGGTGAAATGCGCGAGGCTGATAAGTATTGATGCGTTCCCGTGGAGCCAAGTGCGCGGCTGATGGTGTGGAGATTGAATGGTCGGAGGATGCGTGTTGCCATTGTTGAGCTAGGTTGGTCCTTTTATACCTATGTACGGATACAAGATGTCTTTCTTTTATAATGGATCGATAGTAGGCTTTGAAAAATCTTCAGAGATTTTCAGTGTTGACTAATTCGAGATATTCGTTGTTCGGTGTTGCGATGTCCCGAGGCGTTTCTTATGCGATTCTTATCTCCGGATCTCGGAATTACGGACTTGATATTTTGCATTTTGTCATCCGCTTAAAAATCTGCCGAAGCGCTGAGTCAGATTTTCCCATCAGTGAAAAAGCTGATTGCAGTTTTTCGGTCTATCTTCGTTTTTCACCTCATTTTGTTCGATCGTTTCTCTAAATGTTCGTAGGATTTTCCATACATGGACCCCACATTTCTGTCCCTCCGGTACGAACTATAAATAGTCCACATCAGGTACTTAGCACGCGTGCTTGCATGGTTGAAGAGGCTTATCTGACTCGTGCTAAAATGAGGAGCCGTGAATGACTGGAACGGGGAAATGGGGTCCCACTCGCGGGCAGCAACCCGAGAAGGAAATTAGTCTGAATCATGGCGTCCAATGGTGGCGGAACCAAGCCTCAATGGGGTTTTGCGCGGTAAAAGTAGTAGATTTTAGCGATATCGCCCCCAATCAGGCCCGAAGAGTCCTGACCCGGAGCCTCCGGTGGCCCGGGCCCTTTCTTCTTGGCCTTGGCATCTTCGTGTTGGGCCGTCTAGAACGAGACTTGAGATGAGGCGGTTTCGCCAAGCTGACGGGGCTAGAATATATCCTGATCCCTGATCCCTTTTCTTCAACTTATAATTTTCCCCTTACTCTATACACTCGTTACTACACCTTAAGATATACACTCGTTAAAATGCAGTCCAAGGTCGTCGCCGCTCTTTTCTTCTCTACTCTGGCCCTGGCTGCTCCGGCTCCTCAGGCTACCAGTGACTCGACCGTCACCGACGGCTCGGGATTCGATCTTGGAGATGCTGCTGACGCCCTCTCCGATGTCCCCAGCTCCATCTTGAGTGTTCTGGAGACCGCTATCCCCGCGTCATGGTACAACGATCTCGCCGACCCGGCTTCGCAGTCCTCCATGATCGCTGCTATGGAGGCCGGTACTATGCCCGCTTGGTATAACAACCTGCCCGCCAGCGTCAAGGCCTGGGCTACTTCCGCTGATGAGTTCGGCCTGGCTGATGTCACTGCCACTGCCGACTCTGCCGATTCTACTGACTCTCCCTCTGGCTCGACTGGCTCTGCCGCTGTCCAGACTACTGCTGCATCCACCTCGTCAGCCTCTGAGTCAGCCTCCGTTGCCTCTGTCTCTGGCTCTGCTGCTATGCAAACTACTGCTACATCCACCTCGTCAGCCTCTGAGTCAGCCTCCGTTGCCTCTGTCTCTGGCTCTGCTGCTATGCAAACTACTGCTACATCCACTTCGTCCGGCTCTGCCTCTGCTTCCTCTAAGGCCGCTTCCTCAACCTCCACTGGCGGTGCTCCCATCGCGACTGGCAGTGTTGCCATGAGCCTCGCCGGCGCCGTTGGCCTGCTGGGTCTTGCCATTGCCCTGTAGAGCAATGAGAATCGTTCTACGACACATGTCGGATATGTATACAATGTACCTTAGAATATACATCTAATCAATTTTCCAAGCACATTCGCGATTGGAAATGTTCACTCGGTTATTGGCTGCGCTGGAACGTATGTTGTAACAAATATGACACAACTTACGCCTGGCGTGTTACATCTATGTTTGTCCAGATCCTGTAGAATGCCTCGAGGTGGGTCAGGCTGATGGGCTCGAGCCACGGGTGGGCTGTTTCAATTTGGTTGTTTTCAAAAGTAAGTTGCAAAGAGGAACCTACCAAGCAGGCGGATGCAATTGCGAGATGATCTACCTAGTCAAGGTAGTTTCTGGGGCGACTCATTTGGAAAGCTTTAGTTGGAACATTCACGAATACTAGGCCATGTTCGGGCTTGAATGGATGCCAGTCGGGAAAGAAATGTACTGTGAGATTATCCGCTTTCATCGAACTCCTAACTAGCTGGCTCTACGTGTATTATCCGCTTGTCTTTTTGCAAACTGTCTACGATAAGCAAATTACCGTCCTTAGGAGAGAGTAGATTGACGATAGAAATGATAAAGTATTCATGTAAAAAGGTATACCTGGGCACCAACTACGAGATGGCTCCAAATGCCATCCACCTGTCTCTTCACCGGGCGCGCCGACAGAGACTCAGCCGTGTTCAATGTTCAAATTGGGATTGGCACCAAGAGCGTAGAATAATGAAAACCTGGTCGAACCACGCGAATTAGTGATCATTGACACGAAACGAAGCCAGCATGACGGAATGATAAAAATTTCAAGCTACTCAGAGACCCGTCTTGAAACATAAAAGGTATGTAAGTTTCTCCAAAGTTGTTCAGAGGCAAAATGGAAAAGATGGGTATCATCATCGAAGCTGCGATACGGTCGCAAGGGTGTGGTAAAGGGGACAGGGGTTCCTTACCTGAACCAGTCAGAGCCGTCCCGCCAGTGGGGAGTGGCGGGGACCACCACGGAAGTGTTTTCCAGAGTTATATAGGAGGTTCGCATTGCGATCTTTCGTTCCTGAATTCGGCGTGAGTGTATTTCGGGAGGTCAAAAAAGCATCGACGTTGGCTCCGATCGCGATTGATTAGTAAAGGTGTGCTGGTGGTGGTGCGTGGAAGAAATTGCTGATTTCGGTCTCAGGTCTCAAGGCGGGTTGAGAAGAACATCACTAAAAAGTGATTTGCCTGGCATCGTGGCAGTTTCTTCGCCCTTGAAAGCATGTCAAGAACCAAATCAGAACTCTTTGAGAATTCTACTTTTATAATGTGAAAGGGCTAGGGCCTGCCCTACCCCTGTTTTCACTGTTTTCACCTGAGCGGAGCGGAGAATGTCGTCATAGATCAGCCCATGCGACGGGGTGGAGAATATTCGGCTACTGAGCGTTCACTCATTGGAGAAAAAGAAGATGGTAACCATGAACCGTTCTCTTTCTGGAAATTCGATGGCAACGTGTCGCGTGCTATAGAAAGAAAGCATCCATCACAAGAAGCTAAGGCTCGAGGTTTTTCGCAGACCGGGTGGGTAGCTGCGAAAGGCTCCGTGGAAGGAAGAAGGCATCCTTTTCTAGCTATTGTTTCAACACTTAATGTTTTCAGATCGTCACTTCCGAGAATAACCCTCACCACCAGACATATCACATAAAAATCATTGGCATCCCATACGGTTCCACAAAAGATCATCCTCATGCGCCGAGCAGATCCTCATACCTCTGTAGATTCACCAGACGTTGTCTTCTGCGCCTGATTACCATTCCAATCACTCATCCTAACCGCAACCACCTTATCTCGCTGAACTTTGCGCTGATGGCGACCCCACAGGAGGAACAGCGCGACAGCAATAATAGCAGCACCTGCGACAGACCCAACCACAATACCTGCGATTTGACCTCCAGATAGCCCATCGGACGAAGACTTTGAAGCAGAGCTTATGGATGAGCCCGTGGTCGTGCTGGAACCAGAGCTGGACGTGCTGGACTCGCTGACATTGAAGCACAGTACGTTTGTGGTGAAAGAGGCCGACGGGACGTATTTGATGTCAGCACAGGCGTAGAACGTGCTGTTTGTGTCCGTGTCGAATGTTGATAGGTAGGATAGCTGTAGAGTAGCATTGGCCCCTGAGGAGATGTTGGATGGTGGATTGGGCACTGCGTAGCACTCGTGGCCGGGCTCAAGGTCCGGGAAGTTGCTTGCTGAGACGAGGGTCACGAAATCGTTGTTTGAGGTTGGATCAGTTGGCAGTCAGCGTGATGAAATGTTGTCTTGGATGCGCTCTTACCATTGTCGTAGGAAATAGCTAGGTTGACTCTGTAGGACTCGTCCTGCAAAACAAGGGATACCATGCCGTTTGCTATGCGAGTCAGCGTCTGCGATATTTCTCGCGAAATAGTAAGCTTACTGAGGGGGAAGTCTGTTCGATTCGTCACCCCAGCAGACGAACCGCAGGGCGCGGTGTTGTCCTGCGCAGCTCCCCAAGCTCGATCGGGGGGCCAGAGGAAGGCCGCGGGGCCCATGTCTGTGTCTATATCAGCGGCATTGGACCCGCTTACATAGAGGCTGGCAAGAACCAGAAGTACTGGGAGTCGCTGCATTGGGCTGAATTTTCTGGTAAAGCGTTCCAAAGGAGCTCAATAAAAATACACTAGCTGCAGACAGAGAAGAAAAGGATCGGTGACGGGACTATATAGCCACGCCTAGCAATCTAGCTCCTAACGCGCCCAGTTCACCGACGGGATACACCACGTCGGTAGGACGTACCGAGTCCACCCGCATATCATCCGTAAAGGAAAGTGGACCTAGTTCATGATTGCTCACTAGAAAGAAGCTAGTGACTAAATCTAAACCATGGGTTCGAGCCGAGTACTACCTTGGCGGTGCAATGAGTCTTCAAATGGGCATGTGATGGTACTCGTTCTAGCGCAGACCCAAAGAGGGAAATGGAAGCGGCAGAAGACGAATAGGGTGGGTGATTCATGATGTAAATTGGTCTCAATCATCAAGGGTTAGGCTGCTGGCAGCTCTAGCGTTGCTTTAGTCTCATACTCTAGCAAAGTCTGGTCAGACGTGGTGGCCGGAAGGTCACCGGAAAGTGACTCGCCGGGGTGATGAGATTAGATTGATAAGATCGAGTGGCTCCAGTGATTGGCGCTAAACCAGCCCCTCACTTCGCTTCCTTCAGCTTTCGATCGGTTCCGAATGGAACCCAAGAAAAAAGGCTGGAGACGTGTTCTCTAGCGTCGGCTATTTATCTCCGAAGCGGACAGAGTTCGGGTCCTGTTTGGTCTTCCATGATCAATTTGTCGGGTTGCCAGTAGAGTCGATCTTTTTCTCACTCAGTGTCCAGTGACTTTAAGTTCAGGAAGAGGAAATAAGGCGCTATCAAGATCTTAAAAGGCCCGCTCCCTTGATTTATGGCACTTTGCTTCTCATCCAAGTCTACAGAAAACGTGCGCAGGGCTCGTACGATGCCCGAAATGGGTGGGGCAAGGGTTGACACCCATGGTGGGACAAATGACTAGCCTCAAGCCACAACGGTGGGGCCTCATAGCATGTTGACTCTGGCAAGGTACCTAGCCGAGACTCCGAAGGTAAAAATCGGGGAAAGCGACAACGCCATCGCTTGGTGCAAGTTCCGATCCGCCGCGAAACTGCTATAAAACGCGGCACGTAGCTCGACTGCGCACTTATGACCCCGCGACAGTCATACAAACAGCTAATTGCTTGCGTTATTCTTTTCGCTTTGTATAGTTTTCAAAATGACTCGTTTCTTAATCGCCACGACTGCGCTTCTCGCTATTGTGGTCTCCTCCATGTCCACTCAATTGTCAAATTCGCTTCAAACGCGCGAAGATATTGAGCCAGGAAGCCCCCTGTACAACTGTCATGAAGCTTGCGGTAAGCCCGAATATTTACAGAATCCATTTCCCCCGGGGAAGCTGATCAAGTTCTACCGCGACTAGGCGAAGTCATCCTCATCTCCGAGACTGACAACTACTGCAACAATTCGACATTTACCTCGGACCTCAAATCCTGCCTGAAATGCGCGGAAACATACGACATCTGGAAGTACTATGGTACCAAAGTGAAATTGGCCGCGTCGGGTTGCAACGATGATGCGACCCCCAGCCCATCTTCTGCTACCTCGGAAGCGGCTGTTACTGCCACTACAGGTGTAAACAATACTTCCACTTCCAATACTAGCAACGCCACTGTGTCGACTACTTCCACTGCTTATACTACGGTATGTACTCATTTAATGGACTGATATGAATATAAAGACGGTGTTGGCTAATTGGCGCACTAAAGGGTACAACTCCGGGCACAGCTGCGACTGCCACCAACACCACCACCACTAATGGAGCTGTGTCTTTTGTTCAACAAAACGCGGCTCTTCCTGCAATCATGGGGCTCTTGGCTTGGGCTCTGACAGCATAATCTCTGTGTGGGATACCATTCACTTCGAACACTTAGATGAGTTAAAGTCAATTCCTACAGTGATATATATTCGTTGAAAGGAAAATTCATGTCTGTGCAAATTGGAAGGGCAAATGTATTAAAACTGTTACGAGTAGTTTGAAACCCTGTATTGTAATTAGTTAGTACAAGACTTTTATTAAGCTGAGTTGAAATTGCATACTCAATCAGGTTCCCATCCGGGTCCCTCACATAAACACTCCGAAGCTTCCCGACTGCCCCAATTCTGTCCACGATCTTGGCTCCCTCCAGGACCTGCATATGATTAGCTTATCCTCGATCAAATAAAGCAAAAATGGTGGTTTTACTTCGATCTTTGCTTCTTGGAAAGCCTGCAACACCCTCTCCACATTCTCGTCAGTCAAAAAACACAGATCGCCGCTCCCCGGCATGACATTCTGCGCTTTCGGCTCGAACTCCTTGCCTGATTGGTGAAGATTGATCTTCTGACTTCCGAAAAGGAGGGCATGCCTAGTGATGTTAATCTAGCTTTTCAGGTTGAGATCTGTGTACAATTCAAATTTACCTTTCAATGGCGGGGTTGGCGGGTGAGGTAAAGACTTCGTGCTTCATCCCCAAATGCGTCGTGTAGAAGGCAACTGTCTCTGGAATGGAGTGTACTGTGAGGACAAAATGGTCCAAGGACCTGACTGCGAACTTTGATGCCATATTGGATGGATTACGGTGCTTTGTAGATGGCAATCGAGTGAGAGATTGTTGGTTGCCTTGGAAAAGTCGCATTACTCATCGGATTCTGAGATCGCTCCCGGCTTCCTTTTCCAACCGTACAACCGAAGTTAATTTGAATCTCATTTTGCGATAAATGATAACTGATTTGATGAGAAATAGGTGTGTACCTGAAGCAGTTTGAATCGGATCTTCATTGGGCTTATATTGGCTGGCTTCTGAAAGGTTACTTCAATGCTAAGGATTAACATACTAGTGGCTTAAAACTCCATTTTCAGAAATGGAGAAGTTACATGAGATAAGAAGCTACACTACTGCTTCAAAATCGATTTCATGCCAGCCATTTGGTGTGTAAAGACCATCCTGTCGGAAGATAAAACCACCCTCGGGAATGCCTGGCGGCATCTCACATTTCTTCATACTCGCCTTGTAGACCGCCTTCCTGTGCTCCTTGGTGTCTTGAAAGCTTGAATTGCTATCCTTACAGGATCGCGTGCCATACCGAATGTAGCTGTTATGTGGCCGGGGTGCGCCATTTATCATGAATCGGCCCCCACTACAGATGTTACCCTGGAGGGGAGTTACTAGCCGCAATAAGTCTGTCTCATTGCGCACTCTCTGCCTTGCCAGTAATAATTAACCCAGGGCGCGGTTGGAACGGCTTTCCTCTGTGAATGAAGTCATCTGGCGCAGTAACCATAAAAAATATCGCAACAAACGAACCATGTGGCCTTTAGTGATATGGACACCTATAAAAAGCCTTTCTCGCACATTTTGAAGCGACACCTAGACCATTTCAGCATTATGTCTTACACTTCTTACTCCGACGCGCGCATGTCGCATAGCTTCCACTCCAATCCTCGGAAATCATTAAGATCACCAGAGCGCGAGCTCGCCTTCCGAAAAGAACAAATTGCAACGACCAAGAGATCCCTGATTCTCAAGCCGCAGGGTGACGCGCGCTCTGCGATGTCATATAAAATCACAGACAGCGATGACACACTGGAGTTCACGGTGACTGGACGAAAATACGGCGATCGCTCATGTCGGGAGTTTCGCGATTCTTCAGGTCTGCCTTTTTTCGAGCTTCACACGGCAGGCTTGAGTATATTTTCCTCTCGCTGGTATATTACCTTACCGGGTGGCGGAGATGTGAAGGTTGCCAAGGCGGGACCTCAGGTTTCCTGGAATGGAAGCGTTATGAAATTCACTTTTCAGAATATGGCTGCTGCTGATACCAAGCGCGAAGAGGATAAAGAGCTCACACTCAGCGTGGCGAAGTATGGAGTGGCCCTAAGTTTCTTCGATATCGTGGATAATGATCGAAGGATCGCGGAGGTGCGCGAGAGTATTCAGCATAATGATAAGTTGAATCTGAGGAGGTCGTCGCGTGCACAGGGTCATCGGCCTACTCTTGAGTTGACTGTCATGCCTGGCGTGGATGCTTCGTTAGTGAGTCTCCGTCGCGATGTTGGGGATGCTGAAGTATGGGGCTAATTTTGTTGTGTAGGTTGCGGCGATTGCTGTTATTCTCTCTGATTGGTATTTTGGATCTAATTGATGGCGTGCCGGTCAACCGGTTGATGATCTCAACATTTATCTAGAGTAATATATTCCGTTATTTCTGGCAACAGTGGGAGACCAAGTTTTCTGGACTTCGAAGGGTGGTCAGAAGGGGTTCAATATTTCATCAAATGTGAAAGCTTTTCACATTTTGTTACTTGCTTCTGATCAGCAACAACTGATAGCAGTTTGGTAACATATTTCTGCGCACGCTGAAATTAACAGCGACACCGAGCAGGATATACTCGAAAGTGGTATAGTTAAAAAGATGAAGAAGATTAAATTGACGTATTGGAGGGAGGGGAGACTTGTTGAAAGAGACAGGTGAGGTATCAAGCGAATTTACAAGGATATGGGACTCATTGCCTTCAGCATCACGAGCACTTCCCAATGCAAAACTGAGATATTCAAAAAGGCAGGTTTGTAAAAAAGCGAAAAGGGGCGAAAAAAGTGTATCATCACCTCGCAATATCTGCTTGTGTTGCCGATAATGGAACCCCGCTTTGCCCCACGAAATCCCCTCGCAGGTCAACATCGACCTATCACGCATCTACGAACCAACGAATCCGGTTCAAATTCACGATGGAGCCCAAAGTTGGAGTTGGTGTCTTTGCCTTGAACTCTGAGGGCCAATTCATCCTCGGAGAACGAAAGGGAAGTCACGGTGCCGGTGAGTTCGCCAATTTATGAGTCACAACCAGTCGATCTTCACGCTGGAACACTATTCCACCGCGTAACACACACATCTCACTGTTATTTTGTTTCAGGCACATGGGCTTTACCGGGCGGACATCTTGAATTCGGCGAGTCCTTCGAGACCTGCGCGGCACGCGAGCTCCTCGAGGAAACGGGTCTGCAGATCCGCAACCTGCAATTCCTGACCGCAGTCAACAGCGTCTTCGAAAAGGAAAAAAAGCATTATATTACCATTTTCATGGCTGGAATTGTCGACGCTGGAGCTCAGCCTCAGGTACGTGCAGCAATACTGCTTTTTGCTTTTGATTTCCTCTTATTCGTGCTTGGAATGACACCCAATCAGAATCTCGAACCTGAGAAGTGCTCTGGGTGGGAATGGATCTCGTGGGACGAGCTCAAGGCTGATAATGAAGCCCATATGAGTTCTTCTGGCGGGCGCAACTTATTCTTGCCTTTGGTGGAGCTGTTCCGCCAACGACCTACGTTCAAGGACCAGTTGAGCTACGTATCTGACTGGCATGGCGATGTTATCAACTTATAGACAGCCTTCATTGACCGTCGGCTCTGGTGATATGCAATGGGAAAGACAATACACGATCGACCGCAATTTGATTAGAGCAACAAAGCCGAAGAGTCGGGGAGTGAATCACAGGGTAAGATCAATACGTGCTTTTTTCAACATGAACAATGTATGCGCTGTTGATAATACTCCATCAATAGTTTGGCTCAGTAGAATCCCAATGCCTCAATTATGGAGATTATAGTATTGTAAAACTTTACGCAAGAGAGAGGATGAAAATTTAATTTGAGGTGTATATTGTAAAAAACATTGTGGTAGTCTGTGCCAAGATCGTAAATACCCCTTAGAAACACGGTCACCTTTATCCTTTCTCTCTATCACCACATTTGACCCGCTATAGACCTCAAGGCCTTGAGCAGGTCATCGTCACCCTTCTCCAAAGGAAATGTTTCCCTATCGCCTGGTAAGCCAAATGGTCTATCATAGACCGGGCACAACGTCCCACGAGTTGGAAGTATGCCGGTTTGAAAATAGCGTCGAACAGCTTTTGCGGTGCAAAGAGAGGGTGTTGCAAGTGACAGATGCTGAAATTTGTCATTATATTTTAGTCATTATTCGGGATAGTAAACGTATCGTTTGACTTACACCTTCTGAGTTTTGTTGGATGAGACTCGACCCAGGAAACCTGAGACTCATCCTTTTGGCACTTAGCAAAAAAAAGCGTGTTAATGTATGTGGCCGATTTCGTAGATTTGATATCAAGATTGGCATACTTATCAAGCGACGTGACGGGGTCCAAACTGTTTCCAATAAACAAGATCGGCTCTGTGAGGACTCCAATCGGCCCTTTAGAGATACCAATAGTAGTCAGTGTATGTTTAAGAGCTGGAGAATATACAGAACAAATGCGATCTCTTACCAGAGTACGTGAATTCAAGTCTGGTTTTCCAAAAAAGACAGAGCAGTCGATTTTGACTCCACCGGTCACCAAGGTAGATGCTCTGGTGACGCATCTTCTGCCAATATTCCACAAACTCCCCTTTTGTTGTATTGCTCTGGTCAGGACCATCGGAGCAGGATATGGCTCCGACCACTTCTTCTGCATAATCAGCAGGTTCAAAGAAAATATCCTGTGGCGGTGATGTTTGCTTTCGATTTGCAATGATGCTCCCATCCCCATTAGCTAAGTTGTTTAATGCCCGGGCTAGACCATCAAATTCCTTGAATGGCTCATATAATGAATCTCGGATGATCTTCTGCACGTCGCTATAGGTGACAATCTCAGGTCCGTGTGCGGATAACACGGATTTAGTTGTATTTCTTGCAAACGCGACAATATCGTCAAGCGAGGATTGGATGTATCTCGGACCCTTTTCAGAGAATAAATCGCATTTATCAGGCCCTGCTTGATAGCAATAGATGCTGAATCGCTCCATGATAGCATCTGCATCGTTAATGTTTCCGTCCCAGGTCCCTATGCTCTTAGCAACCAGCAGACCAGGGTAGAATAATGCACTTACCAGCATAATGGCGATCACTATCAACAATACCATCCAGTACCAAACGGCCCACGAGATGTGGATACATACTTGCAAATGTTTCACCTAACAGAGTTCCATATGAGAATCCCCAATATTGCAGCTTATATAGCCGCAGATCCGGCTTTTCTATAGGATTTTGAGGTTCCCGAATTGGCTGGCTGAACTGAGTCCACTTTCCTCTCCATCTCGCTAAGGCTTCTACAATCGCAGCCATATCCATCGCAATGATTGGAGTATTCATTCGTGTACCAATCCCCTCGTCCCCTACTTGGGAATAGCAGGTCTCAGCAAGAGCCTTCTTCCTCGCCCACATACGGCTAAATGCCACATCCGAGCTGCCTAGTAAGCCATCCGTCTCAGAAGCTACCTGCCACAACCACCTCTGCTGGGCGTTGGCAAAGCATGTGAATGATGGAGTAGTAAAGCCGACACCCCGGGGGTCAAAAGCTATGATATCGAAATACTTCTCTATCCTCGTTGATTCAGCGTCATCGGGGCTGAACGGAGAATCGACGATCGTTTGGAGATTGTTCCCATGAAGACGGGCAAACTTAATGCCTGAGCCTCCTGGACCACCTAAGAAGGCTGTATCAGCAGAACTGGGACAGGTACTGCCGTATATTACGTTGCGGAGTGAATGATCATTGGAAATACCTGGGTTAATCAGAATTGAACCGCCGTACCGTGGGTCGCTCACGTCTACTTTTGCGGGCAGTCTGATTAATGCAATGGCGACTCGTTGTGAATCGGTAGCTTCATTCTTCCAGTCCAATGGGACATCAAGGCGGGCGCATTCAAAAGTGGAATAGCAAGAATGGAAGTGGAGATTTGCCGAGGGGAGAATCTTGAGAAAGCACTCAGCATTCGATCGCGCAGAAAGTCTTATGATTGCGGGGGTATATCTTATACGATCCCATATCGAGTGGTGCTGAGGATGTTCCGGGGACTGCGGGGACTGCGGGGACTGCGGCAATACCGAGGAGACGGATGATGGGACTGTGATCGTCTCCCATATCGCCAGAATGAAGGATATCAGGAAATTCATATTTGCGCGTTGAAAGAGAGAAAGACCTGCTTGATTTCAGGGGAAGGGAAGAAAGGCTCTCGCTCTTGGTATTGATTACGCTATATAAACTGACTGGCTTTCGGTTCAGCTCAGCAACTTCCTGGTTAGGCCTCGCTAGGTATGGGCTTATGTAACCCACCTGCGTAGCTCCTCGATTACACAGCAGCACGCTCTGATGGGTTGAATGAGGAAGCGGTCAAAAGGATCATTGAAGGATTCGATTTGCTGTTTCACATTATTAAGTAGCGGTTGGGCTGATCTCTCTATATGACAGAATGCCCCGCAGCGCTGACGTGCCCCCACTTCTGTTCCGGACACTCCAAATTCCATACTAAATACCCATTTCTTTTGGTCCATATCTCAGCAACTGTACGTTGTTTTGATATCAAATTTTTGCCTGTAATTATAGTCTACTGTTTTCAATAGCATGTCCTGACTTGGTGGCAGATATGTAACGCTTATTATTCATTACCTAAAATTATACCTGTCGGGATTTAGGTGTATGCATTTACCCAAAGCTTCCAATTCAACATGAAGTTCCCGTTCTGTCACCTCTCACCGCTTTTCGTCCGATTTTCCTGCTCTCTCATTTATCTCTCACTTAAGTATTTACTATGCTCTCCCTTTACTAACCTATATAATCACGGTTATTAGGCCTACCCCTCACTTCATAACTACATCTATATCTACCACTCCCGACAGCATTATTAACGTCAGAATCAAGGAAAAGAAGGCTAAGAGGTAGAGAGGCTATAGTGGATATAGAAAGAGACATCCAGGTATATTGCCTTGAATATCTATACGCTGGATAGCATCTCCATCCAAGTCCGGATTTGAGTTCTGTCAAGCTCGGCAGATGATTTCAACTGGCGTGGTGGCTCACATCTATCCCTACCATGCAAGGGGTTTGTGGGTAGGAAATTGCCAACCCGGAGTTTAGAAGCCCTTGCTGGTCTTCGGGAAGGGCTGTCCGCTAATGAGCTTACTTTAAGACTATTGTTTTAGTCCGCGTAAACAATGAAGTCACTTTTACTTAGACATTACCCGTCATTGGGCGAGTCAAATCTGGTCTCGATTAGTGCCGCCGTGACAAGGCGTTTCGTATTCGATTTCGAGATAATTCACATGTTCAAATGCTTCAAACCACATCAAGTGCTACTTTCTCCATTATCCCATTATCGTATTAGGATGGTTCAACCTTTGTGTTTGCTAGAGCACACAAGGCCTTTAGTCCCGCAAGGTGATGCGATCCCAAGTAGATCTTAATTTCGACCACCCAGATTTTTAAGGTAATATGAGACATCAAATCTCCAACAGCGATCACCAACCTCCATGACGCTTCATGCAAGGGCCCACCAACTATACAGACAAAGACTATCAAAGACCCAGAGCCAAATACAAAAAGCCCCGTCCTTCCAGAGCACCGTTTGCCATCCATCCAAATCCCATCCAATCCACCAATCCTCCAGCCATGTATTTCAAACAAATCCTCGTAACCTCCCTCCTAGCCCTCCTCAGTGGCTCCGTTGTCGCTCACGGCCAATACGGCGCTGTTCCCAGCCAATCCATGGCCCCCGAGTCCTCTACTGGCCACAACTCCTCCATGGCGTCACAGTCATCCAACACCACGGCTGGCACCTCATCCATGGCACGGACTTCCTCAGTGCAATCTAACTCCACGGCTGGCACCTCATCCATGGCACGAACTTCCTCAATGGCACCTAACTCCACGACAACTACTTCGGGCTCTTACACCTCCACTCCATCCACCCTGAGCTCGTCTATGAGACCTACTTCCTCCAATGCTACCTCCAGCGACTCTGGCGTGCTCGGCGGTCTTCTGGATAACAAGAAGCTGAACCTCCGTGCTGAGCCGGGTCCGATGGACGAGTTTACTCGTGCTATGCCATCTGGCGATTATAGCCAGCCTGCGGCGCAGCCTGCTGCTTATCCTACCAATTAAGTGGTTGTATGAGGACTTTTGGATTTTGGGACTTTGTATGATGTTTTATATTTCTTGTTCTGGGATTGGCTTTATCTATGATTGGCGGTAATGTACATCTATTGGTTCTTGTCGAGTAATCGAGGAGTTTGAATGCCTGTCTTCACGACTTGACGGAGTAAATTATAATCTCTATTTCTGATTTCACAGAGATATCCAAGCTCCGAAGCATTGTAGATAACCGGACCCAAAAATAGTACCTTGAAGTCAACAAGGTGCTGTGCCCTTTTTCAGGTCATAATTGAAGATGCGCACATTAGCAAACCCATTAAACACTACCCAATGGTAGCATGAAACAAGGTCCCCGAAGTATTGTACAAACAATTGTCCACCTCATAAATATGTCAAAAAAGAAAATCGTCGGACCTTGAGTCGTAACATCAAGCCGGTATGGAACTCATAGATCGTTGTTTTCATGTCAGATTTGACCCCGCTGCAACGCACACTCGCTTGGACCTTGACTGTTGAACCCGTGATACCAGCCCCCGTCGATGAGGTTGTTTTCGAGATCTCGCCAGTACTTGGCTTTGCCTCCGGCGCCTGTTTTCAGGTCGAGGTCGCCGAGGCGGATTTCTACTGCAGACATTTCGTCTCGGGGGATCTGGTAACTATATTAGTGAAAACGTAATCTAGCTGGGAGATAAAGGAAATTACCTTGATAAACATCGTACAGTCTCGGAGCGTCATATCAAGTGACATCTCCTGAGACTGTGCCGGCGGTCCAAGCAGGCCGACTTCTCGCCGGGATTTTTGCTGAGATTGAAGCTTTTGCAATGTAGGATTGCGGTGCAATATGCGCGCAAGTCGGTGTCGGTCATTGCATCCTTTTATGAAACCCGTCGCCCGCAGGACGCTATCCAAGCGTTCGGAGACAAGATCCAGCGGACAGAAGGATCGTTGCTCTTTCTGTCCCAGTCTTCGTGCTTCGTGGTTCTTCATCTCTCTTAATGCACACGTCCGGCACCTGCGGGCTGAGGTAGGTGCCGAAGGGGACTGAATTAGCCATTTTGGCTTCAACTCCGCTAATGTGGCGTTGGGATCGTCGGCAGTGGTCATGTCGGTGATCAGTAGACCGAACGGCTCGTTCAAGCACAAGTATCCGCCATGCCGCTTCTTCGGCCGCTTGCCGTTTAGTTCATCGATATGAAGGAGCTCATTGCAGCGCTGGATTAATCCCTCCGGTAGACGGATGAGTGTCTGGTCGACTAGCTCTTCGGGTTTGAAGAGGGGTCGCACGATATTGTTGAAGTTCTGGACGATTTCTTTGTATGATTGGTTTGCGGCGGTTTCTTTGCGCAGACGGAGCAATTTGCCTTTGAATGAGGCCGGTACGGCACGATTCTCGAGACTGTCGATCGCAACTGGTGACAGTGGTCTCTTGGGTTCCTTTTCGAGAGATTTGAGCGGCGCAGAGACAAAGCGATAGATCACATTTGCGCCACCCTCGGCGAGATAGACAAGCTGAACTCCCGGGGGGAGCTCAAGGAGACTGGGTTTTGTCATTCGTGGAGAAATGATGGTAGGTGGGAATGGACAGTCTCCAGGAGCATGACTTTTTTTTCTCTATGGGGGTTAAGGGGGCTTCAAGCCACGGAGTCGATTTCCAGGGATCTGGGATGATTCGGTGGAGATTTGAGATGAGCGGTCGAGGCGATCGATGGCGATTGGCCATGTAAATACAAGCTACTAGGCCGATCGGTTATGCCTGCATCCAGTACTGGAGCTAAGACTGATTCAGCTTGGGTGGGTTTGAGCCGAGCGAGTAGCGAGGAGAGTTGAGGATCGCGGGTATCAGACTGCAGCGTGGCGCAGGTGAATCGGACGAGTCGTCGAGTCTGGCGGTGACGGCGAGGAACACGAACACGCAAGCCGCCAAACCGCCCGTTGGCGGTTCGCCGTTTGGGACGTTGAACGAGTCGGAGAAAAGACGAAACCCGGGGCGGATAACGTGCAGGGTTTAGTCCCAATGGTGGGGGTTCATCACAACAGTGGCGCTGACCCTGGAGGCGATCATTCCAATCCAATCAGAAAGTAAGTTGGTGATAGTTGATGCCAGGTGAAGGTAGAAGAAGAGAACCTAGGTTCGCGGCGGTCAGCGAACGCGCTGATAAAGCAGGGCCAGCGTCACCGAGTTCAGCCCAGTGAAAATAATATACAATCGATTTTCGATGTTTAATTTTCCCATTTTACCGTACAGTCAAAGGTACGGTACTTGACAACTTTTAGGAAATACTTTGCGGTCACTTTGTAGTGCAGACAACACATCTCCCCACACCCCGCCATCGCACCTTCAACCACCCACAATGGACTACACAGGCCTCCCCACTCCTGAGAAGTGCACCGCAGATTTCTGTCTGATCCCGGTAAGCACATAGCTGCTAGGTAGTCATCATTTGCACCCACTCACAGACCTCCAGATTGGTACCGCCTCGGCTTCAGTCTCGGCGCAAATCGCCGACGTCCAGCGGCTGATCGAGCAATCGGGGGTGAAATACACCATGCATTCTGCGGGGACGACTCTGGGTACGTATTCCCTCTTCGCGGCTATCTACCTCGGTGCCTAGATGTACCTCACTTGGGGAGTCTTTCGGATACTGTGGCACACCACGCCAAGTCCGGTTTTACGATCCAACCACCATATATCACCACCCAAGACACTCCCTCAAACACTATGACGGCCTAAAGCTAACCACTGGGTCACCAACAGAAGGTCCCTGGGACCGAGTGCACCAGGTGATCGGGCAGGCGCATACACTCCTCCATCAACAGGGGATCGTGCGGATTCAGACCGATATCCGAGTTGGGTCGAGGTGAGCTTACCTCGTTTTTCTACTTTTGCCTCGTCGCTATCACGTTGCACGTTTCCCTATCCCTGCACCAGAGATCACAATTATACTAACGGCCGGTCTGGTTCCGTTCAGGACGGATAAGGTGCAGACTGCGGAGGATAAGGTGAACAAGGTGCGACAGTTGTTGGGCAAGGATCCTCAATAGAACAGCACTATTCATCTGGACACGGATGTATCGACTTCAAAGTTGAATTTCATTTCCTAATACAGAAGACAAGTCGTTACTCATTCCAGCCCAAACCCAAATCATCCATAACGCCGGGTTTCCTTTTGCGGGAAAGAACCCGTCTCAATAGACCCATATCCCTATCCATATCTATATCTATGCTCTATGTACTGGCCCGAGTCTTTGTGGATACAAGACTCAAGACTCCAAGGAATATCCGAGAAACAAGAACGCTGCACGATAAAACAGAGAATACGAGGTGGTGCGTTTAGAGGGAGATTCCTCCTCCAAGCACACTGCCCCAGTTCCCACCAACCCAGATCCAGTTGCCCATGGTTGGCGTAGAACCCGCCGCCGCCGCCTCAGCCAGTCCAACCAAGTCCTTGAACACGTTGCTGATCGTGGACCCGTCGCTCGACTCTGCGGCGGAGGTGGTGAGCGATGTACGGCCAACGGCATTGGTAACATTATTCAAGTTATCGACTGTTTCAATCGCAGGGCCCCGGTTGAAGAAATCCACCAGGATGAATGTCGGCTGACGCCCGTCCCACGCGGACTTGCACTTGGTCGCCGTGCTGCCGAGGTTACCCACCCCGCCGGACGGGGCGTTGGTGGTGGACACGTAGCTAGCGTTCGGGTACTCGATTCCGAGGGAAGAAAGATCGCTCGAGTACAGGAAGTGGTTCATCAGCGGGAGACGGTTGGAGGAGAGAGCTGTCGAGGCGGAGCCGGAGACGGACGAGGGACGCTGGGGGACGCAGGAGAAGTTCGAGGGCGAGATTACGTTATATGGATTCTCCCAGACGAAAGTGAATTCATCCATGAGATATGGGTAGCTGGAGCTGGTCGTGAGGGAGGCGATGAAGACGACGAGGCGCTTGCCGTCATTGATCATTGTTTGGAGGGTTGGCCAGGAGGTTGGGGCAGAATCGAGTGAGGTAGGCTCGTAGGCGTAGGAAGTTATGTTAGCTGTCTCGAACTCGGTGTTTAGGTCTGAGGCAGATGCGCTGTCTGAGTTGACTAGGAGTACTGTGACGACTGTGCGGGTCTGTTAGTCCGTTCTCCGCATCTGCGTGTTTCAAGTAAACATACCTTCATTGGGATTGTCGTCCAGCCAGGTCTTGATGTCTCCTAGCCAGGAGCTCAATAGACCTGCGTCTAGCAGGTCGCAGCTTGTGTGGCATAGGTGCCATTGCGAGTTGCTCTGGTGTACTTGGCCTGTGACCAGCCGGACGCCGGCATCTAGTTGTGTAGGGGTATCGTAGTATCTACGCGCGAGAATGGGTTAGGATCAAGTTACGACAGGCTTCACAGAAGAACGTACTGGTCGCCTGCGACGGAGTCGCTAGTGGTGGAGTCGCGCACAAAGGGACTGTCGTGGGCACCGAGGTGGGTGATCTCGCCGTAGGACTTGGAGCATAAGTCAGGGGAATTGTTGCAAGCTGTCGAGCGCACATTCAGAGGGTTGGCAAGCGCCACGGGCAACAGAACCAGCAAACTGAAGGCCCTCATTTTGGTGTAGGATGGTATGCTGAGGACAGCCGGAGAGGAGATAGAATAAGAAGGGACCGGGGAATGTTTAGAGTGACGATGAATTGCGGGTCCAGGCCGCGTTGCCGTCTCAACTATTCTTAGATCGTGGATCTGCACCGCCGCCGACTGGTTTTTATTGGTTTTTATTGGCTTATCACCTATTGTTTAATGGTAGGCCAAGGCGTGCGTTAGGTAGAGTACGCATGCCCAGAATGGCTGAAGCGTTGACGAGTGTTGCACAGCCCGTGTTCTCGGACTTTGGGGAGGAGTCCGCTTCTACCGATGGATGACATGCGATCACAGATCAGGCCTGGATTCTAACATTGAAGTCGCTATTATTTGTGAATGGGTATAGTAATGTACATTGGATCACCGCGGCATCCTTCGTGGCAGGATCACTCGCGCAGTGCGCCGTCTCGAATATTTCGTACGCGATGGATTCACCAGTCGCCGTGGGTTTGAGACTTCCATTCCGTTGAACAGGCTGAAATTACCCCAGGCACGAAGGATGTCCACCGCTACTTGTTCCAGACTGTAAGGATTCTCTCGTCGCAGCATACGGTTCATTCGTTGCTGGGAAGGGCACCACCGGCTGAATAGCATGGCCAGCCGAGACCGAGCCGCGCGGCGAATCTCACGCCTCTGGAGTGCAAGACCAGCTTGCTCCAGCTCCCGAAGAAGGATGATACCCCGAGTCCAAGGAATAAGCTTGGCCCCCGTGATGGGATGCGTGTAGGCGAGTTTTGACTTCCTCTCTTGATTCACGGCGAGTTTGAAGCCCCAGTGGACGATGGCATGCTGCATCTGCGGTGTGAAGATGAGTTTAACCATGCGACCGTCTCGTCCATGGACTGGAGCCGTGGTCGATTGTGAGGGGTCCCAGGGTATTCGTGATTGGGACACAGCCTCGTTAGAATATTCACGGGCCAACCAAAGGCAACATTCTCGAAGCCCTACCCAGTGATTTGACATGCCAAGCCGCTTCAGCAACTCCACCCAGAATGCCGCACTGACATAGACTCCTGCGGGGACCACGCGCTGCATGACCTTGAAAATGAACATGGCCTCCTCTGCAGTCGACAGCAGCTTGCCGGGCGGTGGTCGACGGTTCAATCGGCGAGGCGTTAGAACTTTCTCGGCCATGTAATCCACGCTGTCCGCGTTGAGGGATCTTCCTCGTAGGGCCAGCTCATCAACCACTTTGATAGCCGCGTCGAATTCCCCGGCTGCAATGTGCTTGCGGAAATGGATGTCCAGCAAATCCGGGGTATCGGGGAATAGCTCTGCCAAGACGGCGAGAGATATCTTGTATTGGTGTGAATCACGAGCCATGTAGTAGGAGACAAGTAGTGACTCCTGCATTTCGACATCCTCGAGCACGTCGGGGTGCTGATCACTGCCCAGCAGGTCGGAAAGAAGGATATCGCGGTTTTGCACGGCTAGTTTCTGGACCAGGCGCGTGAACACCGTGTTTCTGATGGAAATACCGGATTGTCGGAGCATCTTGAGTTTGTCTAGGATATCCTGGCTGCTGTGAGCTCGGATGGCCATCTCACGTACGGTTCGTGGCCCGATTGCTGATACGCCAAGCATCTTCAGCGTACCAAGTATCATGTCGAAAGTGAGGGCCCTTGTCGCGAACAGTCGGGCTCCTATCTCATCTTTGAAGGGCTTGCCTTCGGTAACATTCTCCTTCGCGTGTCCCAAAGCTGACCTATGCGGGGGTTGTATTTGTTGCTCGGCGGCTGTAATTTCCTCTTCGAATCGATCTTTGGCATAATCTCGAATTCGTGTGAAGTCCTTCTCAAACCCATATTTCTTGACATATTCCATCAAGGGCTGTAGTTCGTCCAAGGATTTTGGATGGTCTTCGTTTCTTATCAAAAAGGCATGCAATGAGATGGCGTCTTCTCCATATCCCTGCCGTAAAAGGGCCGGAATGACTGAACCGTAGACCTGATGGCCTGGAATTTGACGGATCATGGTCTGGAAAGTCGAAAGCCTCTGGAAAGCAGATAGCAGTTGAGGGTTTTTCAATGAGTTTGTGCTGGCTGAAAGGTATTCTGGATGAATGGCTGGCTGGATGACCTGGACCAGATCATCTGGGCGGGCAAGACCGGAGGCTTGAAGCTTTTGGTGCCACTCCACGGCCTGTTTCTGCATCCCCCGGTCAAGAAGACCACCCACGACACTTCGGTAGAATTTGCTCCAGCAAGCATTTTGCGTTTCCCAGATATTTACTGCATATTCCACCACGTCCTTGAGAAATAAATGTCGCTTCAAACCCAGGTCCACAAAGCTTTGCCAAAAGAAGTCTGCCCTTTCTCCGGTCACGGGAAGCTTCACACCATCCAAGCGGATGGTCAAGCCCTCCCAAATATCTTGTGTACCTTTGTCACCATAATGACGCTGGCGAAACCGTAGCAGTTCCTCCCAAAGCTCACAGTCATGCCGATGCGCCAAGCTATCCACTAGTCGTGTTCCAATGTCTTTTGTGTGGCCGATATCCGATTCAAACTCCAGTTGCTCTTGTTGTAGCCGCAGATTTTTTTTGACACGCTCAGCCGTACTATGTCGATCTGTATTGTCCGGGCGATGTGAAGATTCGGAGGAACGGTTCTCGGATGGCGATTCAATCTCGTAGATAGCAAAGCTGAAAGGCCGTTTCTCACCCCCAGTCTGCTGTCTATACCCAGGCTCCTGTATAGACGATCTCTCCTCGGTCTCATCGAGAGAAATTTCACCGGCGCATCGCGATCGGCAGCGCAGACGCGTGTATCTGGACTCCAACTGCTCGACTCCGACCGGGGTGGCTGCAAGGGAATTGAGGATCGAGAAGGCGGACGGCCTCTTCAGGAGTCGAAGAAGAGCCGGTCGCATCGGGCGTGCAAGGGAGGAGGTGCTCGCCGACCATCCTTCTAGTTCAACATTCAATGACGGGACACTTAAATTCACAGATGACGCTTTCCCCTTTTAGGTCCCATGACTCAGCACGGAACGAAGAGGAAAGTCATGTGACCGAGAAGCTCTCCCGAACTCGACGACATCGTCCCATGGCCCTTACACCTTCTCCCACCAGATCCTCGTCTCTCCCCTCCAACCAGCAAAATGTTCCGCACTGTGCCTCGCATGGCCGGGTATGTCTCCCCCGAATTCCGCAACTGTTTCCACGCCAATCGTGCCCCGCGCGCGAGTGCGATCGAATTTCGCTTCGCCAATCCTTGCGAGTGTCTGCAGTCATGCAATTGCAATTGACACTCTGACGGACGATTGCTCGACCCACGATACCAAAAACAGTTTCTAATTCGTGTTGTGCTTCTAGTTTCGTGTTCCGCGAGAACCGTGTCCCCCACTACCAGCGCCTGTTCCAGAACCACGACGGCAAGCGTCAATGGTGGAAGGTCAGTTCGCACCGAAGAACCCGCATTTCGAACCATTCAACGACAGCAATCTAACATCAATTTCGTCGAACAGACCTCCCGTAGCGGTTACCTCGTGTACCCCTACCTGCTCTCCGTCTACGGACTCGGTGCTGGTGAGTGGAGCCTTCTTGAAATTAAGAATGGCCCGACCAGACAACTGACATGACTCCCTTCCAGCTACCACCTACGCCATGTTCCGCATGGTCTTCGTTAGTCTACCCTCACCCCCTCCCCTCGCTATGGAGCGAGGACTACCTACTCGGGGTTTCACGCACTTATATTAACTATGTTAACAGGGCCACAAGACCTGGATTTAAACGCCACCCTTGGATGGGCCTGGCAGCTGAAGCTGCAATGTTAGATTGACTCTATATTGGCGGTGTATTTCTACTCCGGTTGTGGGTTAGATGGATTTGGAAGCAGTTGGTTTGGGCTGTACATAAACCAATTCAAGCCCCGATCCGAGGATTGTTGCCTTTACACAAGTTTGCTCCTAAACTCGTAGCCCGATCCGTTTTTATCATCCACTTGAGTCATGTTTGTCACCGCTTACTTTAATCAGCCTGTCATTGGCTTACGCTAAAATCGCATGTCGCACTTCTGGGGCCAGAACTTTGACTTACAAGCCAGATGATTACAGTTAATCCTCTACATCCTTCTCATGAGTAACATCTTACACAAGACCCAGGACACAACCTACAAAAGACGAATACATCACATCGCTTCAGCTCAGCTGATCCCAAACCGGTGTGAAATGCTTAGTCAGCGGGTTTGACGGCCTCGTAGGATCGTTGTCTGGACCTAACTCTTGTCTTTACTCGATCAAATGAGGGAAAGTATCTTGCTCCTTTCGACGAAGTACTGTTCATCCTGGTAGTTTGGATTTCGTCTGTGGACCTGTCTGTGAATGAACACAATCCTTATCTCGAGATATAAATACATTGGGCAACACCGCAATCCCACCACTTACGGATGCCCACTTTCAGAAACTACGCACATGTGAATGTTCTCTGACATGAAGACTCTATCCTTGAACCATGGACGAAACAAGCTCCACATATCCCGAACGGCCTTCCAAGCGGGTTCGACAGGCCTGTGAGCCTTGCAGGTCAGACCAGAGATGATGTCCCACTTGCAACACCAGACCTGGCTAATAAATACCCCAGAAGAAAGAAAGCAAAATGCCCTGGGGAGCAGCCCGTCTGTTCCCTGTGTGCAAGACTACGTCAGCAATGTGTTTATGCAGATGAGAGACGTCGTCTACCCCCATCTGAAGAGCCGCCTAGGCTGAGTGCCTCAGGAGTCTCAGCATCAAACACGCTGGTTAGCCCCTTTGACACCTCACTGTATCATGTCCCTCTAATGACCTGCCCCTTACTATAGGAAGATAGACTACATAGCCTAGAGAACAAACTAGGAGCTGTACTTGATCACCTAGGGTATGGATATTGAACCCCACGCCGAATCCACTTACTGATCCCCGCTAGTGCCGGTTCAAGAGAAGAGCGCTTAGGCGAAAGCGAGTCCTCTGCATATCCTGGATCCAGCTCATCAATCATCCTTCCATCATGGGATGACATCACCCCTATAGCGAAGCTTTATCTGGTGTATTGCGAGTCTCAGCCTCTTCCTCTCTTTCATAGAAGCAGCTTTCTTGCCAGTCTCCAGACGCGTGAAGTGGAGATTATATATGCCATGCTCGCTTTGAGTCTTCGGTTCTCAGATGCATACCCCAGGACTAGGGACCTGACTGAACTGGTCAACAGCTATGCTGAAGTAGCGCGTGGCTTAGTGATGAAACGGGTCTCAGAGGGTCCTGTGGAGTTGTCAACGCTACAGTGTCTTTGCCTTTTGAGTCTTGTTGATTTTACAAGTAAGCTCCTGACAAAGCGTGAGTGAATTGGGCTAACGGTCTGTATCAGATGGCAATACACATCGTTCCAGCATTCACAGCAGCCTCGCAATGAACCTTGCACAATGCTCCAACCTTGCACTCGAGCCCCGTACCCCAACCAGCAACGTCCTTCGTGAAGAGCGCAGAAGATGCTTTTGGAGCATATGTCTGCTCAAGCGGCTCCATGGCGGCGAATTCTCAACCCTCGACTTTCCAGACGTGGGAGGTCCACCTTTCCCCCAAAGTCCAACCCGACCAGCTCGCGTTATGTCCCCAGGCCCATCATCAGTCGAAGTACGCAGAAGCAATATTCAAGACCAAGGCATAATGGCCTACGCAATAATTCTTAGCGAAGTATTCGCCCGCGCCGCACGGTACGTGCGCCTACGCGGAAGACCAAGCAATGTCCCACCGTGGTCCCCTCATTCCGAGTACTCCAAGATTATCGCGCTTCAGATGGATCTCGAGACACGCATGCCTCTCACTCATCGATTCAAACCAGCCAACCTCAGCGATAGGTCGCTGGATGAACTACAAGCCCATCGAGACTACTGGGGCCCGTGGTTCTTGAACCAATTCATGTATCACACTATCTTGTGTCTTTTAAACCATCCCCTGCTTCTGTCTTTGAGTCTGCGCACTTTTCGCAGCACTATTCCTGAGATCTTTCTCCAGCATACATCTGATTTGATCTCGTCGCACACGACATGGATCATTCATTTCATTAACTTCTTCGAAGAGAAATCGTTTCTGGTGTCTGATCCACTGCTGGGATATAGCGCCGCCGTTGTGGCAACTATCGAGCTACAGCTGAGTTTTACGGATAATTTGACTATCCGGGAGCAGAAGCGTGAAAGGTTCACCAAATGTGTCAAGTTTGTGCAGCAGATAGGGGAGAGATGGCCTCATATGGCTCGCTTGGTAAGTCTCTTATCTGTTCTAACAAGAATATCTCTGATCAATAACCGCTCCGTACAGGCACAAAGGTTGCAACATTTGGAAGACGCCGTTTCGGCAACCTACCAGTCTGATCCGGAGGCACACAACCAAAGTCTCCTCATTGACCTGTCTAAATTCTGGGAAATTCTGGAATACTCCTCGAACAGTGACGCCGACTCCGCGAGGCGATTGTTCGGAGACTCTCTCTATTCCGGATCTCATCTTGCGGCTGCGGAGGTGTCGCAAACTTCGCCCTTGCCCGCCCCAACTCGCATCGGAGAAGAACGGCCCTCTAACTACACAACTCCCAATTTCGGCACCAACGCTGCATTTACCGGTGCACACGACTACCATGCTGGCTCTTTGGTTTCACCACAACAGTTGACCCTTACAAACGACGACTTTTCCATCCTCGCCACCAACTTCTTTTCGCAGGGACAAGAGTTCCTTCGTAGTGGAGATACGTGGGATAATATTGGCAACTTTTGAAAATTTAAATGTGTATGCATGAATAAATTTTGTGTCTATGGTATTGTCATAAAATGCGATATGGTGTGCGCAAGACCCTACACCACCAAAGCAGACTTGAACACCTCCACGAACCGGAACACTTCCGAAAACGTATTATAAAGAGGCACGGGAGCGACACGGACAACATCCGGTTCGCGCTTATCACAAATGATGCCTGCGTCTTGCAACCGCTCAGCCACCTTGTGAAGCAGGCCAGGCTTCAAGAGAAGACTGAGCTGAGCTCCACGAGCAGTGGGAGCTGAGGGGGTAATAATCTGGAACTGACGGTTCTCGTCGGTGGTATCCTTAAGAAGTAGATACTCCAGGTATGCGGTCATCTTAATTGACTTCTGGCGCAGGGCTGCCATGTTTGTCTTGTCGAAGACGGACAATGAAGCGCAGAGAGTTGTCAAGTCAATGACGGAGGGGTTGGAGATCACGAAGCCCCCAGCGCCGGGGATGGGCTTGAATTCTGGAAAATGTTAGCATCGAATCCAGATCCCACAGAGTAGGTTACTCACTGTTATCCATCTTAAACCGCACAGATCGGTCACCGCCGTACCACCCAGTCAACCGGTGGCGGAATTTTGGCTTATCTTCACCTTCACTGTAATCAACTTGTCCATGACGCTCATGCACAAAGAGACCGGCCATAGCGCCAGGACCGGCATTACCGTATTTGTATGTGCACCAGGCTGCAAAATCGACATTCCACTCATGCAGCTTGATCTCCACATTGCCGTAAGCGTGCGCTAAATCCCAGCCAACGATAAGCCCGCGCTCCTGCGCGTACTTGGTGATCCGCGGGATATCGAACAGCTGGCCCGTGTAGTACTGGATTCCAGGCAAAAGAACAAGTGCAGCATCATGCACATGCTGATCAATGTAAGAGAGGATCTTCTCGGTGGAGATCTCATACTGCCCCTCATCTGGACCAATAAGGACCATGTTCTCCTTGGCGTCAAGGCCATGCCATGCAAGGTGGGATTCGATGGCGTACTATTCAAAGATCAGATCCAGCCAATCAAATTTATCGTATGCAGATGCACTGCATTAGCGCATCATCAATTATTTGTACTTACGTGGTCACTGGGGAACGCCTTCCAGTCCATCAGGATCTTGCGCTTCGTCTCAGTCGGCTTGTAAAAACTAGCCAGCAACAGATGCAAGTTCATCGTCAGGGTGCCCATTGCAGCTACTTCAGCGCGCTCAGCACCAACAATCTTGCACATGGAGTTTGCGGCCTGGTCGGATAGCAACTGCCACTGCGAGAGCGGGGAATCCTCGAGATCAGTAAAGTGTCCACAGACACCGATGGATGCCCATGTGTCGAGCTGCGCTTCCATGTACTTGGACGCAGCCTTGGGCTGGAGACCCAGCGAGTTTCCGCAGAAGTAAATGCTGGACTCCGAAGAGAGACCTTATTTGTACTAGTCAGAACAAGCAATGAGCGAAGTACAGAATCGAGAACATACCAGGCTTCGCCAGCTTCTTGCTTGCAAGGTTGGCCTTGGAGGGAATGATAAACTCCTCTCTCATCTTAGTCAAAGGCTCCGCCGCATCGAGAGAAGCGGCATATTCTTTCGATGCCGCGTCGGCGGGGAAGGTGGGCTTGGTGGTCTCTACAGTCATGATGGTGATGGTGGTGGTGGTGATATGTGTGGGCGTGAAGGACGCAAAGGCGACAGCAAGAAAACGCACACCACTTGGACCGAGTTTAGGGAATTGAGACGCAGACAGGACGTAACGCACAATCCAGCTGCACTTTATAAGGTCATCGCCAAATCGGACATCTGGGTGATCGCAACCCGGATGCTACATCCGCTTCCGCCTCTACGATCCGGTTCCACTGATAAGACCGTCAGTGGTTGCGTTTCCGGCGGTGGGGTTTCCGTCCCTTCCCGTGTACATGCGCGGTCTTTCTTATGACAAATTGAAACTACTGAAACCTTGGAAAGTATTGGTCTCGCATGTTTTTGTTTTTGCCATGCGGATTGGTGGAGGTCGAGGTCCAGAGATGTTGGCGGTCAGCAACGCCGACACAACATATGCAGGCGGGATTCGAATTATGGGCTGTCGAGCATAGCAGGAGTACGTTCATGGAAATGTACATGTACACTTTGTGAGACTATGGCACAATGATAATTACCTGCATGTTTCTTTGCAAAGAAAGAACAAGCCGCGAGCTCGTCTCGCAAGATCATATTGCATCATACAAAAACCCAGCAAGCCGGAACACGGATAGAGATCCGTCTAACATCCGGACTTCATAGAATAGCATCGAGGAATTAACACCCGATGCAAGCCGGCAGACAACCATGTTCTATATTATTCTTGATTAACGCCAGCCTTCTGCCGGGATTACTTCACCTATATGAAGACTGGCCAGAACTCACAAACACCGACTTTTTAGTTTTGGCAACTGCGACGCCTCCAGCGCCTGTTCACCTTTACAAACTACATTAGATTGCCTTGCGTCAACTTGCTTCAAATTTTTCTTCATCATGATCCCATCTCCAAACATCTGTCTTGACGACTATGCCGTCTCCCCAGACCATGGATTCCTCCCCAATGGTCTGCCTTTGTCAAGGCTCACTCATTCCTACTACCACCCATGGGAAACGCTGGCCTCCCAGCTCCCATCTCTCATCAAGAACGGCCAGATCAGATCGATGATTGATAACCTTCCCATCCTCACAACATCATGGTTGCGATCTGAACCAGAGTGGCGCCGCGCATATTCCATTCTGGGATTCCTGACGCACGCATACATCTGGGGAGGCGAGAAGCCCAAAGATGTAAGCCCTCATCACTGACATATGAAACCCCGTTCAAATCTAATCTCATTAGATCCTCCCTCCCTGCATCTCCAAACCACTCATGGAGATTTCATCTCGTCTCGGCCTGCCCCCCTGCGCAACATATGCAGCCCTCACCCTGTGGAACTTCACCACAGCCCCAGAAGCAGACCTCACCGACCCAGACAACGTCTCCCTGCTTACCTCATTTACCGGAACAAAAGACGAAGAATGGTTCATGGTCATCTCCGTCGCCATCGAAGCCAAAGGCGCCCGTCTCCTCTCTCTCATGCTGGACGCAATCGCCGCTGCAACGGTCCACGATATCCAACGTCTGACTGCCCTGCTCTACAGCTTCAGCGATGGCCTTCGGGACCTCACCACTACTCTTAACCGTATGTATGAGAAGAATGACCCGAACGTCTTCTTTTACGTGCTGCGGCCTTTCCTCGCTGGAAGCAAGAATATGACCGCGGCTGGGCTGCCAGATGGGGTCTTCTATGATGTTGGTGAGGGCCAGGGAAAATGGCATCAGTACAGTGGTGGTAGCAATGCGCAAAGCTCGTTGATTCAAACGTTTGATATCTTCCTTGGCGTGAACCATTCGGCGACGGGGGATATTAAGCCTGGTACTGGATATATCCAGGTAAGATCATTCCCGGCTACACCTCCTGACACAAATGTTGTCATCTGTTTGATCGATGCTAACAAACCAAAAGGAAATGCGAAACTACATGCCTGCCTCTCACAGGCACTTCCTCGAGAAACTCTCTGACCTCTCCAACATCCGCGCCTACGTGACTTCCGCGCAGGATGCGCCCGAGCTGAAGGAAGCATATAATGCAGCAGTGATGACACTCAGTTCATTCAGAGATGCGCATATCCAGATCGTCACGCGGTACATTGTCATGCCGGCGCGAAGTGGTCTTCCGGCAGAGCACACGAGCGACAAGGTCAATCTCGCTACGGCGAGTTCTCAAATTGACGGGCTGCAGGATAATAAGCCTTCGGGTCTGTATGGGACCGGTGGGACTAGTTTGATTCCGTTTTTGAAGCAGACTAGGGATACCACGAAGAATGCTGCTTGCTAGAGAGGGTTGGAGATAGAGTCACGCTGGCGTGATAGTTTAATGACTTGTTTAAAATAGACGTTGATTGAGCTTAGTTATATTTCATGTGCTCGTATTTTATTTCAGATCTGATTGAAATTTGAGGAATGGTTGACATGAGCGTCGCTATCTTGATCCTCTTTAGACTCGAACATGAAGGGATGTATAGTTCCATCTCGTTAGGAACTGTACCCCTTGAACCCGCATCCACGGACAACGTTATGCTCCCCAGCGTGTGGTGGAATAGCGCTCTGCGCTCACAGAGTCCAATTTGCCCATATCGCGCATGGTGTAGAAGAGACTCACATTCCACAAATGCAAGCCCTTATTGAGTTCGGGCGAGCCGATGGGGGAAACCAGCAATTTAACCTTCCCAGTAGCGGCTTATTTGTCGTCGTTCAATCATGAACCTTCGGGAGGTGTAGTACAGAAAAGACCACAGACAGAAGCTGATGACCATAGGCAATATAGCTGGATTTCCCATCAAGCTCGGGTCATTGGAGGAGAGCGTGGCTCCTATGGGGCGCTCGAAAAGGTTGGGGAGCGGAATGATATGCCAGCGAGAAGACCGTGGTTCGAAGCACTCAGGTTGAACATGTGTCTGGCCTAAGCAGGGCAATCGCAGGTTGAGACGATCGAACGCTCATTTTCTCTTCGTGTTCGCGGGGACACCCTCACTTTCGCGCAACTCAGCCAGCGTCTTCTCCCGCTCAACCAGACGATCCTTCTCCTCCTTGATCATCTGCTCAACGGTCTTCCTAGCCTCGGCCATTCGATCAAGCTCCTTATTCTCAGTCGCCCGACTGTACGGATTCTTAGGACTATCGCCCACAGGAATATCCGCCGTGCGGCCCCCGACCTTGGAGTTCTTCCCTTTACCCCTCGGCACCCCATTAGCCGGCCCACCCGTAAGGATCTCATAGAACGGCTCAACAGGCTCATTGAAAATAACCTCCTCGTAGTTCTGGCTGACAACCACCTCGCGGCGCTCCTTCATACCCTCTGCATCAGGGCCGTAAGGGTGCAGCTTCAAGCTGTGCCAAAGGGTTTGCGGCTTCTCGTTCGACTCCGGTGCAAAGTAAAGCTTGATCTGGATCTCGAATTCACCCCAGCCAGTCTCGACGACTTCGAAGGGGGGTTGCTCGACTGTGCGCACATTTTGCGGGTAGGTCTCGTGGAGCTTGAACTGCACTTTTTTCAACCAGTAGGAGATGTCTTCGCCGTTGATGCCTTTCACGAATATGCGCCATTGGTGCGTGTGGTCGACTGGGGCGTTTGCGGGTTTTTTCTCGGGGTCGAAGGGTTGCGCTTCGCTGCCAAAGACTGTTTGAGTTAGTATCGAGAGTTATGGAGTGGCGAGCGGAGCTGTAAGCGGGACATACTAAATGGCCGGAAGACGGAGACGCCCTGGGAAAGCGTTATTAGTCGGATTCGCACCTTGTAGCTTGAAGGACGAGATACTCACTCGGACGCGCTTGTTTCCAGGATTAGAGGGCATTTTGCGGAGCTGAAGAGAGATGAGGCCTGTGAACGGTCTTGCAGGGCGGAGGGAAATCGACGCGACAGAAGGCATTTGCGGTGCACGTGATCCTGTGACGGCACGCCGGAGCTTCCCATAGCTTGTTTCGTGCAACCATTCGTTGTTGGACTGGGTCTTTGAACTGCGCAACTTGGTTCTAACCATTGAATATCTTCATTCTTGGGATATGGCTGCCAAAAGACTTGTCGTGGCCGGAGGAAGCGGCTTCTTAGGTTCGCATAACATCCCCCACTGAATGCAGGCGGTGCTCAGGAAACTAACGAGCTGCTCCAGGGTCCCGAATTTGCAAATCAGCTGCTGCTCGAGGATGGACAGTAACGTCATTAAGGTTGGTCCCTACTTCCAGTCCTGTCAAATCTCCAATGTTCGAGACGCTAACTTCTCCAGTCGCTCTGGCGAGCCACGGTGGGATACCGTCACAGATTCATCCGAACGTCCAAGCTGGGCCAGCTCAGTAGAATGGGCCAAGGCTGATATGCTCAAGCCGGAAAGCTACAAGCCATTCCTCAACGGTGCTTCTGCTGTTGTTCATTCTATGGGCATCCTTCTCGAGGCCGATTACAAGGGTGTGGTACAAGGACGAGAGCCGATACTCAGTGGGTTGCAACGGGCATTTAGCTCTTCCAAAATGGGAAGCCAGAACCCGCTCTCAAGGAAAGAAGGCGAAACTCTGGTGCCAAAGGAGAAGGATGGTCAATTAACTTATGAATTGATGAACAGAGATTCAGGTACGTCATAGCGCAACTAATGGTAGTGTTCATAGCTGGGTAGAGCTGACTCGTCTGTTATGTAGCTATCGCGCTGGCTCAAGAATCCTCGACCGAACATGTCCCAGCTTTTGTTTACATCTCCGCCGCCGCCGGTGCGCCGGTGCTTCCAGCCCGATACATCACCACCAAGAGAGAAGCCGAAGCGACCATCACATCCAGTCTCCCTGAGCTTCGAAGTATTTTCATTCGCCCGGGCTTCATGTACGATTCCAGCAGGAAGTTCACGCTGCCGATCGCCTTGGGTGGCTTTGTCGCCTCTGAATTCAACACTTTCTTGGGAAACAAGCTTGGCTTCCTTGGGGCCATGGCTGAAAAGCCATTGAAGGTAGATGTGGTGGGTGAGGCCGTGGTCGAGGCATTGGAGGACGAAACGACAAAGGGTGTCGTCGGGACAAAGCAGATTGAAGCGCTGGCAACGAAGGCCTGGAGAAAAACGATGCTTTAAGGACGCCAGGTTGCCGTTTGACAGTTTCAACCCTTTGCAGGACGTGCTCGAAGGAAGTTCTGGGCAAAGTGGTCGAAGTTTTGGCTGAATGATGACTGGCGTCTCCCGGGCGTGACTCAAAGTGTCCAACACATGTATATCATCTCTATTCTCATGCCACGTTAGATCATAGTACCGCGTTCGAAGCTGTCCCGAATCTCGCTTGTGTACTGGTAGAAAGTTAGCATCCAATTACCGTAGTCTTAGGCGTGTGTTTGACATACCTTGTTGTAGAAACGAGCCAGTTTCTGGTTGAACTGCTTGTTCTTCTCGTTGATGTATGTGACGTCTTCCTCCTCATTGCCACGACGCTCCTTGCGCTTCTTCAAGCGGACCTCCTCAGCCTTCTGGATATCACCGACAAGTCTGTCCACAGCAGCACGGTTTGGTTTGTTGTCGGTGAAACCCACGCTGTCCGCGGTGGAGTAGAAGCTTCCATTCTTGTCGATCGCGACCATCTCGCCATCCTCAGTTTCGACAATCTCAAGATCACCGTTGGCCGCAGCCTTCTCGATAGCGGCCAACTTCTCTTTTTCGTACGCCTCCAGGTTAGGAGGGAGTTCTCGCATCTGGCGCTTGTACACCTTCAGCGCATCTTGGGTATAATCTTGGAATGCCACATTGTCACGGTGTCGCTGCTTCTTCTCCATGCGTCGGTCCCACTTCTCGGATTCGTCGATAGTCCAATCCCAAGCTCGCTTGCGCTCGAAATCTTCACCCGCGGCTTCTGTGTCCGCCTTGAGGAGATTGTGGGAGGCGAATGCATGCTTGCGGGATAGCGAGTTCACCAGACCAGGATCAGTGGAAAGTCTCTGAGTTTCTGCGGCGGTTTCTTTCAGGTTGCGTTCCGTGGCGGATTTCTGTGTAAGGTCAGTATCGCGATCCAAAGACACCCAAAAGGACCGTAAAGCAAAAATGGATACTGACAGCTCGAGCCTGAAGGGCTTTAAATCTTGCTTGTCTATCTCGCGCCTTCCCAGCAGCGTCGTCATCTTTCTTTTCTTCATTGGGCTCGGATGAGAAGGGAGCTTCGTTGGTGGCAGTCTCGGCCTGCTCATGCTTTTCAATATTTGAGCTTTCCTCCGCAGAGAGCTCCTGTTTTCGTGTCGTGACCATGGTAAAGCGGGTATGACACCAAATCGTTGGTGTGTTGCGGGCGTTGAGAGGGAAGTGAAGCGCAGGCTCTGGCCGCGAGATGACATCTCGGTCTCACCGCCCACACACACCGCCCGGTATCTGCCACCCCGGACGAGCCCCATATGTTGTTTATCTCCACTCGTGGGTCGTGCTGCCTCCGCATTGATTTGGGTGTTCGCGATGGGGACTCCGTCTGGTCAACTACTTTTGGGTCTCAGGCGACGAGCCTTGGGCGGCTCAGGTTTGCGAGCGATGACCCGCAACTACTCGTCTCTCAATTCCAATATCCGCATCGATGCCCGGTCTCATGAGCCGACCTCCGCAGAGCTACTCCGCTTCGCCCTCACGTCCTCCAAAAACTCCGCCGGCACAATTGAACCTGATCGGAGCTTGCGCAAACAAGTAACTGAGCTTCTCGACTCGGAGTGGAAATCAAATAGTCCACCTCCGGCATTGTGGTTTGCTCTCAAGGGTGTTAATCCAATGTTTGACTCAGAAGAGAGACGTCGTCTCCAATCAGTGGCTGATCTGACTTCACTGAGAAATGTCATCGAGCGATTGGTCGTGGATGACGGAGGAGCCGACCGCTTGCAGCAGAAGGAATGCAACACACTGGGAAAGGCACTGGAACGTTGTCAACGAGATGCCACCTATACAGAAATACTTTCAACCCTGAGCGACATTACCGCGAGGCTCCAACGTCTCAAGCTGAATACTAAGCCCCAGATACTTGAGCTTGGCATGTACTATGCGGCTTTGAATCTATCAGGTCCCGCTCTTCGGCAGTTCTTGCAACGCTATGATCAACTGGCCGGTCCCAGACAGACTTCGTGGCTTAGTGCGAACCGAATCTTGCAGGCGGTTCTTCAGGAAATTAACTCTGCTCTCTTTGAAAACCCGAACCATAACACGGGAGCTTTTCTTGCCGAGATTACCGGCGAAGGAGAACCCAAACCACAAGTCCGGTCCCGATTGGCCAATTGCTTACTTGGAAACCCGGCAAAAGAGCACCAGAATTGGGCTTTATACCTCTCCTTGCTATCAAAGTTACAAAGTGTGAAGAAACTAGACTCCAGATGGAAGAAGTTTATTAAAGCCTTTGATCCGGAGAATCTGCCGGTCTGCCACTACGCTTACAGTGTTATCTTGTCTCTGATACAAGCCGGACGGTCAGAAAAGGCTGCGAAGTTCCTGGAGGATATCTCAATTCGCAGTGGTGATACTTTACCCTACATTGGAGACTTCCAAAACATACATGCTCTACTTGACGATCCTGTTGTTGGCGAGGCCTTGCCTGACTTGGTCCAAGGCGATCACTATGAAAAGCTGCTCGAAGTCCGCATGGAGGACATGGAACGGAGATTAGGTATTCGATGGCAAGGTGGCCAAAAATCAACGGATCAGAAAAGTCATTTTGGCACTGCGCCGGGCGCGTCATGGTCGGTCTTCCAGGATCAACCGTTGTTCACCATCGATGGTGACTGCGCTGGATATGATGACCCAGCACGAGTTTACCCCAGTCTTCAAGCCCACGGTTGTTCCAAGTCAGAAAGTGATTTGAGTCTACTGATGGACATGCTGATTGAGCAGACGGGCAATGAGCAAGAGATAGTCGCTCATCTCAACTTCGACTCGGACCGGCCGAACTCGATTCACCTGGATTTCCCAACCCTTCAATGGCGGTGGTGCATCGAACACTCCCCAATAGAGTTTTCAGACTCTCTACTTGCAGCCGCTACTGAGGGGTCGAGGAATCGGTCGCCCGCATCTCTCGGGCTTATCAGGGCTAGAAGCATCATGAATGGCGTGCCGCAAATGGGGTCAAGAGCCTTGCACCTCATGCAACTGGGATCTTTGGATCTGCGGCATGGACCAGATGAAACATGGCAGCCCTCGGGATACATCGTGACATGGGACCGCCAGTATGGGGGAATGGTTGCCCTCTTCGTTGGGAAGAACCATGGTGTCGTCGATCCGGGAGCAGCACCGTCAAATGCCCCATTTGGAACATTGATGCACATCAAACCCTCAGACATGCCAAATACTTTGCCTCTGCCCACCAGTCGCGTTCTCCGGGATCCAATGGGCCCATACTATGTGGATGTTGATCCGAGCGTGGACCTAGGCTTTCAATAGCGTGGTCGGCCCGTTGGAACACGTTGCAGACGTGAGTGCGAACGCCGCATGACCAGGAAGAACCGTTGGAATAGCTGTGCACGGGTGACAATCTCACATGTAAGAAATACCAGCTATGTGTCCAATTCTTACATAGGTGCAAAAAAATGTGGATATCATTTCCTGTAGACCCGCTTTTGATTGTTCTATGTCTGGTGCACCGGGTGCATGTCACCTCAACTAGCAACTCCTCCAGCTACAACATCCCAATGGAGCTGTTCTATACGACAGTCTCCAACGGAGAACGGTTTCCGGATCGGCAGTGGCCCTGATCAGCGCCGAGATTGAAGATCCGGATTTACATCCCTGCTGAGTCCTCCCACTGGCTTGCCCATCACAGGCCAAACATCAGGAGCACGCACTCGATCCAACCTTTCCACCGAGTGAGTTCAGCTCCAGAGCGAGGCTAAACGCGCGGAAAAGACAAGTCAACCTTTTTGGCAGCCGAAAGTCCCCTGCGTCGACTCCAAGGTGGCGGTCGATGAGTCCAGACCCTGCCTCGTCTAGAGCGGTAGCCATTATCAGACGACATCCGCAGATTAACCAAATTTGTGGCGGTTACAAAAAGCCGATCATAACTCCTTTCGACACTACAGGATATTTCCATTTCGCGGGATTTCACAGCAGGGAATGACCCCGCAAGGCTCGCCCGCCACAGGGAAATCACAGTCTCCCTCTTTATCATGATCCGATACTCGGACCCGGTGAGGGGCTACGCTTCACCCCCATTTGGGCCGCACACGACTGTGGGATTCTCAGTGTCTCTGTACGCGTGGCTCAAGCGCAGAAATTGTGGATATCGATCATGGTCTAAAATCAAATTCTGCCGACCGGCCGCGAGAACCAGTTTGTAGAGCCAATGGCGCCAACGTATCCTTGGCATATTCCGCCTGTTGTGGATATTGCCGAGGAATCAATCACCAGTAGCTCTACAACACGGGTCGTTCGTGGTTCGTGCGGGTTCGTAACCGAACATCGACCGGGCTCGAATGGGGCCTGGGTGAGGCGCTTGAGGCTTGGGTTACGGCGCCCAGTTGTGTGGATTTTGACAATTTCACGGTGGAAAATCTACCTGCGTTGCCTCGCGCGGCCCCATCCGACCCAACTGGCGTCAAATAACGATTCAGACGTGGTCCGCTTCTGCAAGCCCCATAATGGCTGCCTTTGCCGATCAGATCTTGACAGCGTTACGATGTGTCCACGGAAAAAACCGCCAACCCATTTGTGACTGATACAAGACGCGAGGGATGGTTTAAGTTCGCTGCCGTGAAACCCCGATTGACTTTGACGTTCAATTCCCGGAAAACCGACTTACCGACTTTCAAAGGCGTTCGCCCCAAGCTTTCCACCCCCTAACGCGGGCATCGCGCGGAGCATGACTAGGATTATCAAAGCCTGCCACCACGGTGAGCCGGGTGCCACCGACGTACCGTCACGAACCCCTTTGTGGGGTTTCCAGGAAGATCCTCTGGACTCGGAACGATTGCCAAGCCGTCGGTCGCACGCTAATCATCGCCGGTGGACTCGGCGAACCCCATTGCAGCCCTCGTGATTCGAAGTCGGCCTCGACACCGGTTCAAACCCACCCAGATGGCTACTCGTTCAGGCTCCGATCGACGGGACACCCCGTTCGCTACGTTCCGCCGGTACTGTTGGTGTTGTCCACTCTATAAAGCGGGGCACAAGTTTTCCTGGGAAGCTGGGGCCCCGTTCCACCGTTCCATGGGTAACACGGTCTTTAATTGAGAGGGCCCCAAATATGGAGTAGAACCCCTGTGCTCGCCGAACGTATCCGTATTCGATCACGTATATGTCAAAAGATGGTTAAGGTTTGCCGTCGGTGTACTCTCACGCCTGGAGAGTCTCATCCTTACACCCCCTGTACCATCTCCACTCCGAAACGGGCTGGGTTGCAGGCGACTGGACCTGAATAATTCAAAGTCAAAAGCCACCACCAGGATCCTGAATCGCAGGTATGCCAGCGCTAACGGCTCCAAACCGAAAATCCTTTGACCGTCTTTCGCAACAGTCCCCCTCAGGTGTGAGACCTGGCCAGGAACAGCCCCTGACGGTTCGTCGAATCTATCCCACGCACTGGCTCTTTGGAGACACCTCCCACTGCACTGGCCGCTTTCCTTCCGCCAAATACCTGCTCGGCCCGTTCCCCCGGCTCTTCCCTTTTCATTGCCCTCGGTGGAGGCTCGGCACCAATAGCAGTGCTGGAACCAGCTGGGACGGGGGTTGTGCCAAATAATTTAATACACTCGACAGTCCACTCTTGTACCCTTGTCACCCCTACCAAGGGTGATTGGACACGGGAGGACCGGGCGGGGAATTTCCGCATGTGCGTTGACATTTTTCATCAAGCTGAAAAATACCAAAAAATCATTTCCAACCTAGCTCTGCAGGCATAGTTTCCTACGGGGCGACTGACCATCACACCGAAATCAGGGTTTTTGGGTCCCATGGCGCCTCGTTGACGGGCTGCATTCACTTGCGGTCTATCAGATGCTTTCACTCGACCGCAGGCAGATCCAGGATATGCACCATTCTATTCTAACACACAATTCCCCACGCCGCGCACTTTGACGTATAAAAAAGACGATCTCTATTTCTGAGACATCGATTACTCCCGGGCGGGTGTGGCGGACCTGACCGCATCCTGGGTCGCATTTAAATGCTTGCGAGCTGAGTCACGTTCAAAGACGGCATTCATATAAACACAAACGGTCGTACGCCGGCAGTGCTCCGGGGGTTCTGTTCTGTATAGATGTCGAGGACCCCATCGTCACAATGTGGTCATCCCACACCCGACTCGGCGTATATCGACCCTGTCTCTCAACACCACCACGCCCAGATGCCTATGACATATTATCCGTGCTCACGGAACGAGCCTCGACACTTTTCATCTCCCAATGTCGGTTATTCGCGCCCAGTCACATCAGTACGACCTGGTCCTCGTTTACCCTCAATAGGGCATTTTCCAGAGAGAAGCGCGGACCCGGCGCATATGCCCACCTCCGACAATGGCTACAAGCGTCATTCTTCTATCCCGCACACACTGCCACTACGGATGCATCATTATGACCCCGCTGATATTGATCCACGCGGAGGTCCTCCTGTTCCCCATGAAGGAAGATCGAATCCCATGGTGAACCATGGCCGCGAGTATATTCAGCGGGTGCGGACGCACGACCTGGAGTCCCAGTAAAGTCCCTCCCTTCTCGTTTTCCTTTTCGATTGAGCTACCTCTATCTGCCAATCGTTCGTGCTCGGCGATGCCGCCTATCACGAGTAGTTCTTTCATGTTAAAAATGTGAAGAACCTCTGCGCGAGTTCAACCATCAACACAGAATTCATGCTGACAAGCACGGGTATATGGACATAGCAGCAGCTCAACAGCGATGCCGAGCCCAGTCTATTCGGAAAAGAGTCCTCGCACATTTATAGAAGCACCAGCAGCAGCTACGCCACAAGAACCCAGGCCGCGGAATCCAAACTACAGCATGCCCCACGGCTTCGACAAGCTCCTCCATCACGAACCCGAATCATCACCCTCTCCCCCACCCCGACAAAAATCCACACAATCCCGCTACCACCTCCACGTCCGCCAGCAACCGCTCGCCGCACGGGCATGTGGCGCGGGCGACCGAGACCGCCGCCCAGTCGACCCACCCCCAATAGTCCAAATCCTCCTATTGGATTTTGACTCAGAATCGCAAGACGACCGTGACATCCTTCAAGACCCGCGCTTCACAGTGGGCTGCCTATTATTCCCGGTATCAGGCTCATCCGCTCCATCCAATCCCCAAGACGATCAAGAACCAGAACGAGACAGCGAGCGAGAAAAAGACGGTGTAGCCCGCGCAGACGACGATCTCTCAACGCCCCTCCTCTCAGGCAAAGCCTTCATGTCCCCCTTCTACGTCGACGCAGACCCAGACCCCAACTCCGCCCCTACACACCCCTCCTCCGAATACCCACAAAGTCCCTCCCTCACATCAGGCCCCAGCAACCTCCGCAACGCATCGAAACTTCACCAGCCGGCCACGTTCTTCATCTTTGCCGACCTTTCCATTCGCTCGGCTGGGACGTATCGGCTTCAGTTCAGGCTTATGAATTGGGGCTCGGTTGAGGATACGGGTCAGTCTATGCCTATTCTTGCGGAGGCTTGGTCGGATCCTTTTCGTGTTTATCCGGCGAAGGACTTTCCGGGGATGCAGGATTCGTCGATTCTTGCGGAGGGGTTGAAGGAGCTGGGATTTGTGGAGTTGAAGACCAGGGGGAAGGGGAAGGGGAAGGGGAGGAAGAGGTATTGAGCTTGCACCTCCATATCCTTAATGCAACTCTTTTGCCATTTTGGTTCTGGTTTATTCGGTGAGATTTTCAGGTCTATCTTGCTTTGCTTGGGGTTCAGGGGCAATGCTTGGGGTTCAGGGGTAATGAACTTGCATCAGTGGGGATAGATGGATGTGGCGTTTTTTTCCTTTGTTGAATTCATTGTTGGCAATGTTTGTCTTGTTTCTGGATGAGACATGAATGACGAGGCGAGGTGTGGCTTATCTTCTTGATCATGTTTCGTGCCTTCACATCTTTCCAGTGGCCTATTTGGCCCTCTCCGACGTTTTATAACCGTGGAATGCTTGCGATAGAGTAGAGCAGAATGAACAGATGATTAATATAGAAGTGAAGCTCGAGTAGCATAAAATCAATCTACAGTGAGAGTCGAAAACAGATTCCCCTCTGGACATACACGCTTTTTTTTTCGGCCGGTACCCAAAACCACGCTAGCTAGCATTGGGTTCCTTTGTGAAAGCCCTGCTTAGCGTATCATGGCTCGTAACTTACTGGATTTCAGCATTCAGAGAGTCATTTGAAAATATTGTGAATATCGACAAAATGTTTTGGCATGTTCTTAAAGACGCGTGGGATCTGGCGATGTGGCTTGATCCAGCCCGTGTCCTCTCTTCCTTTCCTCCACAGCCTTTGTCTTCGTCTATTTCCTGCTATAACGAGGGCTGTGCTATAGAGAACTGACCCTGGTAGGTTTATATATTCTCGTTTTAGTTGCCCCATGGATCCTGCTCGCTACGGCCGTTTCTATTCGCTCATGGCGTCTCCTTTCAGCTGATATCGCGCACGTAAGCTGACGCTGATTTCCCAAGCTTCAATCATATGTAATAAGGAGCGTTAAATCCCTCAATACATAGCCAAGACTATTAAAGAAGTACATCTTTCGTCTTTCAAAGCCATTTCAGGAAGCATTGTACAGTGTTGGTCTCGGAATAGGATTCCTATGTACAACTCCCTCCTGAGATTTGTACGGACAAATTGCGTTGGAAAGTGCACAGCTGCGGGAGCTTTGGCCTCCACACAGAAGTAGAATTGGAGCCTTGGATTCCTTTTCTCAAATCTAGTCAATATCAAAGCACTCGGAATACTGCCAGCTCCTGGGTTTGATAGACCAGTATCGTTTTGCATATTGGAAAGCAATAAATGCAGAATATGTTCCTTGTAGAAACTGTTGAGAAGCATTTGAACACATTTATTCCCTCGTCTATGGGTGAAATAGTAGCGTTACATAGCCCGACGAGAGCAGTACACTTCTTTAAAGTGTAAGAAGCTTCCAGTCTCTGCTTCCGAAGTTGAGTCCGCTTCCGGAGCTCAACTCCATCTTTATCCAGACTTGATCTCCATCGTTCAAGTAGAACAAAATCCTACCACGAGTCTGTTCAAGGTCAAGCCTAATGGAAAGCTCATCCTTGAGACTCCCATAAAATTTCCTAGGCTGACTGGACGGCTCTCTGGAGTGGGAAAGATCCTCACATTCACGGCAACATCAAGTGTATTGGAATCAACATGTCCAATGGCCTGAACTCAGGTTAGTAAATAAACAATTAGATTCTTACCGACTATCATACCCTAGCAAAGCCAATGTAGAAATCAAATTCCTTGTCAGGCTCGGTGGCAGGGGGGAAGGGGGTGTTTTGGGGGTCGTCAACAACAGTATACCATCCCTGCTGATCATCGTCACAGGTGCTTTTAACTTAATTAATCAATTCAGTGAGTACTCTAGAAATCTTGTCTTTAGGATGATGAAAGACTTACTACCAGACATGATGTGGGCGAAAAACGCGAAGTTCCGTATTCAGAGATCAAGTAAGAGGATAAAGAGTGAATTAAAAAAGTGCAAGGCGAAGATAAATAGGTATAAATAAGTTGAAAGACGACATTTCTCCCGAAACATCACCTGTTTGCAGCACAATGGAAAGCTACAGGTGACGTTATCGAGCACATCAATTCCTGAAGAAGTTCATGATACCCACTTCAGGGCTGAGAAGAGCCTTAACATTACATATATATGCACGTATGAGCTGTACAATAGTCAAGGAAAGGGCCTTTTCTACCCTTTCATAGCTAACAATAATTGATCCACTGGTTCTTGCAAGCTGAACGATCTACATAGATCTTTCAGCTCGCCACAATAGTGGATCCTAGGTGAGGGGTGCTGCGAGCTTAGTGGGGTACGGGCCCACCAAAAAACACCTCGCCAGCTATACAAGTGTCAAAGTGTCTACTGTACAGTATGTCGCAGGGATGCTGCATGTTGTAGAAACTATTACATAAAACCTTCTTAAGAGTCGATCATCACTGCATTGAATTCCATACTCAACTCACCGGTCTATAGGTTCCGACATGATTGGGAACAGTGTTACTGCCCACATATAGGAGCTGGAGAGGAGGAAGGATGAAATCCGAGAGGAGGATCTGCTAACGATTGTTGAAAGGCAGAGCTATGTGGCCCTCACGTGGTCGTCGAGAAGTCAGGCCAATGACCGAGTAAAGGATGAACGAGCCACTTTTACCTTCTTTTGATAGAAATATTTTATCAACTCTTACAAATATTAACTCACGATCACTTCCAGGCCCATGATCAAGTTACACACTAAGACCTGCGTGTCAAAACTGGCCCTTGGGAGTTTCTTCTCTTTCGTGTTTTTCCGTCTCAATATGAATTTCCGACGCCGTTGTTCCGTAGGAAATTCTCAATATCTTTGAAACGCCACGCATCCCACATAACACAGCCCGCATTTCGTTCAACAACGTACTTTTTGCTGAGAGCCTGATCATCGGATAGATGCACCTGACACCAAATGTCCGCAGGCCCGGCATTTAGACCATCGGGATCTTGGTATTGCCAATTATTTCGTAGGGCTTTCATGTAGTTTACACCAAACGATGGCATATGATCAAACCGTTCATTGTGGTAATCGTCGTTAAGATCCCCAATAGCGGTATCCAGCTGGAACCACCTCGGCTTCCTTTCAGCACACAATAGTCCACGTCGGCTTCGTCTGTCTGTGCTGTGACAATTTCGTAGACATAACTAATACTACAGATACCTATGAACATCAACATGCCTTGCATCTTTAGAAATGAGTGCGGACTACTGACAAGAACCCCATTTTCGCCGTTTAGATGGTGTAATCTTTCCGATTGGGCGGCCGTCGAGGAACCCCAGTGGATGTCGTGGGCTGCAAGCTCATCAAAAGCTTCAGGTGAGCAGTTCAGTCAGCTCCACTGCTACCTCTGTAGGGTTGGGACTTAATTGTAGAGAGACAACTCAACAAATACTCGTAAACCGACGCAATCTGCTCGTTTACCCAATGGGGAAATTCCAAATAAACGGGCATTGACAGCGTAGAATCCCATGCAGTAATAAATGGACCTTCGCTCCAGATACAGCAGAAAAATTCAAGCAGAGAGAAGCTGCGCTGCACGCGGTGGATCTCAGTTGGCGATAGCGCGGGCGGGGAATGATGCAGCGTACCCTCAACAGCGAGGAGATCAAGGGCTGTGGATGTAAAGTCGATCGTGAACTTATCGATAGCGCAATGCAGTTGGTGCAATTTGTGAGCTTCGGTCAGATCTACACTGGACATATCTTCCCATGCATCTTCTGATGTGGTGTTTTGGGTTTCTTGGAGAACCAGCCAGGAATCTTTTTCGTTGTGAACTTTGTTGGTTTTTCTGTGGGTTCGCATTTGCCAGATCTTCACTGCGAGAGGCCAAAGCTTAGGGTCAATCTCGTTTGCCAGGACATGGCCGACGATAGTGGGGGATTCGCGTAGACCTTCGGCCAGTGACTGGAGGCTGGAAACTGTCGCGGATAGATCGCTGATATTGGACAGTTTTTGTAAAATGGAGATTCGCAACTCAATAGGAAGGGTCGTTATATTGACCATGACTGCTTGTCCTTGTGGATGCCTTGAAGAGACGGAAGTAATGTGATGATTAGTTTTCAACAAAGACGCTTGAGGGGTGTGTAGGAAGATATGGAGTGACTCAGCGAGGTCGAAGGTTGGAGGGGAGGGCATAAAGTTATTACGACGACGCCACACATGGATAAAGGTTGCCTGTATGAACCAGTATTGCTCCTCGGGCAGCTGCTTCGTTCGTATGGGCGTTATTATAAGAAATTGATGATCGTGATTTATAGCTAAATCAAATATAGATTAGGACAGGTTGAGTAGGCTCTGGTAGGTACGAGTCTTCGCTCGAAACTTGGGCCACACTGGCTAGTGAAAGGTCAAGGAATAAGTCACGAGATCCCACTCAAATTATCATAAATAATATGTGAAAAATGGAGAAGAAAATCGTCTTAGAGAATAGCGGGATTGACAAGTCATTGGTACAAGGTATTTAAAAAGTATACTAGGTAAATTGCCCTTAAATTTAATCGCCGGTGATGGCAACCAGAACAAGGAATAAGCCACAAATCTGTAGTTGCAGAAATATAAAGTCCGAGACGAATTTTAACTTCTAGCCGGTATAGAAAGGGTTCGTGCAGGTCCAAGAAGAAAGGACAGAACCACCAGGGCCATAAGCGGACTCAAGAGCCAAGACAGCGGCCCAGGTACCCATACCAGATGAAGCAAAACCGCAGCAAGTGTAGATCAGAATAGGAATACTGATATACCAGGTCTTCCTGAAACCACGAATCCAACGCTTGTAACCGTTATCCAGGCGAGTGGTCACACCAGTCTCGGGATCGAACCCTTCACCGGGCAACTTAGCACCCTGCTGGATCTTATAAGCCAGACACATGACACCGGAAAGGGAATATGTGAAGTTCAGACTGAACAGGCCTCCGACGAAGTTCGTGAAGGCGTTGAACTGCGGGACGGACATGGAGACCACGAAGGCGAGGATCCAGTAAACGGGACCGAGGGCCCACCAAAGGTATTTGCCCCTCTTTGTTGTAATTGGAGGCAGATTGCAGAGCTGTTGGCCGACCTCGAGGTAGACAGTCTTCATTCCGACGTTGAAGTACAGGACTAGATGTAACCGTTAGTTGATAGGAAATGATATGCGAGGGAACATATAGAAAACTTACAGATGGCGAGCCAACCAGTAATCAGCGAGAGCACGTTGCCAACAACCTGAAGGGGGAGGGGCTTGACGACCTGAGTGATGATGGAATAGGCGTATTGTCCGTAGAAAGTATAGACCTAAGTCGTTGTTAGTTTTAGCCTACAAGCATGCGAGAGATTCTTGTTAGCTTACAAAGACTCCGAAGAAGATATAGACTCCGGTAATGAATGATTGGGCGAGCAACATAGCCTTCCAGAAGTCCATAGGATGGCGCATTTCGGACAAGAAGGCAACGAACATAATAGCTCCGGAGTAAGCATCTGATCAGATATATTAGTCACACTAGATTATGATTTCATGGCGGATATATGTGTCAAACTTACAAACCATGCTGTTGATACCGTTGAACTTGGCAGCAAACAGGTTGCGGTCGGTAGGCTGATAATCGGCGGGAGGGGTGGCGGCAAACGTTTTAACCGGCGCCATGTGGCCCGGCACAGCCCATTCCTTGTTCAGAATACCGCCATTGACTTGAGCGGTCGGGTCGGGGCCATTCTTTGCCGCGGCAGCGCAACTATTTATTCATGTCAGTGCACTGGCATATACGACGCTAGGTTTGTACTCACACAATGATGAAGGAAATAATGTTGAGCCACACTGCCGAATTGCAGAACCAGCCGAGGTGCTTCAGGGAACGCATGTAGCCACTCGCCATACTGACAAGGAGGGAAATAATGCCGGCAACGATGAAGCAGAGGTTAACACTTCCACCGAGCTGGGCAATGATATCAGTCTGGCCAAGAAGGACGACGGCCACAGACAGGAACATCTGGATGGCTTGCATAAAATTGATAAAGTGACGGGTTTTCGGGCCGTACAGACGGAAGAAGGGGTCACCAAAGCTCAGAACGGGGAACCGGGAAGAATCGAGACCGCAGAAGACATGCCAAATCATCCATCCAGATGCGCCCGCAGCGAGGCCCATCAGGGCGAAGATACCAGCGCCGATTCCGTAACCGGTGTTGGAGAACACGTAGGGGGTTTGACCCCAACCCAGAATATCGGTTGTGATCAGATAGAAGATAGTTCCCCATCCAGCAGTTCGGAGGGCTCTTGCAGCCTGGCGCCACTCGGCGTCGTAGTCGTGCGTGCCGACGGGCGCGATAGGGCTGGCGGTGGGATCGTCCACGACAGTTGAGCTCTTCTTTTCGGACCACTCGGTGTTTTCCTCTTGTCCTTGCACCGCGGCCGAGTGAGTTTTGGCATCTTCGTAGGCATTGCTGGTGAAGTAGTTCCTGAGGGAGCCGATGAGGCCTTGCCCGCCGGTGACAGCCTTGTAGCGTTTATACTCCTCTTGTTCCATTTCACGCTCAACCTTGGCCCAGAAGGTGAACTCCTCAAAAGTCACGGTGTGGTCGAGACGTGCTTCCAAGCCCCAGAGGCGTTGGCGAACACCTGGGTGGGCGCCGGCGACGGACATCTTGCGAATATCGTCTTCGTCGGCACCCAGCTCGCGCATCTGCTCCGTGGGAGCGGTGGGAGCCGCCAATTTAGGATACACAGACATCGTGAACAAATGGGACACTTGGTCTCACGATGAACGGTCAAAAAAAAAAAAAAAAAGGGGGAGGGCAGAGGGAAAGAGGCTGTCCGATGTCACGGGATTATAGGCAAACTGCTCGAAACAGTGTAACGAAACCCGCAGCCTTGAATCAACACGGCAGACAGCACGGGGGAGACAAGCAGTTGGTTATATAGCTGGGCACGGCACAGAGGCGCGGCGAAATGGCCACATCGGGCCAGCTGATAGAAGGCACTTTTGTTCTAGTCGGATGTGGCTGCGCCAGGGGCCAGCAAATGGAGGGAGAGGACACGCTAGTTCTGCAACACTGTCCTCGCGTGGCGAAAATGGTGCCCACTCTCCAGCCTTCCTTGAGATAAGCTTCATGGATTGGATTGGGTTTTCATATTCACGGTTGCGGTAGCGCCAATAATCCCCGTCCATTCCATATCTCACGACCGGGATACGCAACAGGCCGTGGATATCCGCTAAGAACGAACACGAGAATAAGCTCTCCGTGCACAGGTACTCCGTAGAACCGCGTACTCCGTGCCTCCGGGTCGAACTTTCTCTGGGTCCTCCCCGAGAAAGTTCACTAAGAACCAAACGTAAGATACCTGACAACGTGGCCGCCCCATTCTCCACTCCGGGGGAGATAAGCCAAACCTTGGAACGAAAAGAAGTATAGTTGCCGGCTCTTTCCAACGTTAGGGCGGGTGGAAATAAGCGAGTCGCCTATTCCATTGGTCCTCAGCAAACAAACCTTTGGCCACCGATGGTTATTCCCACGTGTTGCGGAAGGCTGTTGGATAAACACCCGGTGGTCCGTTCACTCCGGGGGGCGAACAACCGCCAGTCTTCTACCCCGCGTTACCAGAGGCTAAAGAACGTCCAGACCGATCATGCGACATGGGGAAGGAAGGTAAGCAATTCCAAAGGCCCGCTGATTTCCTCGGTCCACGGTCTGTGCACGTGGAAACGACAGATAGGGAAAGTAGGTCCGTTCGCGCTAGGTCGCAATCGAAGCAGGTATAGCCGGGGCCCAACCACCGGGTCGGAAATGGGTTGGCCAACATTGGCCAAGAAGAGTCAAGTGGCGCCACCACGTCGCGTTCAAGGCTTAGCTCTAAAAAAGCTTCGTGACAGGACTGGGGTTATCAATTTCCCGGATATTAAGGAAACCCCGGTTTGAGACAACGGCACAAGCAAGCACCGGGGCACCGACGCGCGACCGACGGCTCAGGACAGACTGGGAAAGTAGGCTTGTGCGCTCGCGTCCCCCAATCATATGGCTATCGCCCGCCGGATTCCCCGGCCGAACATTGAGAACCATTTCCAGGTTTCGCCCCGCATGGCAATCCCCGGATATCCATCTTTCGCAAAGTCAATGGCTCGGCCTCCTTTCCCCAGGTCCCCAGGTCCGCCGTAACCCACCATATACCCACAACGGGACATGTCTCTCGATTTCGTCGGTGTCCTCCGTTCCTGCAATTCCGGGCAGTTGACAGAAATTTCAAAGCCTTTCCATCTGTCGGTAGCGAGCATTGAGACCTCAAGAACGAGTAATATTCGGTGGTCGGTTCATCCAAAGCAATCTACCTTATATCTGCCAAGGACGAACCATCTGCAGTCAGACGGCAGATCAACCATTTCTAGACCGGATTTTCATACTTAAATCCCCGCAGTTTCTATTGATCTACATGGAACCGTGTGATCTGCACCTCGTCAAGTAGAGTGGATGATATTACAAGGTTCGCCTACTCTGGCATACACGGTTCTGAGCCTTAATTAAATAACTATTCTGCGGCCGTAGTCTCTAACAAAGAAACAAAAAAAGAAAGCAAAAGGCATATTGGGCCACAGCGACAAAAGAGAGACCAAGCAATACTCAAGTATGAAGGCGGGCTGCTGCCCCCTCGCTATGAATCGACTCCCATACTGTAATTTCTTCGGTTTCGGTGTACGTCCTTGGACGCACCTGAAATCCCTTACGCTGCAAGCATGAGCACCCGAGGCATTTCACATGCATACGTTGGCAAGTTCCTCGAAGCCCACCCTTTACTTTCTTAAAATGAAGCACTTTAAATAATCCACTCATTGAAGCTTGCCGCTGAAAAATCGCTTACATTGATCTGCTCCACAAACATGGGGCTCGACTGATTTGGCTAGAGTCACCCGGTGGAGCCGAGGTTTTGCGGGTCGGCCAAAAAGTCTCAAACGGGCCGATAGCATCACTCGATAGCCCAAGGGCGAACATTCCGAGCGTGTGACAATTATCGAATGGTGATGGATTCGCTTGCACGCTAATCGGCGTCGGCTCTCGCCGTTTTACTCGCTGCGGAAAACTGGGGCCAATGGAACACGCCGACTCCCGGAACCAGGCAAAGTAGCGGCCCGATATCGCCGAGAATGCTCACCGCCGGTCCAAAGTCGAGGTTTTTTTTAAAAAATCGGCCCCGATACGATGGGGAAAGCTCTAGCCGGAGAGAAACAGGCCTATCGGCAGGAAGGTGCTCGCGATATAACGAAGTAAAGCCGCGGCTCTGGAACACACTTCCCCCATACATTTCTTACAGAAGGATCCGAACCAAGGCATGCCGATCGGCTTCGTCTTGTGGCTCGGTTCGCGCTGCCGGTCATTTGGTGAATGTTTCAAGTGCGATCGCTCGCTTGATTCTACATCTGTAAATGCACAAGGTTGAGAATGTACCCTTGTTGCGTTCTCTACGTAGGGCTGATACGTGACTCGAAAAGTTCCTTATCGGGAAGCGATTTACATCGATGGCATCTCACGAGACAAGCACTTGAATCCCGGGCTTTCTCGGTTGCTCGGGATAGTTTTCCCGCTAGATTCTTTCCAGTATACTTTCCTTTCTGGGATGTCCATTTCGTACAACTATCCGCTGCTCCCACTATCCCCTTTCACAGGTATTCATACCATTATCTGCTCATGATGGCCAAAAGAAATGCTGCTTGGATAGGCCTGGGAAGCATGGGAGAGGAAAGAATGAATCTTCGAACGAATCTCTTGTCAGGGTCCCTCCACCAGTCTCGAGAATATAGACCAATACCGCCGGGTCTTGTGCATTCAGAAAATCGCCATAATTGTTGCCTGAAGAGGCCCCAATCCTTCATGGAAGAAACATTTTCGAAAATCAGAATGTTCTCTCCTATATTCTTATTTTAATCACTTGCATTGCGAAGACAACTCTCACACAACTCGTTATGGTATGGCGGGGTTCATTGCCCTATCTGTTATCAGTGGACCTCAATCTACGCGCAGACGCGCTAAGAAAACATGGTCTCTCGCACAGTGATCCTTTACTTCAAAACAAATAGCAGAGAATTCGAATACAAAAGGGTTATTTCAAAGATGCAATCACCTACATAATTGACAATTATTCTAATGGAACCCATTTTCAAACCTCAAAACTCTTCACCATTCTGTGGTCGCCGAATCGGGCTTAGCGTGCGCCGCGACTTTTCTCTCCGCCGCATTTTATTTTTTTTTCTGCCCCGATTTCCTGCAGTTCGCAGATCAATCGCGCCAAAATGAAGTACGTTTTGGTCTCTGGAGGTAAGTTTCTACCGCTACTTGGCCACAAAATGGAATCGCTGACCATGGGCAGGTGTCATTTCCGGTGTTGGCAAGGGCATCATTGCCTCCAGCACTGGTCTGCTCCTCAAGACCACCGGTCTCACCGTCACCAGCATCAAGATCGATCCTTACATCAACATCGATGCTGGCACTATGTCGCCAATTGAGTGAGTGAGCCGGAATCCGAGGCTTGCGCGATCTAGCGCATGCTAACCTATGCTCCTCCAGGCACGGTGAGGTTTACGTAACGGACGACGGCGGCGAAATGGATCTCGATCTGGGCAACTACGAGCGCTACCTCCTCACGACTCTCACGCGCGATCACAACATTACAACGGGCAAGATCTACAAGTCGGTCATTGAGAGGGAGCGTATCGGCCACTACCTCGGCAAGACGGTCCAGGTCGTACCGCACATCACCAACGCCATTCAGGAATGGATCGAGCGCGTTGCCAAGATCCCCGTCGACGAGTCCGGCGCCGAGCCCGACGTGTGTATCATTGAGCTGGGTGGTACCGTGGGAGATATCGAGAGTGCGCCGTTCATTCACGCTATCAGCCAGCTCCAGCGGCGCGCCGGCAAGGGAAACTTCGTTCAGATTCACGTGTCTTATGTGCCCGTGATCCACGGCGAGCAAAAGACCAAGCCTACGCAAAGAGCTATTAGCGACGTTCGAAGCGCCGGCCTTAACCCCGACTTGATCGCTTGTCGCTGCGAGAGGCCGCTTGAGGATGGCACTATTCAGAAGATTGCGAACATGTGCTCTCTGGATACTGCGCAAGTCGTCGCCGTGCACGATGTCGCAACTACATATCACGTCCCAATCCTTCTTGAGAAACAGAAGCTTATCAACACAATCGGCGATCACCTCGGCCTTGCCTCTGTCCAGAGACCTCCTAAGCTGATCGAGCAGGGTAGTCGCATGTGGAAGGACTGGGTTGAACTTGCCCGCGGCCAAGACCACCTCCACGACACTGTCTCAATTGCGCTTGTTGGCAAGTACACCGCTTTGAAGGACGCTTATATTTCCGTGTCCAAGGCGCTGGAGCACGCATCTATGTACTGCCACAAGAAGGTCGAGGTTATCTGGGTTGATTCGTCGCATCTCGAAGAGGAGATTCTCCAGACCAACCCGGCCAACTACCACAAGGCTTGGCATGCCGTTTGCACTGCGAATGGTGTCCTCGTCCCCGGTGCTTTCGGTACTAGAGCTACCACTGGAATGATCAAGGCTATCGAGTGGGCTCGTACCAAGAAGGTCCCCTTCCTGGGCGTCTGTCTGGGTATGCAGCTCGCTGTCATCGAATTTGCTCGCAATGTGGCTGGCATTGAGGATGCTGGAAGCGAAGAGCTGCATCCCCATGCTGAGAACCACGCTATTATCTACATGCCCGAGGTATGTCTCCCTCTCCCCTTTTTTTTTCGGTGATAAACATGATGCTAATTTTATTTTCAGGTTAACAAGGACCAAATGGGCGGCACGATGCGCCTGGGCAAGCATCTTTCCATCTTCCAAAAGGGCACCGAATGGTCCCGTCTGCGCGCACTGTATGGCCCCAACGTCTCGCATATTTCCGAGCGTCACCGTCACCGCTACGAGGTCAACCCCGAGATGGTGGAGAGCCTCGAAAAGGCCGGTTTGACTTTTATCGGCAAGGATGAGAAGGGTGAGCGTATGGAGATCATTGAGATTAAGGACCACCCGTGGTTCGTGGGTGTTCAGTTCCACCCGGAATACTTGAGTCGCGTCCTGGCGCCGAGCAAGGCTTTCCTCGGTTTCTTCGCTGCGGCTGCTGGCTGCTTGGATGAGGTTACACAGGCCGTTGTCGAGGGCCAGCGGAGTGTCTTGTTGAAGCATTAGACGATACCTGGATTGGGAAGATTGCTGGGCGATAGACGGTCGATTGATGATATGATTTAACGAGTAGTAATAGCAAATAGAATTTTGTCCGTGTTTCCAATGCTCAAGCCTGTAAATGGCCGCCTTTCCACCCGTAACTTTGGACGGCACGCCGCCGCTTAACCGCCCACCGCCCTATATCACCTCTATTCTGCACGGTCCTGATATTAGCGTTCGACTTTAACGGGTGCTTGGTCATTTAGCCGGCCGATTCACCCAAAGCCAGTCAACTGGCTGTAGCCGGATATCAACGGGCTCGATGGGAATACCCCTCCTGCTCAAGTCCAGCAAACCGGGAACAGGTTTTAGATCTAAGCCCCTTCCCAAGCAAGTGCAAACCTATTCCTTAGAGTGGGTATACGTTTCTGCATCCTGATTGGTGACGACCCCACGTGGCCCTAGAGGAGGGCCTAATCCATTTAACATCAAGTTATTAGCACCTACTGTACTGTACATATGTCGGAGATCTAACCCGGACCGGCCGGAACGGAAGTGTTTTATAATCCTCTACCCCGCAATTCCAAAAATAAGCAATGAAAGTACGTGGATACTACTGCAATCGATAACAAGAACATGTGGACTGGAGTCAAGTTGCGATGCCCTGGAAAAGTACAATTGAGCTATCACCCCTAAAGTAATAAGAAGCATGTGATCTTATTGACGAGCTTGCAGGGGACCCTGCTGGTTCCGGACGGAACATAATAGTACCAAGTACGCCACCAATTTGACCGATGGAAGTCACGGCATATGTGACTACTTTTATTGGACGGGTGGTCGTCTGCTTTGACCATAGACTCTATCCTCCCTTGCACCGACGGTGGTGACCGTGGCATCTAGGCCATCCTGAAAGTTTGGGCATTTCATGGCTAATAAAAGCCATCTTCACAGTAGCACTTTTGATAACGTGCTCTGCCATGGTTCAAACAGGTTTTGAGAGTTTCTTCGATTCAGTAGTGAGGCGTATACAGTACCATTGATGTCATTGAAAGATGCGAGAGAAGATTAACCACGATTAGGCTGCAGAAGGTTGGAAGATATATGAGACGACGAATATTACTTTGTACTTAGAATATTGACGAAAGGTAGCGGTCTGTTCACTGTATTACATGCAGTGAACGGCCACATGATCAGGTTCGCGAGGGGATAAAATGTACAAGGTATTTACAATACTACCTCGATATAGCGTACTAATTCGATTTCTGCCTAGTGATGTTGTAGAGCATGGTAACATTTAGTCATATAGTCCATTACACCAATTTTGTGGGTTTAAACACCTTTTTTGTAAAAATAAGAGCTTTGATCTTCTTACATCAACTCCTATTATTTGGAAAACGTGCAATTCATCCTGACGCTTAGTTCTGTTTCGTTATAACAATCACGTCTTGCGCTATTCTGCTACCGCTGCTCTTCTAGTCGCCCTCGGTGGCTTAGTAGCTGCCCATCCAGCAGACGATGCTGTCTTCAACGGGCTCGAACGCCGCTGCCTAGAGTCCGGAAACTTATGCGACCCTGAGGCAAACGGCCAGTGTTGCGGCGACTGCTGCACTTACTGCAGTGTGAAAGTAAGACGCGACGATGATACAGAGTTGGCTGAACGCATGTACTCATCCTGCAGTTCCAGATGCGGCGACAAATGTGGAGACCCGGGTCGAAAATAGAGTCCGCAGTAAATGCAGTGCCTCTGCAATAGCGCTGCGGCGCCTCTTACTAGTCGTACGTCATGGTGTGTACAACCGTCCCTTCATTCTCAGGCTTGTTGTATTTGTTGGATTGATCTAAAGTTATTTAGTCGAAAGTGAGACGTTTCAGCCAGATCTTATGTCGATGGAAACAGCTTGGCAATAGTTTAGCTGCTTGATAATTGGGATGGGTCATTTGTTCTAGAAAACGTTCTTGCGTCGTTTTGTGGCACCCTTTAAGTGATGGCGATTGGGTCTGTGCTGTCAATCTAGCCAAGTCTTGGTCAATACATGTTGATAAGAATTTCAAGTCTGACATATATGGAATGTATTCGTCAAAGCAAATTAACCATCACAGTTCATAAGTAGTGTCACTCAAAACGTCAGATCTTGCTCATCCCGCTCGAATCCTTCGGGAGCCCAAACTTAGAGATATCCTCCTTAGTTTTCCCATCAACAGCCAACTCCGCTAGCGCACGGCCAAAAGCAGGCGCGAATTTAAACGCATGCGCAGCACCCAGCCCCACAATAATATCCTGGTTCTTCTCAAGGGGGCTGATAATGAACCGACGCTCAGGCGTAATCGTATATTGGCACGTAATAGTGCGAAGAGGCTGGCGACCCTGGTCAGGCATCAGACCCTGAAGGAACGTGCACAGTTCCTCTAACAGCTTCGGTGAATGGACAAAGGTTCTCTGCTCCGGAGTCATGAAATTCATTGCCTGGTCGTGCGCTGCTTTAATTGTGGGCTCGCCGTAGGTCGGGAATCCGTAGTAGTTCTGTGGGCCGCCCCAGATCCATACGGGGAACTTGTCCTGTCCGAAGGCGGACGGGTCTGTTGGCTTGAAGTACGTGACTTGTTCCTGCATGATGCGGAGAGGAATGTGCACGCCGAGTGGTGCGAGGAGCTTGTTTGTCCATGCGTCGGTCGTGAGGATCACTCTCTTCGCGTGGAAGGTTCCCTTTGATGTCTCGATCGCGACGCCACCTGAGCTCTTGGGAGTGACGCGTTCCACACGAGTATGATCCTTCAAGGTGGCGCCATTGGAACGTGCTAGGTACTGCATTGTCATGACGGTCTTCGCAGCATGGACGATACCGCTGTCCGCGTCATATACCGTGTCGACTCCCTCCGGCACGTTGAATTGAGGCCAGCGCCTGTTGACCTCCTTGTGATCCAGTACCTCATGCGGAACGTCATTTTCACTTAAAGCTTTTCTATAGTTGTCGATAGGGTAAGGTGCATCCTTGGGAAGGAAGAAAAGACCGCCGGTCGTAGTCAACAATTTCTGACCAGTGAGCTTCTCGAGCTCAGCCCAATCCTTGTAGGCAGATTTAACAAGCTTCACATTCTCTGGCTCCGAGTTCGATTTCCTGACAATGCGCGACGTATCATGAGAAGCGCCCTGTACATGTCCGAATTCAAATTGTTCAAGACCGATCACTTTAGCGCCCTTGAGAGCAGCTTGGTAGCTTGCTGCACTGCCCAGGACACCAAGTCCCACCACTGCGACGTCGTATTGGTCCATTGAGCTTGATGTTCTGAATGATCTCAGGGAGCTGGGATCATGGAATGCGAGATCCATTCTTGGGTGACTCCGCATAGAGCGAGCGTGTGGTTTATGAATGGACTTGCGATGATAGCTTCCATGATAGCTATCGCGGGACACGGCCCGCTCACGTGGTTGCACGAGAAGATTGTGAAATTCAAGGACTACTAGAGTTGTAGGAAAGGCGGGGACGAATATCCAGGCTGTGCTCTGTTGGATGGGTTACCCAAAGTCGGACATGGTATCCCGTTGCCCGTGCAAGTTACCCACTTACCCCACGTCTGTATACTACTTTAAGACATGCTAATAGCCATTGTAAAAATACTACCAGAACTTTTGCTTATATATTATTAAATGTTGAAACTTGATTATGCGCTGATCTTGATAATGCAATTTTAAACAGCATATATACTCGAATGACCTGCCGACGTAGCTCTCATGTTCATGACGGACTGGCGGATCGGTATCCGGACACGTGAGCGGGTAATTGTCAATATTCCTCCTCGTCAATGGTCACAGATAGCAGACTTTAAGTCTGTGCGTTAAGCTGGTAGACGAAGACGAGTCAGCGGAATTGATAATCTGTTTGAGTAATTACTGCAGGTTCAACACGATAGGTAGAATACACCTGATAGCATGAGAGCCCCCATCACTTGTTCTGGATGCATTGTACTAGTATTTCGAAATCAGCCCTCATGAAACCAGTCCTGAATACCAGGTACAACATGGCGTTCGGTATCTTCGATCACCCTGTGGGGGGTAACTCTACTTTGCTCCGATATCAATGCGCTTCACTAGGTGTTGCCTCCTGGCACGTGCATTATGCACGAAGTGATAGCTTGATGTCGGTGAATTAGTGCTTAATCCTGCACATTTGAGAGCTGGTCGCCGGTTTCCACTCAAAACATAGCTACCTTCGACGTATGAAGGTAAAAGTTTCTAAATTGCCCATGAATACTTGTCAGATCGGACCAAGGAATTTCGAAGTACTTGACAACATTGGAAAACTCAACATAGATCATTTTTTCCAGGTTCTCAAGCAAAATTAATCTGCGATAATCTAGACATACCTTCCCATTTTCAGCGAACCTAAACTTAAAATCCATATATCGCCACGAAAGGTCATGATGTCATCGCCGGCATACAAATTTCACAACCATGTGGCCAAGAACCATTTTGAAGCCCGGGGTTATATTAAACTTTGCAGATACTGCAGAATCTCATTCTGATTCAAAATATCTTGACTGGCGGCATGCCGTTGTGAAATATGACCAACATATCCACGGATCCAACATTCTTAACCGACGAGACACTACACGAAGCCTACGAGCTCGAAATCGAGGGCAAGAATGGCGAGCCTGTTCGATTCGGTGAGCTCGTTGCCGGGAAGGGGGATTCAGTAACTACGATAGTCATTTTTGGTGAGTCCTTTCCACCTAGAAACTCGGGATATATCCAGAAGCCAATGCAGCCCGTCTCTTATCAGTCCGCCACTTCTTCTGCATCTACGACCAAGACTACGTCCGCAGTCTATCAAGCCAAATCACCCAAACCCTCCTCGACACGATCCCACAGCACGCCAAGCCAGCACAAGTCATCATCATAGGATGCGGCGATCACACCCTTATCGGCCCATATATGGAAGAGACCTCCGACGCCTTCCCTATATACTCCGACCCTTCAGCCAAGATCTATGAGAAACTGGAGATGAAACGGACTTGGGATGGGTTTAGGAACCCCCCGCCGTACTCGTACGAGTCTTTCCCTAGTGCTTTCTTTAAAGATCTTAAGCAGAGGTGGAAGCGCGGGTGGGGCGCACTGAAGGGTGGACCTGGGAATCAGGACGGTGGGGAGTGGATTTTCCAAAGGGGAAAGTTGAAGTATGCCCATCGCATGCAGGCTGTCAATGATCATCTTACGGCGGATCAGTTGTTGAAGATTTTAATGGCGGATCAGGGTGGGGGGTTGAGGGTGGGGGATTCTCAATGTCCCTCTGGTGAGGATGTACAGGAAGGTCAGGTTGGGGTTGGAACTTCGGCGGGAGAATGACTCCAGTTAAGTTTAAGAAGTTATGTACGAATATAATTGATGTAATTGTTCAGTTTTCAGCTATGCACCTAGATATGCACGGGTATAGGAAGTATATACACCACTCCACGAAAACGGCAGTTATTGCACGTCCAGCATCCTCTTCGGCAGCTTCGGTACATAGTCCGGGTTCTCCCAGTTCATCTTCAATGCCTCCAGTTTACCCGCAAAGTCCCTATCCTTCTCCATCTGCGCCTGCTCGAGGAAGATTAATCCATTCGTCGTATCGCCATCTTCGCGGGCCATCAAGGCCATCATCAGTGATGCTCTCTTATTGCCATGGTGATAGGCAAGATAGTACCAATCCTTGGCAAGGGCACGGTATTCCTCACGTTTCAAGGACTGTCCGAAGAATGAGGTGATCCACACCCACACTGGCGATGCATCTTTCTCGGGAGAGGCAGACGGCTTCGCCTCTGGTTTTGAAGATTCCGCCCCTTGGCTAGCGAGCTTATCCGCTCTCTCGCCGCGAGTTGGGTATCTGCCGTGGAAGGTAAGATAGTAGAAGTTGGCGAGGAAAAAGCAGGCATTCGCTTTTCCGGCAGTGGCAGCTTTCGACATGTACTCCTCGTATAGGTCGAGGTTGTTCTCGTTCATCATCATGGACGCGTATTCAACCAACGCATCGGGGTCCTGGTACTGCGTCGCAGCGATTTTGATCGCCTCGTCTGATTTCAAGCGCGCGTCCGGCACATTATGAAGGCTGTCATACCGCGCCAGAAGCAGCGCATACAATCTCCACGGTGATTCAAGCAGCCCACTGAGCATAACGTCTTCGAAAAAAGTGGGGAGGCGCTGAGTAGGACTCAGGAATGGGAGCACCTCCTTCTCAAGGAGCTCGCAGGCTTCTTTGTATTCGCCGCGTAGACCCAGTATCTTGGCATGCAGAATTAAAGCAGGCGGGAACTTTTGAGCTGCGAGCTTTTCCACTTCAAGCGTCCACTCCGTGCGGGCAGGCACTTTTGACCACTCTATGCTTCTGTTCGTAACAAGAATCAGGGGAATGCGCGCCTTTGCCATCGCACACGACGCGATGATCCATTCTCGAAGGTGTTTCTCAAAGATTGTCGCGCAATACCCAATGCGAAAAACGGCGTCGACGTCTAGCGGAAGTTAGTAAAGCTCAAAATCCAAAACAAACCACAGTTTGAGAGGAGTGAGCACTCACCAACAGAAATTGCCCGAATCGCCTGTGAATTGGGCCGAGCAGCGAATGACGCATCGACCAGCTTCATCTTCACGCTTTTGAAAGTCTTGAAGCTGATCGCGCTTGGAAGAACCCCATCTCGAATAGCTTGATCATACTCGGGCCCGGCCGACTCTTGCATCTGCCTGTACCACAACTCCTTAACTTCATCTTTCATGATGTTGTCAAGACAGTGTATGAAGAATCCATCTCTGTTCATGGTGGTTGCCGTTCCATGCGGCAAGTCTGGCATCTGGATCTGTTGGATGAACTGGTTGTTTTCCCGTTTCCGTCTTGCTGCTGGCGCAGGTCGGGCATTGCGCTGCACATTTTGGACTCGTGTGTTGTGAAATGGTCGTTTAGAGCTGGGTGTGTGTCTTGTGAGGGCGAGAGGATTTGCGGACGGAGAGAGGGTGTTCGCGTGCGAATTCGACGGTGCGCCGGGGGTTGGAGACAATGATTGGCGGAGCTTTAGCCATTGCCGTAGGGCTATCGCTGGCCTCGTCATTGCGGGCGCAATGAGGGAGGTTTGTGGAGGGCGTATGTGGCAGGTGGTGGTTGAGGTTGGCGGAAGGTGGAAAATCGCGGAGATCTGTGTTGGGTCCGCCTTGACGGGGAGAAGGAAACTCGGTCTGCAAAACACAACACGTTCAATAGCTTCTACAAATCCTACAGTCTACGCAGTTAATACAATATCTAAACATGCTCAATGCATCAATTAACCAAACGAGCCCTTTGTACCAGGGGTCCATAACACAATGCGTATAATGTACATTTGCCCTCACACGACCAGGCCATAACGCTCAAATCCTCGAAGCCGAGTCATCCCAGCCATTCCAAGTGCCGCCGCGCAAGAGGGCAAGGAGAGAAAGAGAGAAGAAGAGCAATTCTAAGGAACAGCTCCATCCAAGTCCACCCGACTCAATTTTCTTTTCCCAGAAAGCAAGCTCCGGCCTTTTAGTCCATGGTGACCTTCGCACCAACAGCCTTGAGGGTCTCGATAATCTTCTCGGCCTCATCCTTCGGCACGGACTCCTTCATCACCTTCGGCGCGCCCTCGACGAACTTCTTGCTGTCCACCAGCGAAAGTCCCAGCATGTTCTTGATCTCCTTGATGACCTTGGGCTTGGAGGCGGCTTCGAAGGACTCGAGCTTCAGGTTGAACAGCGTCTTCTCGGCGGCGGCGGGCGCAGCCTCTTCCTCCTCGACGGGTGCGGCGGCACCGGGGGCACCGCCGCCGGGGGCCATGGCGAAGCCGCCGACGGGGAGGTCGGGGATGTTCAGGCGGGTCTGCAAATGGAAATGTTAGTCTCACCATAAACCAAAGAGCATGTCTAGTGATGAAAGTCGAGGAGACGTTCCAATTGACGCAGTGCAGACGTGTGTATGCGAATAATAAATCGGGGCTAACAAACCTTCAAGCTGGACACGAGGTCGGCGGTCTCAAGGAGAGTCAATGTGCTGATCTGGTCGACAATCTGTGCGATCTTGGGGTTGGTAGGAGTAGCAGCCGCGGCCTCGGTGGACTCCCATCGCCGACTGATAGGTGTGCGGCGGGCTGTGTATGAAGTCGCGATGCGCAGGGAGGACGGGCGGACGGAGCCGGAGAGTTGTCTGCAGCAGCGGGCTGCGGCCTGGGTGGGGAAGGACATGGCGGAGGTAAGGACGAGGAGCTCGGAAGGAAAATAGAATCAATACACAATTGGTGGGAATGGAAGAGATATTTCGGCCGCGATTGCGAAGCAAAAAGAAGGACGAGAGTTTCGGGGAAAATCTCGATGTCACGTGATATTATGTAAGCGTATACAATGGCTACGAGCCCCCATCGCAATTTAGTAAACACCAAGATAACTAACTATTGGGTACCGTTGAGGAAACTGTTCACCGAGCAGATAAAAGCAACGAATGTTGTCTCCTTCGGTTACCTGTGACTTGGTGTGTCTCTGCCAGCATCGCAGACTCGTGCCTGGATTCCCGAGGGGCAAATTGACTTCTGGAGAGGATCAATGGTCATTATGGACCGTGACTACTTATAGAATGTTTTGCCTTAATCGAGTGAACAGTGGGTTTCTTAATAACAGAGTAGATTGATTGCGAAGTATTTAAAGTACAAACAACTGTGACCTTATACATACCCTGCTTATCCGCTGTGCCACTCTTTTGGAATAGCTCATGGCGTTGTCATGATGGTGAGCTTGCTGCCATTCAGTGTTATGATATTAAAAAGTTGAGCTCTTCTCCCAGGCAGAGGGTGCGTGCGCCTAACTAGCATCCAATTCCTTTAGCATGGGAAGATACTCATTACTATACCTCCCCAAGGCCCATGCAGTGAAATAGAACTTGTAATTTGGATATCCGATCATGCTTTATTGCAGGTATCAATTGAGTCAGCGATACCTGAGTATTCAAAGAGATAATGCCAAACTTACCATGTGTTATTAAAAACGCCTTCCACGCCCTCCTGGAGCCATTCTCCATTGGCCTGCTGCCGACTCATAATCAACTATAGTAAAACGTCAGTTTATGTGCCATTCCCCATAAAGAGATGCTGTACCTTGAGCCCTTTCTCAATGGCTTCTTTATACGGATAATGTGCATGCATCAGTGCCAAGCACGCCCAGGCAGTATTCACCACCTGGCTTCTCTCATGCTGGACATATTCTTCCACCTCGCAAGAAGTGTAATGCTCACCCCAGCCTCCATCATTCTTCTGTTTGGAAATCAAAAACTTGCAACACTTGCGAACAGCGTTGCTAGTCTGCCAAGTCTGACCAACCACTTCTAGGCTCTGCATGGCAAAGAGCGAAGCATAGGTGAAGCACACTCCCCATGACCCATACCAGCTCCCGTCAGGCCGTTGCGCATTGATGATGTATTTTATCGCACGGTGGATTACCCTATCAATTTCGGTAGACCTGTAGGTGGGGAAATGGCGGCGGAAGAGCGATAGGGCTGTCACTACAGCCGTTGTGCATTCGGGATATGAGTACTCGACCATGATGCGGTCAAACACCTCCGACGCATTTAGATATTCGAGCAGGCTGCTCGCGCGGGTGCGTTCATAACTACTGAACCCACCGCCTGGGTTTTGCATGAGCAGCAGGGTGTCGACACAGTCGTGCAGGCGTTCGTCGGAGATGCGTTTGACAAAATGGCTGCGACAAATTAAAAATCAAGTTTTTCAAAAGAATATCACAAAACCTACCACTGCTCTTGAAGCATCAGAACGGCCTTTAGGCCCTCCGCCGCACAATCGGATACCACATAGCCATTGTCTCTGGTGCTGAATGGCCAACCACCTTTCCGTGGCTGGCGATAAGGATCGGCCAAATCTTCCCTCAATTGGGAGATGTCCAGGTAACTCAGGGCATTTTCCAATGATGAACGGAACTCCGGCTCCATGGCTAGGCCAGCCTCGAAAATAGCCTGGATGCTGAATGCCGTGTCCCAGGCTTGGACACCATTAGTGCCACTGCAGGTCATCCCCGTTTCTCCCATCCACATATATGGAGCTATTTTTTCACGGTGACAGCTCATGCGAGAGCTATTGGGGCCATCAGAATGCCAAACGGTAACCATGTGAAAGGCTTTATTGACTGGAGCCAGACAGTTGTAGGAGGTGTTCTCATCCTCGCGCTGGATCAACGCGCAAACTCGCTGATTAGCCCATTGAGCAATCCAATTTGGTCGAAAATACTGTTCCCAGCAGCGTAGGAATACATTGGCGACGCGAAGTAGTGCGGATATCGGCTTTTTTAGGTCAACAGGTGCCACGGTGTTCCGGAATTGCTCGAATATTATTTCCTCGTACGGTTGTGTATAGATCTCTTGGCGGAGGCTGGTGAGAAGCGGATCTAACGGCTTTGTGACCTTGTTTGCATAAAGATACGAAACAGGGAGATAAACGACGCGGCATTGAACCCACCAACGCCAGGGATGGAACGGAATCCAATCAGGAAGCAACCTAGATCGAGGCACATGTCATGATGAATCCAAGAGACAGATTGCGAGAGATTGGGAAAACATCTTACCAGAATTCCGGGGGGATTGGGTTTACACCGCTCCAACTGTAAAGATTCAATAATGCCAGCCATATCTTTCCCCACTGGGGGATTCCAATGGCCCCTCCTAATAATTTAATCAGTCTAGCCCCGTTTTCATGTTCAGGCAGGTTATATCATACCTAGGGCGTGAAGACGGGCGCGAGCCTTGGTAGACAAAGGATGTGTCGACTCGAGACCCAAGATTCGCAGCGTGATGTAGTAGAGAGTTGTTGCAAAAACTGTCGAATCACCAGCAGAATGTAATCCCCAACCGCCATCTTTGTTAACCGTGCTCATTAGATAGTGTATAATCTCGGTTTTCCATTCTGGAGGGATCTCGGTCTCGGTAATGTACATCGCGATGACCATGCCAGCAAGCAAGAAGCTGGGGCCACCATATGCACATCCCCAATGGCCATCATCCAGCTGGAGATTCTGGTAAAACCGGAACCCATTGCGAGCGGATTCTTGGAAATTCCTTGGAATAGGAAGTTGCGGCAATCCCTAAACAGGTGAGCAAGCAAAAATCGTACTGTGTGGAGCATTACGCACTGTGGGTAGTGCAAGAAAGTATTTCTCAGCCGCAGACTGTGGCAGCCGCGTGGATGCGGGCTCATCAAGATATCGCCACCGGTGGACACCGCTGTCGACGTCAAGTCGCCATCGCTTAGGATCAGTCGCACTTGTCGACATAATGAGATGGGGCGTGGTTGTCAAATACTTGGGGTCTGAGATAAATAGGGTCCTTTTAGTTGTCAACAACCCTTTTTCCTTCTTTGGCCAAAATCTAGCAATTGGGGCATCTGTGCCGGATCGTCTGCGAGGGAAAGGGTTCAAGGGGAAGAGAAACTTTGAACGGAGGTAGGAGACGTTGTATAGCCTATAACCACACTAGTAACATACTAAAGTACCAAAGAAAGCAATGTGAGTAAAGACTTTTGAAAGCGACCTCGGTAGATAACGGATTTCACGAGCGAGCCGCCCACCTAACCATCTACCTTTTACGTTACATCACGATTTCGACGCTAGTACTGGAATTAAATACTTCAAGACACAAGCTAGAAACTCAATTGAAAGAGTCATTGACCAATGTATGGATGTATTATCAAACTCTGCTATACACACACCAGGCGACCTTTTTTTTCGTGATATCGTACGGAGATCTATCCCCCGTCCCAACGGTCTCGAAGCCATATCTTCAATCATTTAATCCTCATCCCAGTTGGGGTTCGGCCCCGGCGGCTTAGGGCCACCAGCTTGCCGAGCCACAATGATCTGGTCAACACTGAGCACAGTCCGAGCAGACTCACTGGCCAGACGGATGGCCCAGCTCTTCGAGGCCATCAGGTCGAGAATACCCTCCTCAACGGTATCCAGGGTGCCGGCGGAGGTGCTGGCCTCCAGGTCGACACCGGTGGTCCAGTAGGGCTCCTCCTCGGATGAGCTGCCCTCGTCCTCTCCGGAGGACTCTTCAGTGGCGGTGCGGTGGTGTGCGGTGTACAGGCGGGAGAGAACCTCAGTGGCATCCAGACCGGCGGAGTCGGCGAGAGTGCGCGGGATCACTTCAAATGCCTCGGCGTACTTGCGGATGGCGTACTGTGGCAGACCCGGGGTCTTGTCAGCGAAAGCTGAGATGCGCTCCACAAGCTGGATCTCGGTGGCTCCAGCACCGGGCACGAGGCGCGGGTCCTTGGTGATGGCCTTGACGACGTTAACGCCGTCATCGATAGCACGCTCGACGTCCTCCAGGTGATTCTGGGTGGCGCCGCGCAGAACGATTGTGGCGGTGCGCGTCACAGCATTGGCATCTTCTTGACGGAACACGGTGACACGGTCACCACCGATCTCGGTAGTCTCAACGACATCGATCTGACCCATCTCGTCGGGCATGGGGGCGCCCAGACGGGCCAGAGGGGTAGCACCGACGACGCGGCAGAGGCGGCGGAGCTCGAACTTGGACAGAATCTTGATGACCAGGATGTTAAAGCGGTTGAGGTAGTGCATGGCAAGATCGCCGACAGTAGAACCAGCAACAACCACGCGAAGGCCGGAGTCATACAGCTCCTTGATGGCAGTCTCCAAGCGCTCCTCCTCACCCTTGGTATAGTCGACCATCTCCTGGGCATTCTTCAGCAGAACAGTGCCCTTGGTCTCGGTCTGCGAGGTGTCAATGGGGCAGCTGAACACGCCGACCTTGGCTCTGCGAGCCTGCTTGACAATTCCATCTGGCTCCCGACCAAACACCATACCCTTCACTACACGAGACTGTTCCAAGCTGCCACCCATGATCTTAACGACCCGCACATTGTCCACGTTGAAGTTGAGGGGGTTCTTAGGCAGAACGGCCAGAACGGCCTCCGCAACCAACCCAGCAAGGATGTCCTCCGTACCGGACTGCTTGCTCGCCACGACCGTCCGAAGCGCCTTGCTGAGTTCCGTAACCGAGCGCATCTCCTTGAGACGATCGACCTCGAGTTCTGCAGAAAATCCAAAATCAGCGAATATTCCAGGAACGCACTTGCTATCCACCGCAACCCCTCGTTCAAAAAATCCCAAATCCGAAATTATAACCTGCAAAAAGACGTACCCTCTAGAACCTTCAAGGCAAAGTTTTGTGCCTTCTCATAACCGGAAGTAATATCACTGGTCTTCAATCCCATCCGAATAAGCTCCTCCGCCTTCTTGAGCAACTCGCCCGCAAGGACGATGACCATGTTGGTACCATCGCCCATCTCAGCATCTTGCTGCTGGCTAGCCATAACAAGCAGCTTAGCAGCGGGGTGGACAACATCGAGCTCGCGGAGGATGGTAGCAGCGTCGGAGGTCAGGATCATCTTCTGCAGGTGGTTGATGACGATCTTGTTGCGGCCGTAGGGTCCCAGGGAGGTCTGCACGGTCTGCGAGATAGCCTGGCAGGCTTCAATGTTACGGATAACGGCTCCATCTTCGGCGTCGTGGCTGGCAATTGGGTTAGCGGATTTGGTCCGTTGGGCCAGATAAGGAGGTGCGGTGGGATGGATAGGTGCGTCTCTGCTGTCTTACCTCTGGTAGCCGGCCTTGAAGAGACCCGCCTGGGAGGGCCCGGGCAGGGAAAGCGACATTGTCAAAGGTCGTGTCCGAAGGATACGACTTGATTTGACGGGGTGGAGGGGGAGAGTTGATGACCTGTGTTTGTGCCGGGGAATTTTTGGGAGCTCGACGGGGAGTTGGGTGCGTTTGCGGTGTTTGCACGAGGGGAACCCGCCAGTTAACTCCGCCCGCTTTCTATCTACTTCGACGGTGCCTTTCACCAGGGAATTTGAATTTGCGGGTGCATTAGGAGAGATGGGTATTGATGTTCGCTAATTCTATTATACAAGAGAGTCTTGTTATATCTCCTCACCACCCATAAGAGGGAGTGTACGACTTGGCCGCATCGTGGAAGCCCGGCACTTTCAGAGTCAGTTCTTGCTCAAATTCATTCTTAGTACTCAGAATCTTACTATATTTTCCAACGGAGCTGCAACCATTGTCCTCGTAGATGCTTTCGGCTTTCTCGAGCCTATGGAAGTTAGCAAGAGAAGCTCAGCTCAATGGGAAATAGATTGGAGCATTCTCACCATCCACGAATGGCTTCCTCTCTGTTGTAGCTCTAGTGGAAACGTTAGTAATTGAATACCCGATCGAAAGGGACAAGACCTACGGAAGGATGGGTGGACATAAACTGCGGGGGGAGAGCCCTTTTCCTGCTTTTGCATCCGAGCCCACCTGATGCGCCATTAGTATTGATTGTCGGAAACATTCAAAGGCGAACTTACAGTCGAACAGCAGCCTCTGGGTTAAAGCAGGCCTTGGACATCATCACTAGCACGAACCGTCAGCATTTCGAAAGTAATCATGTCGGTTCCCTGCATACTCAGCCCAATATTATCCGCCTCGGCCTAGAGCAAGGGTCAGCCAACGCTCGAAACATCTTCCATGACCGGAAATAACTCACCTCCTGCGATCGCGAATTTGGCAAATTATACATCAAATTGAGCACAAGCGAAGAAAGCTGCCCCGAGACGTCAAACAGAAGCGAAACCGCAAACACAGCGCCGAGCGTAAGGAAACTATTGCTCATCCGCTCAGCCGGATGCCGTGCAACAACGTGCGCAATCTCATGTCCCAGAACAGCAGCCAAGCCATCCTCATCTTCGCAGATTGGCAGAATACCAGTGTAGACGAATACCTTTCCTCTGCACCAAACCCAGTCAGCAACCCAGCAAACCAACAAACATTCCGGCTTATAGGATAAGGAGAACTCACCCAGGCAAAACAAACGCATTCGCCATCCCATCATCCTTAATAACATGAACCTTCCAATCAGCCCCCTCAATCGGGGCAAGCGGAATCAACCTCCGCAACACTCGATCCACAGACTTCGTAAGCGGATGATAGTCAGGCAGGATCTTGCCACGCGCCTGATTGAGCGTTTCGCGGTATCCCTCCTCGCCGAACTTGAGTTCTTGTTCGGGCGAAACGCAGATGAACCGGCGACGGCCGGTTTCCTATTCCACAAGTCAGAGACCACCTCTATTGGGAAGTTCGGGATTGCGTTTGGCTTACCGACACGACGTCCGTGTTGTAGAAGTATACGCCTGAGATCCCGAGACCTAGGATGACGAAGTGGTGCGGTTTGGCATTTTGGATTAATGTGAAGAAGAGGGAGCCGCGGTTGTTGCCGAAGCGGTTGTATTGGTTGTAGCGGTTGTATTGGGATTGGGGGTTTGGGTTGGTGGTGAATGCGCGTCGGGTGGAGGAGGGTCCTGGTGCCGCGTGGTTTGCCGGCGTATTAGCTCTTCGTAATGGTAGACTGGATATCCATCGCGAAGACTTGTGAGGGGAGACCCTTTGAGCTATCTGAGACAGTTGCGAGGCGCGAAGAGCAGGTTGTCGCAGGAATGCGGGTTGCGCCAATATCGATATGGGGGCATGGGCGCGGAAACCGCGGAGGGTAGTTTGAGTGAGCATGTTCAGCGGGAGGTTCGCATGGTATGTGCAGAGGTTCCGAAAAGTCAGAGGTGGAAGTTGGAGCTGGAGCTGGAGCTGGGTGAGTCAAAAGTGAAAGTGCCTTCCATATTTCAATGCGGCTGAGCCACACGGCGATAAGCAGCCACTTCCGGCGTTTACGCACCGCCCGCAACTACTATCAAGTAACTTCACAACTATGTAGACCTCAAAGTAGTCAATTAAAATGAATGTCGTTATCAACGCAAATCAATTATGCAGGGGCTATATAATAAGTGCAGTATATCGTCACAGCTAATTTTGAATAACAAGCATCAAAAAAAAAGGAACCCATCCCATCCGCGCACCATTCTCGAGACCGACAGAGCAATTGCAGAGAAACAGATGTATCAACACGGCACCAATCCAAAGGAACCCATAGGATAAGCATGATAAACACATCAAAAACAAAGCCCCTGGTATCATGCTGCACAGTCATGGCGGGAACAAAGTGGTATCATAGGGCAAAAAAGATGAAAATGAACATGAGGAAATCGGGGCATATGGAATACGAGAAACATGGGTAATATGGACGGACAAAAACAAGTCATGAGCCGACTCCGCGTGTATGGAACCCCGAGAAATGAATAAGGGAAGAGATTTTTGTTTACTCTTCGGTCAAAGCATCGTCGCCCATCTCGCGCCAGTCTTTGGACCGGTCGGTCAGCCGGCGGACTCCGGCGATTCGTTGCGCCCAGTGGGCCTCGGAGGGTGTGCGGCAGGTGTAGGCGCGCTGGGAGGAGATTACGCCGATACTTTGGAGTACGGCTTTCCGTGAGTCGCGCGCGAACACGGCGGGGTGGTTGATCCACTCCAGGGCTGAGTCGAGGTCTGCGTTTAGGGCGATCATCGTCTGAACGTCGACTGCGGACGAAGGCGTAATGGTAGCTGTTTCGGAGACCGAGGAGGTGTGGCCATCTCCGAAGGTGGATGGGTTGGGCGAGCCGGAACCTGGTGTGTCACCTCTGCTGCCCGAGTCGCTGCTTCCTGAGGGCCGAGAGACGGTCGGGGGGAGAGGCGGCAGGCCACCTTTGCCGAGACCCTTGAGAATACTACGGGTTTCGTTCAGCAGGTGCTGGCCACGGTCTTGTTGACCGCGGGAAACCAGAGTGAGGGCCCGGGTGAGCATGTCGGATGTGAGCAGTTCCATGCGGCGCTGCACGATCGAGGGATGAGGGGGAATGGGAGGAGTGGAAGGCCGTTGGCCCCTGGCCTTGGGGTTAGCCGGAAGCATAGTAATGGCAAGAAGAGATGGGCGAGGCGAATGAGTCAAGTGTCCATCACGGAGAAGATCACCGTAGGTCAAGTCGGCCTGGATCAACGGAACTTCTTCAACGCTCAGAACCCGCTGCTCATCTCCATCAAGCCCACCACCAAGTGCCTCCAGGCCCGACACCAAGCTTTCCCACGGGTCTTGGGGCATGTTGTCCTGAGTAGCATTGTCCGGCTGGATGACCAGCTGCACCAAGACATCACGCTTATCACCAAATCGAAGATCTCCCAGAGCAGCCTCAGCATCACGGCCAGTTGCACGCTTGGTCGTATGAAGAGCGCCGCTGATCTTAACGAACTTGGCCGGCGAACCTTCTGGCAGACGGAGCTTTAGCTTAACGTTCTGGTGGGAGGTGGACTGCAAAGCACCCAGGCAGCCCGCAACACATTCACGCAACATCATCCAATCCTTGACGTAAAGATACGAGCCCTTGGTGCGAGTGGAAAGCTCGATCATGGTATCGGGCTTATGAGTCAAGCCAAGTCCGAAAGAGTGAATGCTGATCTTGGCGGCTTCCGCGCGAGAAACAACGAAGTCGACGCTTTCGGGGTCCGAGGTAGACGAATCGCTGATCAGAAGAATGGTTGAGACCGGGTTGTTGAACTTGCGCTGCATCAGAAGGTCCATGGCCACATTGGAACCCTCCACCACATCAGCACGGAGACTCTTCTGGCCAACGGGACGAATGGAGTCAAGGATCTTGTTCCAGCCATTCCATGACTTGGTAGTCATGCCTACGAGAGGCACGCCGCCGCCACTTGAACCAAATGTTACCAGGCCCATGCGATCACGAGGACCGAGGTTCTGAACGAGGAACTTGAGGGAATCGCGCAGAAGAGTGATCTTGAGGCCTTGCATCGAGGAGGAAACGGGGATTACAACGACAATATCGAGAGGAATGTGGAAAGAATTGATCGAAGGCTTCTCAGCATCCGGATTGGTGTAGTCGGTGATGGCAGTGTTGTTCGACTTGCTTGCTCCATAGGACGAGTTGAGAGAAGCCTGGCGTTGGATGCGGCTGGTCCGGTAATCATCGTCTTCAGCACCCGAGTTGTCAAAGTCATAGTCGTTCTGGCGCGTCAGACTCTCGACCGGGTGCAGATCCATCAAAGAACGGCGCCACATTTCCAGCTGGTTTCGGCTCTGGAAGCGGAGGAAGAATCGGGGAAGCTCAGTGACTGACAGGTTCAGAGTAAGAACCGACTCGTCGGAGGATGCGTCAATTCCCTTCAAATGCTTTTTGATCAAAATGGAGCCTTTGAGAGTGCATCGTGTCGGCTTGCGCTTGCCCGAATGATCATCGTACTGGTGAGCATCGGCGACTTTCTTCTCCTTGACGCAAATAAGCATCTCTCCGAACAAATAACACTCCAGCTCTTGCCACGATTCCCGGTCTTTGCCAACACGGACCTGCCCGTGCAGGCGCAGCTTGCCAAACCGGTTGAATTCAAGTCCGTGCCAATTGTCAACCCGGTTTCGCAAGTCCTCGGCGATTTCATCCAGGTTCTCCGACTGGTCAAACTGAAGAGATCGGGCATCCTGCGAGCCGCCAAACCGTGCGGAGTACGGCTCGTCGAGCAGTGGTTGGCCGCCAGGCGCTTGTCGGAGATCCTCCGCGTCCGGACGCCAATTGCCCTCCGGCACTTCTACCGTGATCAAGCAGGTGAGGGATTGTTGCTGGCGGGATCGGTTCATGGTGGGGAATTCGCTTCGCACAGTCACCATCGGGGCGGGGATGGGGTTCTTCGTCACGCCCGGGCGGGGGCTCAAATCGGACTCCATAGCCTGAACATCGTAGTCGTGGCGTCGCCCAATGCTTGTGTGCTGGCCCTCATTATAATCGCCGGAAGAACCAGCCGCACTACCGTTCCGAGAATGCGGTTGGCGGGGCTGAGAAACTACCGTCAAGCGCTCCACGCGGTCGCGCTGGTTGGTGGTCTCGCGACTGTCCCGTCGACTGTCCTGTCGGCTATGATTTGACGGCTGGGGGTTGAAGCGGCTGCCGTTATCGCTGGGGGGCGGCTCCTAGAAGACTGATCCCACGGTGTCGGGGTTGTCAATTCGCTGCGTGTCGTCGCGGAATCGCTCATAGTCACCGAGCGAACAATGTTGCTAATTTTTTCTGATATGGCCGGTCAGTAGCTGACAGTCAAATGTGCCGTGCGGTGGAACAAACCAATATCCAAAACATTTCCACCTCGGCTCGTATCAAGGCCCAGGGGGGCATTGCAGGTGGGACAATATTGCGATTCAAATTCGCGAATATACTCGTAGAAGCATGCTTCGTGGGAGACATGGCTGCATGAGAACTGGAGGACGCGCTCACCACGCAGGGTATGTTCCAGCGGCTCCTCACAGACGGCGCATTCGGCGCCGACGAAGGTTCTCTCCCTCCGGGTACGAGTGCGGTCGACCTCCATTGGGCCGGTCATATAACTTCCCGATCTCGAATTGAAGGACACGCGCGAGGCGTTCGAGTGAGCCGGCTGTCGAGCAGAGTCAGGATAGCCGGAATAAATGGAGCTCGAAACGGCAGAGGGCGCTCGTGGGCGAGTGGCCGTGACGTCGGTGTAGTTTGACAACGTACTCTCGGGACGGTCTTTGCCTCGAGTAAATGAACGAAAGGACCGCAGCGTGGAGCTGGTGCGGGATTCCGGCCGCGATGGTGATTCTGTACGTCCCCAGGGTTGCGTTAGCAGTGCGTGGGTGCAAAAAGACCGCTGACGTTGGATGCGAATTGATCAAGAAAGGTCGGAGGCAAAGAAAAGAACTTCTTCAGGGGTGGGATTCAAAAAGAGCATCTAGAACGTCATGGGAGGGTCTCAGATCGGAAGACCGGGTTTTATATGATACTGACCGGAAGTAACCAAGTTCCTCTTTCTGGATCGCCCCAGAAAGCCGATGTCAGATAGATGAAGAAGGTTAGAATCGCTACCAGACTTGGAATCCGATCTGGGCGAAAGTCGAGGTTTCCACATGGGGGGTCTGCCCAGAAACCAAAAACCAGGCGCAAGGTGAATAGGGAGTGGGGGGCGGGTTAGGAATGAGGAAAAAAGACGAGGGGACAAAAAACGAGACACCCGAAACCTAAAAAATAGAAAATAAAGAAAATTAAAAATTGGGAAACAAAAAAAAGTGTAATAAAAAGAGGCCAAGGGCCGCGGAGCTGAGGAGCGTACTGTAGAGGCGTAAAAGGAGGAGGGGGGCAGATCGTGCACTATCGCGAAGTGGACTAGTGGTATACAGAGTACAATTGCAATGTAAAGATGTGTAAGAATGTAAGAAATCAAGGAGCGACAGGGGTTAAGGAGAGAAAGGTTTACGGGGGAAGGCAGAAAGGATTGGATGAAGAGGGGGGGAATAATTTACGCCGGCTGTATTACTAGTCCAAGTACTACTAGTCTCCAAAAGCTTCTGCGGAAAAAAAGATTAAAAAAAAAAAAAAAAAAAGGAAGATCTTGGACAGGACGTATGGAGAAAGGAAGGAACCCGATCGTAGGGATCCACACTGGTGCCGAACATGGAGCGCTAGCAAATGGGTGAGCCATGGGTGATGCTGTGTGCTATTAATTAGATTTGCGTGGGTCACGCCTCGGATAGAGGTCGAAAAAAGAGAGAATGTTCCACGAGGGAAACGTGGCGTGATGACAGACAGGTTCGCCCCCTTGCTGCAGCCGTGCAGTAGTGCATTACTAGCTATGGAGGATAGCGTGCGGACTACGGAGTACAAGGTTGTGAATGTATAGAAGCTAAGTAGTAGAGTGGACACTTCATGCCCTGGAACAGGAAAGTGTTAAACTCTGCCTTCCAACGTGGATCCTATCTGCTACGCCCGAGCTGAATGTGAGAAACATGTCCATTCCCATGAGGCTATACGGAGCAGTGTAAGCACACGCGTTTGCGCCTAGGACGTCGGCTATGGAGATGGCCCCTCTCTTGCCTGGCGACCCATCTCAGCTGGTATCCACGGTTCAGCCTTCAGCGTAACCCGGGGGCGATATCGGGAATCCTGGTCGGACATCGCGCGAGAATGCAACCCTGCGGGCTGTACACGGGTTCTCTACGGGTTATACGGACATCCGTGCACTCGGACTATCGCTATCATCGGCGCGCCATTCAAAAACCCGAATCTCTCTTGATTTTCGACGATTTTTCAAGCCTTCGCCGGCCTGCTCCAGGATAGGGAGACACAGACCTCGGTCGGTCCTGGATCTCCAATCGATCACCCGGTGTCTCCAATTCCCGCGTGCCCGACGAGCCTTTGGATTCATCATGATGGTAGCTTATCGTCAATCTTCCCACGGTCACCAAACTCCAATAGCACCGTAGACTGGTCAACCCCTACCCAAACCCCCGTTTTGCACGGAAACCCGCCACCTGCGATCTGCTGACTAAGGTCGGTTGAACGGTCCCGTGACAATCACACACGGCAATTGGCTCGCCAAGCTGCATATACTGGGCCTCTCGGCAAACCGTCGATCTTCTCCAAGCGTTTCCTGTCACCAAAACTTGGTTCATTTTCAGGGTCACCGTTTAATCTTTTGCCTCAACTCTGCGAACGTCATATCGCTCCGATTCCATGGGAGTCAGCGACCTCTGGACCACGGGAAGGCGAGACGGTACTCCTCCCGGGTCTCACGGGTCTCGCGTGTGGCGTATCTCCTCTGCGCAATGGATCACCGGAGCGTGCACCGACAAGAGGCCCAGATCGTCGTGAACCCCTTTCTACGCGTCCAGCTATTGCGTGTCTTGTTTTTCGCCGCGCTATGGCGTGTCAATCCCTTCTCCACCCTCCCCTTCGGCCTTCGGGTGCTGGCGTTGAAAATAAGAGCTGAACCACCGGCTAATTGCCATTATTAGCTCATCATCGGCTCAATTACCCGTGTCACTGAGGGAGCTACTTCCAGGTGGGCGCCAATATCGCGTGCAAGGTGATCATCCTGGGCCGGAAATTTCGGGGCACTGCGTAGATCGACAAGCCGTTGTCATATTATAGGCCTGCGAGGACTAACTTGCTTTGGAATATCAATGCGTGGTCCAGGCCTGGTTGTGGACGAGAGTCGAGTCGACCTGTCTAGCAGATCCGTCGATGACAAGTCGGAGAATAACATGGTCCTGCACGTGGACTGGTCAGAGCGTCAACTCGTGCTCCTTTTGACCGATGTGTCGAATTCAGTAAATGCCGCTGTCAACCATGTGGTCCCCGCCCCTGAGGAGCTGTCAATCTGGCCCTGTCCGAATTAAATGCGTCATCGCGGCCCCGAAAATCCCTTCGTGCCTCCATTGCTAGCTTCCCAGCCACCTCCTGAATCATGCGAGGACAAGTGCTTTCATGCGTACGTGGTAAAATAAAAAAGAGGGAATCGTGGTGATCCTTATCTCGGCGCCTGACTCCAAATTTCAGTACAACGTGCAGCATGATCACCGCCGTTGAAAGCTTGCAGAGCGGAGACAGTTGCACATCCTCTTGAAACTCCACCATTGTATCCGTTAGTATTTGTGAGTGTCATACGAGTATTCCTGTACGTCTATGCGTAAGTTAACCAGTGCTGTGGGTAAAATTTTTCCTCCATCCGTGCTCAGGGGTGATCGTAGCGGGCCAGTGTTTCAGTCTATTGATCGGCCGGTCCCCTCGCACCCGGGCTGTGCTTGCCAGAACCTCATGAAGGTACGTAGTATTTCTTCATAGTATGTAGAAAGTCAAGAGGCATTTGTCTGCTAGATTAAGGTTCGGAAATGAAACGCCCTGCGCGTGCAGGATGCGGGTCTTCATTGGACGGATCCAGGACCCAGGTGCAGGTCCACATTGACATGCTTTTTGCTGGGCAATGCTGCGTCTGCACCTGCATGACTGGGGGTTATACTTTAGGCTGGCAGGTACGCCGGGCCCGCTCCTGTTGTCCCGGTACCTGTGAAGATGTAAATACGCCAGACATGCGTTTCAGCACGCGATGACAACGTCAGAGTCCAGCAGGATCATGCTGGACTCTGAGATCCTTGCGAGGGCCAGTGTCGCATCGCGATTTCACTTCAAAGCGACCGAGAATGGTGAAACGGCTGGATCGGTGTTGAAACTTGCACAAACCGGCGATCGTCGTGTCACACTATCGCAGGGAATTTCCGTACGGAGAAGGTGTGGAAAGACATCAGATCCGGTGCTTTGGAAAAGCCCAGACCAGTCCGGCTCAGTTCAACTCGTGCAGAGACGTTACCGGTGGATCCGTATGACACTGGTCATCGTTGGTATTTTCCGTAGGTCTGAAGCGGTCGGGCTTTGGGTGTTTCCAGCTTGGCTATCGTACGAACTCGAGTCAATGCACGCCCGGCTGAATCCGTACAAGACTTTCTAAAAATGGTCGCTAGGACTGGTGTTGTTTGTCTTGGCTGTCTGTTTGCTGACTGGGGTCTTCAGTACACGATAGACACTTGACGTTGTCAAGGAAATGATCTGTCGATTCAAGGCGGGGTCACTGGATCCATCGCATGTGATGGTAAGCCGAAATGTAAGCCGTTAGATTGGAACATGCAAACAGACTCCGGGAATCCGACGGGTCACTTTTTGGGATGTGATGCGACGCATTGTAAATTCTACCTTGGGCGATGAGTTAGCTGGAATCTCAATGTTCTTAACACTGACTCGACATGTCGTCGTACTTTTGATATGATATGGGGCCCCGCTCCGGTGTCATCGAATAAGGCCCAGGGAATTGGCGCCACTCCACTGATGCCTGGGTGAGGCGTTGGCCCGATGCCTGGGTAAGATCCGACTGGTTCTGGGAGATCCGAGATACAAATATTTGGATCTTTGTCAGTTTAAACCAGCAGCTCCGCCTTTGAAAGCGACATGACAACCTTGTTATTACGGAAAATTAATGGCTCCAAGGTGGCCTGGGGACAATAACTGGCTACCATTCGTGTTTTCTGTTTCATTCCAATTTAAACCGGACTAAGGTGTTTTCATATCCTTGGAAGGCTTTCGATGAGAAACCTCTCGAGCCCTGCATGCTCAGGTGGAGTTCAGTGATGTGCTCGCCAACCGTGTGACCGTTGTTGGTGGAAAGGGCCATATAATTTACTGCAGGTGGGACTATTATACGTAGCACTTGAACCGTTCTTGGTTTCGACGACTAAGGCAATCAATAGAAAAGGCCCTGCAAGCTTCATACCATAATTCCTAGGAGATGGGACCAAGCTTGGGAGACCTCAACTAGACATTGTGACCGCGTAGCATATTGACCTCCACCAAAATATGTTGTCTTCACACTCAAAATATTTGTGTAGGTAAAGCGTTGGGTTAAAGAGAACATCAAACATAAATGGAATAAAATGGATTCTGCGTTGTGTATGAACATCATTCACCGGAATTCTCCTAGTTTCGAAGTAAATATTTGATCAGCTCTTCAGGAATTGCACCTTTCCCCGCTGGCCTCAGAACCACCAATCCTGCCAGGTCCAAGTCAAAGGTCTGCGGGCTAGTGCTGTGCTCGAGATAAAGATGAATCAAGAAAACCAATCAAGTTTTGCAGGAGGGTGTCACCATTGATCCTCTTCGCTCCAGGTTAGATTTATATATAATCGCTGATACGTTGAATCAAGGGCTTCATGAGGTCAGAAGGAGCTTTCTAAGGCGAATCACTAGTAATGTTTTCTAATTAAAGGACCTAGCATTCTCATCCATTCCCTCGCGTTATCGACGTTATCCTGCACGATATAATCTATATCTCGGCCCGGTGGTACCCATCGTTGGATGCAGCGGGTATCCCCTCCAAGGTCCTGATGTATGCATATGGTCTCCAATAGTAGGGACACTTCTAGTCGACTCCTCAGTTCGGATACTCGTCGACCTTTGAGTACATCATGTTGATGACCCTGTCAAAATTCGGATCACAGAAGCACTAGCAGGAAATGAGAAAGTTATCCTGGGAGCTCCTGGGCTATGCTCGAGACTGCTTCGAGCTCTGGAAGTTCGATAATTGGAAGTAGATCTTCGAACGAAACATTGAAGGATCTTAGGTTCTTCACCTGAGCCTTATTAATTTCTAGATCCATCGTCCCAGTGAATTCCATAATGTCGTTTAATGATTTTAGTACCCCGGGGGAATTAATAACCTTGATAAGAACATTATCTTATTTCAAGTGAGTAGCAGTCCGACCTAACGGCATATTGAGGAACTATTGCGGGGTCAATGAAGTAAAATCTTGCCCTCGAGGCCTGCATAGTCAATATTGATGAAATGTTGGGATGGTCAGCTAAATACCGTTGGGTCACCATGGCGACATTCCCAATCCGTGGCCCCTAACCGTGATGGCCAAGATCACCTCACCGTGCTTTCCGGGTTCAAGAAAGCACAGTTGTCCCTCAGCACTCAATTACTAGTTTTGCTATCGCTCAGCTATTAATGAATGGGCTAGGCAAGCTCCGAGTTTTGCTCTGTTTGCAGCGGACACACCGGCGGCCCCCGAACGGGAAGCGCTTAGGTAATCGGGAAAGTTTGCGTTCCCAACATCTGACGGAAAAGTATCGCTATCTCCCTCTCATCCCTCTCCCATCTTCAATTGGGCTCATTTGCTGCACAATGCTCTTCCGTACTGCGGCCCGCCAGGCTGCGCCTCTTCGGCGTCAGTTCGCTCCTCTTGCCCGTCGTTCCGTCACCACCGACGCCGCCTCTGCGCACGCCGAGAACATCCCGCAGGTTTGTTAAGACCCATCCGGAAAACTGGAAAAGTCGCCGGAGTACCCAGGAACCCTCAATGCTGATTCTGGCGATCGCTGTGTATAGGAAGATGACAAGCCCTTCACCGTGAAGCTCTCCGACGAGAGCTTCGAGACCTACGAGCTCGACCCTCCTCCGTACACTCTGGAGACCACCAAGAAGGAGTTGAAGCAGATGTACTACGACATGGTCTCCATCCGGTATGCGCCAGCTTCACTCTCGATGCTTTGAGCTTTTTCTAACCGCTGTATTACTATTCCAGTCGCATGGAGATGGCCGCCGACCGCCTGTACAAGGAGAAGAAGATCCGTGGTTTCTGCCATCTGTCGACCGGCCAGGAAGCCGTCGCTGTCGGTATCGAGCACGCTATCAACCGCATGGACAAGATCATTACCGCTTACCGTTGCCACGGTTTCGCCCTGATGCGCGGTGGTACCGTCAAGTCGATCATCGGTGAGCTGCTCGGCCGCCGCGAGGGTATCGCTTACGGCAAGGGTGGCTCCATGCACATGTTTGCCGAGAACTTCTACGGTGGTAACGGTATCGTCGGTGCCCAGGTTCCCGTCGGTGCCGGTCTGGCTTTTGCCCAGCAGTACAACGAGCAGCCCAACACCTCCATCATCCTGTACGGTGACGGTGCTTCCAACCAGGGTCAGGTCTTCGAGGCTTTCAACATGGCCAAGCTGTGGAATCTCCCCGCTCTGTTCGGCTGTGAGAGTACGTATTTCATTCTCCGGGTCTTCTCCGAAGTTTCCCGGCGCGCAGTTGAAACTCTACTAACATCTTCTAGACAACAAGTACGGTATGGGTACCTCCGCCGCCCGCTCCTCCGCCCTCACCGAGTACTACAAGCGCGGCCAGTACATCCCCGGTCTCAAGGTCAATGGCATGGACGTCCTGGCCACCAAGGCCGCTGTCCAGTACAGTAAGGAGTACACCGTTTCCGGCAAGGGCCCTCTGGTCTTGGAGTACGTCACCTACCGCTACGGTGGTCACTCCATGTCCGACCCTGGCACCACCTACCGCTCTCGTGAGGAGATCCAGCGCATGCGTTCCACCAACGACCCTATCGCCGGCCTCAAGCAGAAGATGATCGAGTGGGGCGTTACCTCCGAGGAGGAGCTGAAGAGTATCGACAAGACTGCCCGTAGCGCCGTCGACGCCGAGGTCGCCGAGGCTGAGCAGATGGCTGCCCCCGACAACACCTCCCGCATCCTCTTCGAGGACATCTACGTCCGTGGATCCGAGCCCCGCTGGATGCGTGGCCGTACCGTCGATGAGACCTTCTACTACTAGATTGCGTCACGGTACGGGCTGAACTCCGGCTTCTTTTCCTTAAAAGACATGTTTGTTTGAGTGGGCTCGAGGCCTTTGAGAGACTCGAGCAGTGCATCCTTTGTTCCTATCTACCATTATCTGTAATTTAGCCGATGACTACCTAAGGTACTCTTTCTTATGTTTTGTTTCTATTTTAGAATAGAGAAATTGTCATCTCAGATTGTTTTTCTAAGGATTGTCGGTACTCCGTAGTCGTGTCTCGCTGGAAGCTTTCGGCATTTAAACTTTATATCTGGCCCACTGATCGTCATGCTTTTCTATCTCTTCAACAGCCTCAAATCTCATTCCAAAGTTCACCTCCTTGGCCGATGCACTGTCAAAGAAAATAATGCTTTCCAATTGACCTAGGGACAAATAATAGTGGCAACCATGGAACTCCGGGTCCAGCCAAATATGACGACTGCCCTGGTAATCACACACCCCATAACCCACAATCCCACAACATAATCTTCCATCCCCTACATTCATTCTTAAGACCTCCAATCCAAACCATCCATTATCCCCGGGACATCCATGGACATTGGTAGTCCAACAATGGCAATCCAAGGCCCTATAACAAACGACCCAGTCTCCGCATACAACGCCGTCCGCGACGGCTCCCTCAAATACGCAATGTACCACTACTGCCCGGAATCCGACAAAATCGCCGTAAAAGAAACAGGCCTCCCCAACCCCGACGCAGGCGAGGAACGCGCGTGGGAGACGTTCCTTGACCGGCTGAAGAGTGATGAGTGTCGGTATATCGTATATGATTTTGTTTATCAGGGGATTCAGGAAGGGAAGGAGGTTGTCAAAAGGAAGTTGCTGTTTATTCTTTGGTTGGTTTTTCCTGAGCTTGGAAGTGTTTGGAGTTGGCTTGTGGTGATTGTCGCTCATACTTGATAGGGCCCCGGATGGTGCGCACGTTAGGGAGAAGATGAATCTTTCTAGTCATGGGAAGAGGTTTCGAGAGACGTTGGGACATTTTGACGATGAGTTGCATACCACTGAAAAGGAAAGGATCAGATATCCGGAAGGTGTGTATAATCTTGTAAGATTCGTTTGGATGAATGGTGATGCTGATTTTGCTTAGTTGTGAAGAGGTTGGAGCGAGAGGTGAAGTGACCTCGTAAGGTTTCCTTTGCCGGGAATAGAGTTAAGAGAGGACATAAAATACAATCTATTTGGCGTTTCTTTCAACCTTTGCGAGCAGGAGCCCTGCCGAGTACCCCCAGAACGATATACTTTCGTAGAATTACGACTTGACATCCGCCGGAATATGTCCATGAAAAGGTACGATAGATATCACGCATATACGTATGTCAGAAATTAATACAGAATTACCCAGTGCAAATCTCATCTGAACGCCTTGCGTGGACTGGGTATCATTTAAATCATACAGAATTAGGGAAATAGATGGCCACCGCAACCCGTGTGCAGCAGTGCCACAATGGAACACAAATAAGCAGAGACATCATCATCTCACAAACAGCCTCACGTAGATCTCTGCCTCAACATCTCAAGAATCATCTCCTGCGTTCTCTGCACAGAATCCAGCCTCTCTTCCAAGGCAGCACGCTCTTGACGGATCTCGATTCGCATTTCCTGGCGGAGTTCTTTTTTCAGTCGATCATATTCTGTTGTTTGTGAGCTGTTCTGAGCTGATTCGGATGCAGCGTGAACCAATGCTGAAATCACGGGAGAAGAACTCGCGTCAGTACTTCCATCTCTTGAGGCCTCATCGAGATGCTTATTTAGTTTACCGAGGGTATTAATCACAGCGCTGACCGTACGATTGCTCGGTTGATCAGAGCCTGTTAATGGTGATGTGGGGACGGGTGCAGGCGGGGTCGGTGTATGTATGGCGGGCGGAGTGTTGGAGAACATGTTCTCGAACCCTGGTGGCAACTTGACAGATGCAGAGATGGAGTTTGAAGGGAGCTCGAATAGACGTGCGGCTAGATTTGGCGCAGGTGTTGGAGTATGGTTTGTAAGTGGGATAGCAGCGCCAGGAGAGGTCGTGCCGTCATCGTGGAATGAATGACTTCCATCCTCTCCGAGCTCGAGCTGAGGCTTGCTATGCGAGCGCCTCCGGATCACCTCATCGCGTTTTGAGATACGCTGGGCCTCGGCCTCTTCCCAGCGCTGCCACGTGGGGATCCAGGAATCAAGAGCCGCGCACCACTGCGGGTTCATCAGGTCTTGAACCTGATTGGAGCCGGAAAAGTCCCGCTGTCGCTGCCGCTGGTCTTCGAGAAATTTGATGCGCTGCTTCGTGCCGAGTTCCACTTTGCGCCGCACTGAATGCCACGAGTACGGGCGCCCATGGACCTTCGTGAATTCCGTGGCAATAGTTTTCCACCAGTTGCAGATGTCGCTGCGCTTGCCGAACGTGTCCGCATGTTGATTGCAAAGCTCGAAGAGCGATACTTCTTCTTTGGTCGTAAGCCTCTTGCCGTGTTTCCGCGGTATATCCCCGTCGTTCTCGGCATCTTCACGGCCCCGTTTAGTACCTTGCGCATTCGTGGGCGTGAACATGCCCAGCCCGTTCCCCTCCCGAATAGCTCCCACAGTAATCGGCGCGTAATAAAGATTCTTTTCAGCGAGCACGCCACCAGTAGTGCCTTGTCTCCCGTACTCGATCGATGCCTCGCTCCTTTCCGAAACGGTATTATTTTCCGGATTCCGTACCACAACCGAAACAGACGGCGTGTCTGGGCTTAACCCTTGACGCAGACCTGTCGAAAGCCTGGTCTGATCAGACAGAGGAGACTGATATGGTGAGTGCGAATACTCTTGCTGAGCGTGTACCATTGGGTACGGTATTCAGTCTGAGTGGGACTGGTTCATACGGCGGAGGTGCCGCAACCTGCGCGAGCGCAAACGGGAAACTGGCTGATTGCGAAGACAGGATGGAACTGATAACGAGGAGCTCGCTAGCGAAATGGGATGGACAATACGTCGTACAATGTCACGAGCGCCCTGATATTGTTGATCGCGGGGAGGGGAGAAGTGCAAATCCGGGTTCGGGTTTGCAATTTTTAGCGGGCGGTAATTTTCACGCGCGGAGCGGGCCTTGTATACCTATGCCTTGACATCTCATTTCTCGATTACTTTTGACATTCACTGCCTTTCTGCTATATAAACTTGTCGCATGAGAATTGATTTACATATTACCAAATAAATAGATTGGACTATGTATTTCTCCGAATTACCACTTCTCTCGCGCCATTTAATGGCTGTAAATGTTAAGGTCAAAGCTACAGTAAAGGCTCCAAGTCTAAAATACCAGGGGTCGCAATGCCAAGGCCGATCGCTGGCACAGGCTGACAAAACGTGATAAGATCACCGGCCATTACCAGACTTCAGTCTATAGATCAATGACGCTGTATGGTACCATGATCAGTTTTCCTTCTTCTCAATCGAGATTTTTGGTTCCGTTACCGGGCTGACATCCATGACCTCCATTTAATAAGGTAAATTTATGCTGTAAACCTTCTAATCAACATGATGTCTTCCCAGACCGCACAAAAATAAAAAGACAAAGCAAAAACATATAGCAGCAGGGATTCGCTAGTGGTCACCCACCCAACTACTAACCTGCCGGCGTGGCACCGCTTTAGCGTCGCGCGACTTAGACGAGAAAGGTGAGTGCGCAATAGACGAGGTGAGCAGCCTTGGGTCACCCCGCTAGCGGCTTTGACCCTCCTTGTTGGTTTCTTATGGAAAACTATCAAGTCGCCTTGATCCACTTGAAACGCTTGATCCCTTGGCATCTGCACATAGCCATCCGGAGGTTCGGAAGAACCAGAAAGAGCATCCTTTGGATCCTTCTTGGTAATCAACCATTGCCGTGTAATTGTGGGGCCGATTTCGAGGCTGCGCTGGGGAGTTCTCGTTGATAGACGTGTGTGTGTGATATGAGGCGCTTTGACCAGTCTGCCTTCGAGCACCTATCCACTTTGGAGGAAAATTGAAGCGAGTTGAAACAGCTTAGAACCTGGTGATTTTCTAGTGGTTCCTATAATACGGAGAAGTGTACAGCTATATGTAGGAATAATAAGGAAGTGTACGAACCAGAGACTATCTTCAGTAGCCTTTTGAAACGAGTTGGTGGGGTAAAAGCCGTAAAAACATTTCCTGAAGGATTTTCCGCTCGAGAATTGACAATCTTCATCTAAATAACGTTTGACCGTGTACTTTGGGACGTACGTGAAGCATGTGTAGGTGTGTGTATTGGAGAAGCTAGCTGAGGGAGCGAGACTATGTATAGGCCAATCGGCAGGTGCTACAGCACCTGCATCCACCAGCACCCACGCCTACCAACTAACAGACTGTATTAAAGAGGCAATGAACATCATATATTCAAAGAAGCCCAGTCACTTCAGGAAGATTGTTAATGTAGGCCGGCCGCCAATAGCCCACAAGGAAGGTATAACCGCCAGCATGATTGGTCCTGGCAAGTGTACCGCCGCCTGGTATAGCAGTATCATATTGAACAAGCTAGGTTAGTACTGAAGAGGGATAGGCGCGATAGCAGTCTGGCAACGCAGACGGGTCGACCGCTACAAACAACACCGCCAGACCTACACTATAGGGGCGAGCGAGGTGTAAGAGACGATACGATCACAGTAGCACTATAGAGCCTATAGGAAGGGTCTGTTTTTATAATCGAGAACTTGACGGAAGAGGTATGTATCCTTTTTTCTTCTTTCTAAACGTCTCCGCTGTAGTTATAACTAGCTGGAAAACCGCAAAAACTATTCTCTGATTTGTCACGCATCCTCTACATGATGTCACATTATATGCCCGGCTCCCCTACTCCAGTACATTGTTATTTAATTATTTATCTTTTGATTTGAATATTCCAATCTATATACAAAACTGGAGAAAAGATACCTTCCCCGATGCATGTCCCAGAGCAAGTCTGTCGCCATTGATTTTGAAGCGGTTAGGCCGAAACTCGACGGGTAGCCAGAGAATCCTTTCGCCGTCTAATATTATCCATTGCTCGTCCTCAATAGAGATGTCTCGATTCACAGAAGTTGTAAATGACATTTCAACATCAAGGGAGCTTAAACCGGCGTGGAGATATAAACCGTCCTGGGAAAATTCGGAAGTGTCGTCTGTTATTTCGAAAGTCCAAATTTCCGAGAGCCCGCCCGCGTCTAAGGCCCAGAGACACACCGTTTCATCCATAGACCAGGACGCTAGTAGTCGGCTATCAGGTGAGAATGCCAAGGAATTAACCCAATCTGAGTGACCATCAACTGTCTGATACAATGTAGCTGTCGCAAGGTCGCAGATACACACTCTTCCATCATCTGTGCCGACCGCTAGTAGTCTGCCGTCAGATGAGAAGGCCGCCGAGTGAACCGAGTCTGAATGACAATTAAAGGTCTGGTATAGTGTGCTTCTCGCGAGGTCCCAGACGCAAGCTCTTCCATTATCTGTGCAAGACGCTAGTAGCCTGCCATCAGGCGAGAAGGCCGCCGAGTGAACCGAACCGTATCGAGAATTCAGAGTCTGCTGTACAGTGCCTATCGGTAAGCCCCAGAGGCGCACCGTCCCATCAGCAGAGCAGGATGCCAGTAGTCGACTATCGGGCGAGAAGATCACCGAATTTACAGAACGGGAATGCCCATCAAGAGTATGGGTAAGGGCACCTGTGGCTGTGTTCCAAAGGCACACTGCTGAACTTTCGAAAGACCCGGATGCCAGGGAAAGGCCATCAGGCGAGAACTTCATGAATTGCACCGGAGGCTGAGGGTCATCTCCACTAAGAATTTCAGTACTTTCGCCCGCCATCGGGTCCCAAAGACGTATTGTTTCATTTGCAGAGCAAGATGCCAGAAGCTGACCGTCAGGTGAGAAGGCTACAGATTCAGAGGCTGCCGACAGAACGAAGCCCATGGTCATATGGCCATCAATAGTCTTCTGTAGGGTGCCTGTCACCAAGTCCCAGAGACGCACAACCCAATCGACAGAACCAGTAGCTATCACCCGGCCATCAGGCGAGAAGACAATCGTGTTAAACGAGCTCGAATAGCTATCAAGAATCTGCTTTAAGACACCGGTAGTTGTATCCCAGAGGCGTACTGTCCGATCTTCAGACCCAGATGCTAGAAGGTGGCAATCCGGTGAGAAAGTGACCGATGAAACCGAATCCGAATGGCCCTCGAGAATATGCAATTCTTCACCCGTCGCTAGGTTCCAGATCCGCAATGTCTTATCATTAGATCCAGACGCTAGTAGGTGACCATCAGGCGAGAAGGATAATGAGTTAACTGAGTCGGAATGGCCTTCGAGGGTTTGTATAATCGAACCCGTTGCTGGATCCCAGAGATTTATTGTCCGATCTCTAGACCCGGATGCCAAAAGGTGGCCATCCAGTGAGAAAGTGACCGATAAGACCGAATCCGAATGGCCCTCGAGAACATGCAATTCTTGACCCGTCGCTGGGTTCCAGATCCGCAATGTCTTATCATTAGATCCAGACGCTAGTAGGTGACCATCAGGCGAGAAGGATAATGAGTTAACTGAGTCGGAATGGCCTTCGAGGGTTTGTATAATCGAACCCGTTGGCGGGTCCCAGAGATGTATTGTCCGATCTTCAGACCCAGATGCTAGAAGGTGGCCATCCGGTGAGAAAGTGACCGACAAAACCGAATCCGAATGGCCTTCGAGAGCCTGTAGTTCTGCACCCCATATTTTATTAACTATTGGTGACTGGCTTATCCAATGAAAATGCTCGTCCGCGAAAACTGTACGAATTATTGCCGTCTGGGGTGAAAATAGAAGTCCCGCACGATAGACCTGAAGTGGAGCTTGATCAACGATATGTTGATTTTTTAGAATAAAGCGCTTAGCATCGTGGAAAAACTGTGAAATCGGAGAAGAGCCGTTTCCCTAAACCTATTAGTACAAATCATAAGTAGCGTCTTTGAAAACTTACCCCTATAGCTGTTCGGATGAGATCAAGAATACCCGGTATTTCTAACGCATAGCCCAATAGACTCATTGCCTCTACCCAGTGCAAAAAATGCGCTTGGAAAAATAAATGAGCTTCATGGGCTATGCTCGTCAACCCCGCGCATTGCACTAAGTGATGTGCCCAGTACCGACAAGCATACTGTAACTCTGGAGGAAGATGATCATTGATAGTTTGGCAATCAACTTCCACACGTTGGTTCCCATAACTCGGCAGTTGACAGATATTCTCCTTTAGTTTTCGACACACAAGGAGGCATTTTCTGGCCAGCATATTGTGCATTTCTGTCTCGCTTATACCGAGTGGGGTCTTTGTCCTAGTGTCTGGATCAAGAAGAAATTCCCTGAAAGATAGATGAAAAAGCCGTATAGGTGTTATGTCATTGTCTGGCACTCTTAGTACTGACTGAAGCGGGCTTAGTCGAAGATATATAAGCCGCCGAGAGATGCCTAGAAGCTTCGATAGTGCGTCTGTAGAGAGTGGACTCTCTAGCATCACTATAGCACCGACCACCTGATGGAACTGCGAGACCAGCTGTTCTTTTCGGCTCTTATTTTGTCTATTAAGAAGACGATCAAGAACCGGAAGGTATGTCCCAGCTAGCCTTGTTCGATCATCTTGATGCGTCAAGACTTCAGAAAGGCTATCGATAGGGTCCCAATCACGCTCTTTAAATATACGACAGATAGTGGCAGCGAAGATGAATAATGGAACGGATAAGGCGACCAGCCTTTGGAGATCTCTCTCGCCTGGCCATTCTGTGGATAGGCCATGTATTATCCTAATTTCTGCAAGTTGATGAGCAAAGAATAAGGATATATCGTGCTCGATCACTTCTAAAGGAATATCATGGAGAATAAAGTCCTTATAATGATCGTTTTTCATCCTTGAAAATTCGAGACGGGGTAAATCAGGCCTACTTGTTAAAATCACTTGTAGACGTATTGTAGCTGCCTGTTGAATTTGCGGGAGGAGTTGGAGTATAAGCTGTATATCACCATCTCCCTCGCATTCGTCTAATGCGTCAATAACTATCACCACAGTCTGGAGTGAGATATTAGATCGGTTAAGTCTTTGGAGTGGTTGAAGAAGGAGTTTGTCGAATTGCTCCCGCAGTCCCTTTGTTGCAATATCTGGATTTTCATAAACTGCTTGGTGCAAGATTGGCATTAGCGAAGGAATAGTAATTGCTAGTTGCCTTGCAATTGTTGGGAAAAGCTTCCTTGCATTCCCTCTGTCTCCTTCGCCTCTCTCAAAGAAAAAGCTTGCTCCAAGTGAACGCCTTTCGCTGAACGATTTCGCTATCGTTCGAGAGATAGTCGACTTTCCTGTTCCAGCTATTCCATATAACCAGAATATGCCTTCCCTATATGGGGACGTAGCCCATTCTTTGATTTGATTGAGGATATCGGTCCGTGTGCCCGGAAGACATTCATCCTTATGCTGATTCTCATAGGAGTCAAACGCAGCCCCAGACACGATTGCTAGTTTATTGTCAAGATCTGCATAGAAGTTAGCAATGCCGACACTGAGCAACTACGCTCATCAGATACCTAGAGAAATATAAAACTCATTCGTCACCGAGCCATGGTTGATCCCTATCTGTGATCCGTGATTGAAGCCAGGAAATGATATGGCAGGATCCATGATGCTGCCTGTAGCATTTTAGAGAAATTGCGGGGTTCCTCGCCCTTGGGGTCCCCCCCCAAAGTAACATGACCTCCCGGCTCGAATAATCTATTTTCCAGATTTCGGGCCACCCTCGGCGTGGCCCAATAATTGTTGAGCTACGATCCCCACCCTCCCACAATCTAATTGGTTGGCATTTATGCATTATGTTCACATAATCCATAACTAGCTTATGAGATCACGGCCACGGCCACCTAGCTAGCCTCTCTTCTCTAGCTTCACTACCTTTATACAATACACGCTGTCCTATGAATTTGATTTCTCGCATTGGTTTATTATAATTAGTCAGAAATCAACGGAAGGATCACGTTACTTCATCAGCCACGCTCAGCAAGAAATCCTAATCACGTGACATGGCCCTATGCCTGTTTGGATCATCGGCGAGTAGTCTTACCCAGTTCACCAATAGAATCACTACAAGTCTAAGCTTTTCCTGTATCCCTTCCATATTATCCAAAGAGCCTATCTAATGACCAGCATATCTTGCTGTAGAAACTTGGCAATTCCCAGTGCTGTGGATCATTCGTTCCGATCTCTACAGGCCTGTATTCATACCGATATTCTCTTTGGATATTCCCTGGAAGCATCTTGGTTCAAATGATTAGAGAGACAATATCGCGAAAGTAGCAGACAGGAGGTGCACCCTGTAGTTAAGATTTATCACAACAAACTGGTACAGTGAAAGTGGATAATGTTGTCACCCTATTATCACTCCTTCTCACCCTGTTCTCACCTCTGAGATCCCGGACCCCAGAATTCTCACTCTAACGCAAAAAATAGCGCTATTTAAGTATCAGGTATTTTTCAGGATTGATTGCTTTTAGTATGTGGCTTAAGTACGGCTGAGCGGACGGGAAGCTCTGTTCTCCACACCCTATGTGCTTCACTTTCAATGGAAACAACTTATAACAAGAAATGGGCAACAATCACATTGAGGAACCGGGTGAGAATCACACTCCATCGCGCGACTGCCGCACTGAGTCTCATATGAGAGTTAATGGGCAGTCATTAGATCGCAGCGTTCAATCTGAAACACTTATTCTCTTGATACCTGTACACCGCCACTAGGTAGTACCCTCGCAGAAGATTACCCGGATATGCCTGAAAGAAAGGGATCTGAGCGCAAGTGATCTAGAGTACAACTCCGCATCTTGTTCAACCCATGCCTGCCTCACTCCAGGGTTATAACAAATGCTGCATAGGTGTCCATTCTTAGTAAATCCCCGTGCTAAAACTAATACTAGCTATAAGATATTATCCCTTCTAATTTATAAAGGATCTAAAGTTTATATGCGGTAGAGAAAGTAGGATTTCATCGATCTGGTGTAGGATAGTAAATAAGTGATACCTTTCTATATAACAAGCCTTCTTTAGAAGCTCGAGGGGATTAAGGCGCTAGTGGATTATCGCGGTGGTGTAAGTATAGTAGAGATTGCCTCTAGTACGGATAACTATAGCTAATTCCTACTTTACTAGGCACTATTTAGTGATTAGGGTGAACAGGTTAGAGAGATAGGCGACAAAAATAAAGATAAAATTCCTGCCGGTTAACAAATACCGTAAAACTCCGTAAGGCCAACCTGAACATGAATAACCCTTGAGACCATCAAGGCACGATGATATTAAATTATATAGTGAAATCCGATACGAGAATCACGAATATCCTTTCTGTTATAAAAATACTTCCACGAACGTGCCATCAAGCTAATACAGTATGACGTATGGCATGAGGTCTATTCAATCCCTATATTATGGAATATTGTGATAAATCCATAATCAGGCTAGAAAAATCAGAAATATCTTAATGATAATATTTCAAACCTCCCCCGAAACAAAATAAGCCTTATTCTGTAGCTTTTGCATCACTACCTTAGGGTCATATTTGGTCGCAACTGCGTCGATATACTTGAGATTTTCCTCCCCGAATGACTGCAGCGGCTTCTGATTAGGGCCTGCATCATTGACAAAGATGTACGGGAGAAAAATCCCCTCTGACTTTGTACTGGAAGTAAGACTATCCAACACCGAGTCCACAGTCCGTGTTACAACTGACTGGCTGACATTTGCTGGGAACTGGACGAATATGTTGGCCCCTGTACGAGAAGATTGTTAGTCATGTATCCACCGGGACAAGTGCATGGCTACAAGGGTATACGTACAGACTTGAGGGGCAGCCTCCAGACCAAGCAGATTACCTCCATTTTGCGATGCACCTTTAGTCACTAGATTCGTAATGACACCTTGAGGCACATAAGAGAGAACCGCACCCGCAGGCAGAGATGCGGCGGCCTTGAGATAGACTTCATAGGTCTCCTTTAGAAACGTCGGCCCTGTCACTTTATAGGAGAAAGTTCCGCTGTAGGATATGCCGGCGGATGTCAGTCCGGCGGTGCCAATCCCAAGGAGAAACTCAGTCAGTGAGCCATTTTTTGGCGGGTACCGTGTCGAAGCCACTGGTATGTCAGAGAATGGATCGAAGGCCGAGGGTGTGGATATGGGCAAGATAGCCGTAGAAAATCAAAGTATAGCCAGGGTTGATCTGAATTTCCATATTGCTGTTGACGTCGGTATCCAGGAGGTAGGTCGCGTATGCTGCAAGCACGGAGGGTGTGTTGGGGACGGTGTAGGTTTTTATGTCGTAGTAGATATCGATTCCAGTGTTAGTAGCGAGATCATAATCAGTCACGATACCTGGACTCATTAGTCGAGTGAGCGAAAATTTGGATAGATTATTATTCGTCTAACCAAAGTTGTTCAGACCTCCCTTCAGGCCTTTATATAGATCGGCATGCTCTTTTTGGCTGGCGTTGACGATAGTCCCGTCAGGGAGCACCTCCTGAAATCGGGTAACGCTGTCAATGGCCAGGCCATAGCTGTTGTAGAAGGTGCTGAGACCACCTGGCTCTGTCAATGACTTGGCTGACTATTCTGATGAGGTTTTATTCACTTACCACCGATGATGAACCCGCCAACGCCTACGACTGCTTCACGACCGCCCAAAGTTGTGAGATTATACGGCTGGAGGTACTCGTAAACGGACTGCCACTTGTTTCCAGCCCCGATGGTGACTATTTTGTGATCAGTGCTTATAGAAAGGGTGTCCAATTTCTCAAGCGCGATCAACACTCCGTTGCTACCAATTGAACTGAACCCCGGGTTGGTATTGTGTCCACCCGACCTGATAGCGAACTTGGTCTTCAAAATGCTCAAAATACGCAGCAAATGCGAGACTTCTTGAGCGGACTTAGGTGTAACAATGCAGGACGCATGCAATCGGCAATTCTGTGACCAAGCTTCGTCGATCAGAGGATCATACTAATAGGGCGTACCTGCTGTAAAGGTCTCGTTCCGGGGAAAGACGTGGTTCAGAAGGCGACAAGTATACCCGGTGTTCCAGATGAGGATGTCGCCGGAGGGGGGAGAAACTCCCAACGAAGAAAGAGCAGCAGCAGCTGAGGATGGTGCCGGCGAGGTAGTTGTGGTGGCTGTTGCGGTGGCTGCTGCCACCACCACAGCCAGCAGGGCTCGTATGCTTAAGATATTCTTGATCATCGTAATGTATGGTGCAAAACAGCCCATGAAATCGTGTCTCACTAGTGTAGGGTGCTTTTTATATTTCCCCGGCATGGAATCTCGGACGCGACTTTGTCGTAGATGGATGGCATCATTCTCAAACATGAGGCGATGCAAAGAGTTTTTTCTGCACCGTCCGAGCTTCTAGGTGGAGTTGCTGGCAATCTGATCACTTGTTCCTGACTAGCGATGCACCGCTCGGACTACCGATCTAGCTCGGCCGACGAGGCTAAAAGGTATTGGTTCTCGCCCCGCCTGTATGCTGGTGCGACTGGTATATGGGGGCCGTGCGCACACACTTCTGTGCACACACTTCTGTGCCTGACGGCTTCACAGCCCTCTCGGGTATCTTATGGTTAATCTCGTATATCTTGATGGCTCGTAAGGCTTTCAAAGACCGATCATACGCAATGCCTCTTCATTGCCTCTGCCTGAACATCTCCTGGGGGGCAGTCTATGGGTTTGTCTACGGCCCGGGCCTGATCAATCAAATTGTGTTCGCGCAATGGATGATTGTCGATGTGGTCCTCTTCTATGCCATCATTCGATCAGCCCCGCATGCATGGAAGAACTCACCCCTGATTTCACGCCATCTAACAAGTATAATTCTTGTTGGATGTGCAGTCTGTCTATGGCTGCATCTGGCGGTGGCGGCCACTTTCATCCCAAGCATTGAGCGGCAGGTCGTATTCATGACTGCTTGGCCGATGCAGGCTCTTATCAACTTCAGCTCAATCGCACAGTTACTGTCGCGTGGAAATACTCTTGGTCATTCCTGGGGAATTTGGTTAGTTGATGGATTCTGATCTATACAAACACGCGAATTCGATGCTGACTTGGTGAACAGGTGGACAAGAATGTTGGGTACTATCACGGCGGCTTGCTGCTCTTTCTGGCGCGCGAATTACTAGCCTGAACGCTTTGGATACATTTGGACCCCCTATGGGCAGTTCCTACTGCTGGGTAGTATTGCCTCTGACATGGTGTATGCTGTGGTCTACATATATGTTGAAAAAGTAGAGAAGCAGCCGGACACTCTCGTTAGCACCACCGCGAAGAAAAGTCATTGATAGGCGAAGATTGAATGGTAAAACACACAAAGATGAAGGAAACAGTTGTGTATTACCAATTATCGAGGTAAAATATGTATTTGTGTATGTCCATATCTTTGAGTATTCCTATGAATCGAGTCCAGCTAGTCCCTCGATGAATGTATATACCTACTCCTGTAAAGGAACGCGTTCAATAATTCAGAAATGCTGATTCTACTCATTTTTCTCTTTCTTGGCCTTTGCCTCCTGCTCCAGTTGTTCACGAAACTTTTCCCATGCTCGATTTTGTGCTTGTGGATCGGCAAACCTACGTTGGAACCAGCTCTGTTGCATCTTCTCACAGGCTGCCTCCCAGTCGGTCGTTCACTCTGGATAAAAAGGCGCATAGCCAAGCAGCCCACCAATCCAGCGACCCAATACAATCCCAAGAAACAGTCCGACCCACGAGCGAAACGGCACCCACCACGGTGGAGAGAGATAGGTGCCTCCAGCATCAAACATCTACACCCCCGTCAACAAGTCAACATTTCTTCAAAGGAGAATAAATTCGCACTCACCGAGAGCACTTGTAAAAAGTCCAGCTTCTCTCCCCGTTGGAAGACATCCTCCTGGTAACCATACCAATTCTCGAAAAAGGACTGGTCCATGAACGTGGCAACATCCGCATCCTCACCCGGATCACTGGCGCTAACGACAAATTCAACTTCATCCATCTCTGTGCCAGGGGTGTCGTAAATAACGTGATGGGAGTAGGGAGGCACTGCCAGTTCGCCATCACTAGGCGTACGGTGAGTCGGATGCCCATTGATATAGATCGTGAGATTGCCCCGGAGAACGCGGAAAAATTCCCACTGCGAGGGATGGAAATGGGTGGGCAGTTTTTTCCCAGTGGCGATCAGCTTAGCATAGATGCCGCGACTGGGCCGCATGATTCCATGGAAGAGGAATAGGCGATCCGGAGGTCGTGGCAAAGTCCTGACGGAGATGGCTCCATCGAACTTCCTCAGCGGATCCTGACCAGCTGTAAAGGTACGGGGCTTGCAGGGGCCCATTTCAGAGTCATATGAGAGTTGGGAGGTGAGCGTGAAGAGGAGGGAAGCGGGATGAATGAGCTAGTTGATCTAATGTACATAGATTTACATTGATTTAGGTATCCGCTGTTTCACCGAAACTCCGGATAGAAAGAGCAATCTGACGCCGAATGTCTCGAGATTATACGAGAAGAGGTGCCCCCTATTCGGCCGAAGTGTCGTACTTTGAAGTCGACTTCGGCTTGATGGAAGTAGGTGCGCGGGAAGGTCAATAAGTTGCAGCAAATCAGTTGCCATTCATCACTGAAAGCGAGATGGCATTTCCAGAACATTACTCTAGCTCTAGATATTACCAAGGGTAGTGTCAAATAGATACCTTCGGAGCATTACCATTAGAATTTGCCTAAACTTGGAAGACATGGGCATTATCTAAACTACACAGACTGTAAAAATTACAACTCAACAAGGAGACCCTTTGAACATTTGAGTAAGCTATGATAGTTGATATGAGGCTGTAATCTATCGCACCTTCAACTGTGTTTGAGGTTGCTGACGTGTGAGAAGCTTATCAACATCTGCAACCATTAGAATTCCAAGTCCGAAATTAGCTCCAAAGTGCGACACCTCGCCCGAAAGATAGCGCGGTACCGGTCTGTGTAATTAATACGGGAATTTGGGGCCGCCGATTCGCCCATGTTCACCTCGGGGCCTCCCGATTACATTACAGTACGGTATATAGTTGCTCGTAGCTTCGGCCGAATGCTAACTCAGCACCGTCAACCACGAGAGGTGACCGGCACCATTTGTCAGCTCAGTAAACAGAGAACTATAGGGAAATACGATGAAACGAAAAGAAAACCAAGCGATCATGTCAACCTCGACTTCTTCTCCTCTCGGGGCCCAGTGTGATTGCTGTTCTCGTCGACACTGATTATCTCCTCTCCAACCCGTAACCCTCCTCCAATTTCCATCATGGTCAACTTTATCCAGCCAAAGGTCGACCCCTTGCCAACGGGCATTGATCTGACGGGCAAAATTGTCGTCATTACTGGCGCTAGCTCAGGCATGGGCCTAGAAGTGACCCGACAGTTACTTCGACTTCGCGCCTCGACTGTGATTCTCGCCGTCCGCAATGTCGCCAAAGGCGAGTCTTGTGCCACTTCCCTCCGTCATGACCCCCACATCAAGGACCACAACCCTAAGGCTGTCATCAAGGTCATGGAATTCGACATGGACCGCTACGACAGCGTGCAGCAATTCGCGAAAAGGCTGCGCGACGAGATCCCCATTGTCCACATCCTCATCCTCAATGCAGGTATTGGCCTGCTGAAGCTCGAGCGTACCCCAAACGGCCATGACCGAACCACTCAAGTCAATTACCAGTCTAATGTTCTGCTGATCACCGAGCTTCTGCCGTATCTCGTGGCGGGTGCCGAGAAAACGGGCTCTCCTGCGCGCATTAGCTGGGTTGGCAGCCGTGCGCATGAAGTTACGAGCTTCGAGAAGAAATCCCCCATTGAATCCGGCGAAGGTGTGATAGAGCACATGGACAAGGACGAAGCTTTTGTGCCGTTTCAGCGCTACGGGGACTCTAAGCTTCTCTGCGCTCTGTTCATGTACAGTCTGGCGCCGCGGCTGGATCCTAAGAAAGTCGTTTTCAACATGATGTGCCCGGGCATGGTGAATACAAACATGAGCGATGTTCTTCCGCTGCATCTGCGCATGATTGTGAATATTGTCAAGGCGATTCGCGCTAGGCCCGTTGAGGCCGGTGGCTGGATCATCTTGAACAGCGCACTGGTGGCAGGTCCGGAGTCTCATGGGAAGTTCTTGATGGACAAGACCATCGCCGAGTAAGTCCTTCCAACGCTTTTTCCGAGACATCTTTTTGTGTTTTCAATTACTGACGCATCGCTCCCTGTAGCAAATCGGCATTCATCCAGTCGGCGAAGGGACAGGAGACCCAGAAGAAGCTTTGGGAGGAGACAGTTGCCGAGATGAACCTGTTGACCACGCTCCCTGCGGAGTTTAAATAGACTATTTGGATTGCCTGCTCTTGAAACTTTGTTTTTTCTAGTTCAGATCTATACCTAAGTGGACGCCATTAGGGTTACGTTGTCTAATACAAGCCGATTGATCCTGATGCCGTTCATACAGTAGACGTCCCATATACTCTATCCCTTTACACTGTTCACAGCAACCTCGAAATTCCACTGATGTTCATTTAAGAGCCTCCCATACTGTCGCAACGAAATTGCCCGGCACCGCCGGGGCAGATTGTCTGACCAGCTCCAACGCAGCAAACAAGTCTCCCATTTCATCTCGGATCCCCATAGCTAGCGCCATCGGCATGGACTTCAATTTCACACGACTCCAGACATACCATGACAGTGTAATCATATATCCTAACCACCGCCGGATAGTGCCGGAACTTTGTCCTGACCGATCATTAACGCCCAGCGCCCAACAGCCCAAATCCTCAAATATGATTGCCACCCCTTGCAACACAAAATACTTGACATCAGAAAGTGGCAGTCTAAATCTCCGTGACACCTGGTAAGTCCCACACGCATGAATCAATCCAGAAACGACAAAACTCATCAGGAGCAGCGAGTACCGTCTTCCCAATCGAACCGACATCCGCTTAGAAGATCGCACGCTCTCTAGCATGATGCCGAGAAGATATGCACCAGGTGCACCCGCCTGACGCCGGAGCTGCTGGTGCCAGGTATATCCCCAGAAGCGCCGGATACTGTATGCCTCGCGAATACTACCGAAATTCGGTGGCCAGGAGGTACTGCCCTGCCACGAGCGAGGTCCAACTTGGCACCCGACACAGAAATCAGAGAGCGGAAGCATAAGGATCCCAAAATGGCTGTATACGGTTATGGCAAAACCACCGACAATCAGTGCGTAGATGTGCAAGTTGCCCGGAAATGGGAAAAAGATATTAGGATTTAATAAGACTGCCTGACACGTCGTCTCGACAAGGTGTAGTCCCGCGTACATAGCAACCCATCTTAAAAGCTGCGCTGCTGAAAACTTAAACCGGGTGGCTTTTGTAGGTGTCTTGGGGATCCCAGAAACGCGCCAGTTCCAGCCGATACCGCGGGTGACACTATGCAGTACCCGATAAACAGGGCCTGCGTGATGAGCTCCTGACTGTCATCTCCACTGGGGACGACACGATAGGAATTGCCAATACAGTCACCCTCTTCAACATCTACAATAACCGTGAGATTCATGATCGTCTTTTGGAAGAGCTCAGAACTGTTATGCCAACGCCTGATGCTCATGTGCCGTACACCCAGCTTGAAAAGCTGCCGTATCTGGTTTGTCATCTTCATTCCTTCCTCGCTTCATATTTGAGACATCGGCGGGACTCGCCTCTCCTTTAAAGCTCTATCTGACTATAAGGAAGACTGCAGTGATCAAAGAGGGCCTTAGGTACTCGTCTCCCGCGGCCTCCCGGACTCCGAGACTCGTTCCCCCAGGTGGCGTCCGTCTTCCAGACGGCCGGTTCATCCCTGAGGGAACCCGGGTAGGAATGGCCATCTACCATATCCACTAGAACGAGACTCTTTTCGAGGAGCCGCGCAAGTTCGATCCTGAACGTTGGCTCCAGGGACCAGAGGTGACGGCGGAGAGGGCGAAGTTTCTGGTACCTTTCTCGCGCGGGAGTCGGTCGTGTCTGGGAATCAAGTATGTATGAAGTCTATTTTGACAAGTGTTGTCACTAACGTGCTGTGTTTTCAGCCTGGCTTATATGGAGATGTACATGGCCATTGCGTATATTGTGCGACGATTCGAGTTGGACTTGGTGGGGACCAGTGCGGAGGATATGCAGTGGGATGATATGGTGGTGCCGCAATTCCACGGGGAGTTCCTGGCGTTGACGAAAAGGCGGGTTGATTAGATGGCGATTGAGCTGTGGGTTTGTCGGGAACTATTTCTGGAACTCTTCCTCGAGCAGGTCCACCTTGCATGGTACATGTGCATATAAGTAGTCAAGGATCAACAGCCATGCCGTATGCGGAATGCAAACTACAGTATGCGGAATGTGTACACTTATGATAGGTTGGGATGGGCAGGGGGCTATACGTAGTAATAGTGGAAGTATATACGAATGGCTTTTCGGGTCACGTAGTGCTTAAATGCCTAGAGGCTTGAAATAAAGTTATATCCGAGGGGCTGAATTATGGAAGACAACAATAAGCCGCTATCTCTATTCATCGCTTGGGGTACTCTATTGACTTCGCCGTATTTGCCTATCCTCAGCCATAAGCGGTGCACCGCTCTCTTTCAGACCACTGCTCCAGCGTGACCATGCGACCTCGGACGGTCACTCTTATATCAGCGCATGAACCAATGGGCATCTGAGGCTGAGGTTTGCGCCCCTCTACCGACAATATCGGTGGATGCAATGATTGCGATGACTGCCTAGAGTGGCCTAGCCCTGGCCAGGCACACTACACACTAACTAACGTAATAACTCAATTTATAGCTATTAGAGCGTGATTCTATTTAGAATATATCCCCAATATCGGAGGGTTATATGAGGCACGTTAAACCGTCGTGCTGCTTTGATATTAGAACTGATTTCTTCGTTTTTAATAGCTTTATAGCTAAAAGGATGCGGCCCTCCTACTCGATAGATTCATGGCCTGTTTGAGAGCGACCTAGAGACATAGTGGTTGGTAGAAATAGAGGAGACGTGCGTACGAAAAATGGGTAAGAGGGCCGTCCACTCGCTTAGGAATTACGCTACACCTCGTATAAGCACTCCTTGAAGCCGGCGCAAGGATTCCGGGCCTGACTGGCAATCAGGTGGCCCGCAGGAAGCGCCGCCCCTCTCGGGCGAGGGAGGCTTAGCGGGCTAATCTAGTACATTTGTTGTCTGTGGTCGTCCGTCTGTTCTGACTGGATCGATGTCGATTTGCCGTCTCGGCGTCGAGCCCCTTCCGCCTTGACTATCCACCATCCACCTGGCGATCCACCTGGCGACCCACTTGGATATGGCTGCAGTCTCACGGTAGTGGCAGCGGTAGTCTAGACACTTTATAACACACGAGGCATCCCTGCTCCGGCCCCCACGCGTTCGCAAATTAAATATCGCAAGACGCTGAGATTGCGTTAATTCCCCCTCCTCCGCCACCCCGGGGGGGCCCGATGGGATCTATTTCAGCGGGACAAACAAAAGGACAGATCTGAGTTCCAATAAAGAGCCAGTGAAACCCCTCCAGCAGTCCTGGATCCTCCTCCTAGATGCCAGCTCCAGCTCCAGCTCCAAGCTCCAGGTCGCAGCTCGCAGCTCGGAAGATGCCAGCGCCCCAGTCTCGCCCGATCAAAAAACCCCGAATCTCCCTGAGTTGCATTGTATGTCGCCGACGCAAGGTTGGCTGCGGCCGCGAACAGCCAGAATGCGCCAACTGTGTGCGGATGAAAGAGACCTGCGTCTACCGGGCCATGACTCGGGACAAGTCCACCGGCCGTGTACGGCCAGCATCCCCGTCGCCGCAGAACTGTCATTACGGTGGATCAGATCCCCATCACCATCAGCATCGTCTTTCTCATTCTCATCCCCATCCCCATTCCAAACCCCGGCCTGGCGTCTCCTGGACTCAGCGAGATGGACGGGCGCCATATCCCGCCGATCAAAATCAGCATCAGCATCAGCCCTCGCCTTCGAGACCGGCCTCACACTCGAACCAGCTCTCCGATCCCAGTCCCCACACCCCACATTCGCTTCCCCATCCCCATCGACAGTCCGTGGGCCCGTCCTACCTGGCCGTGCCCTCATGGGAAGAGGCCATCCAGCTCCCCAATGAGCCTGATTCGAATCCTCCCTGCGAGCGAGGTAGCACAGCAACGTCCCAGGGTCCTCTCGAGTCCCCAGAGTCAACCGCATACCCCTTTAAAACCTCCACCGATTCCAATGATCCCAGACCGACTCCCCTCTGTCGCGATTATCTCAGTCTACGTCGTGGGGGCCATGTACGATACGTCGGTCCAACGTTCTGGGGCGTCGTTGCAGGAAAGGTGAGCTGCGCCCCGCAAGAAGAGCTGTTCCGTGCCATTCCTCGTTCTTCATGCGGATTTGATATCTAAAACAAAGACAGAAAATAGCTGACCTCGCTGGATGTCTTACAGGAGAGTCTGAGCGATGATTTCTTTGATGAAAATCATCATGCACCCCCCGACCTACCTTTGCCTCATATCTCCTCCATGGGCATGTTCAATCTCCTCCGCTCCTTACCCACAAAGCCTGTCAGTGACGCCCTGCTCGAGTCGTTCTTCGTTGCCGTGTGGCCACTGTCTCCCCTTCTTCACCCGCCTATCCTCCAAGCAGATTACGACCAGTTCTGGGACTGGTGTCGGAATAGCGATAACGCCTTGCCCTCGGAAAAGCTCCGTGATGACCCGACCTTGATCTGTCTTCTTTTTGCAGTCCTCTATTGTGGCGCATCCGCCGCGCCAGCGGCCAGCTGGACAAATTCCAACCTCCAGGGTCTACAAAAGGAGACAACTGTAAGCCACCTTCAGCTGGCATATACGACGAGCCTTTCTTTGTGTCAGCATCAAGAACATCCGACTTTAAATACTCTGATTTCAAGTTTGCTGACTAGACCGTTTCTGGACCGCCCTTTGGACCCGATGCGTAACTTGCTTCATGTTAGCACCACGGTCCGCATCGCCCAAATGATGGGATTACATCAGGAAAGGGCGTGGTATATGCTAAATGCCGTGGACCGCGGAATTCGACGTCGGGTTTGGTGGCACATTGTCTGTCTCGATGTGCAGTCGAGTATCTCCACCGGGCTGAACCTCTGCTGTGGCACCGAGACCCTCGAGACTGTGAGAATGGTGGACTCGGACAATGAAGAAACCAGCGACCTCCCTGGTGAAATTTCTCCACCTAACGACTCTGTGGCTGGTGGACAGTCAGTCGCGATCATATACGCCACCGGGCGCTTTCAGATGGCTCGCTTACAAGCAAGGATCGTCGCGCACCTGCAAAGTCCCCAGGGTCCGACTGAAGAGGGATTTGGAAAGCTTGTCACAGATGCAAAGCAGCTTCTGCGGAAGTTGAACTCGCTTATCGCTCTTGTTTCGACGCGAGGAGTCCCTGAAAGGGGCTACATCTCATCCCGACTAGCCAATGCATCTCCATTCACCCATCCGTCGTTGTACAAGGACGATGCCAGTCAGCCGACTGTCTTTGCAGCATGGACGCGCATCATGTTGACATTGTTGAAGTTTGAACTCGCGATCTTATTGCGGAAACCATTTTTGGTACCTCCTGACAGTGAGAATCCAGAATCACGCAAATCATGGACTAGGTACGACACTTTTTTTTCGTTCGAGTTCATCACTGTTCCCCCTTATATCGCATTGCTGGTATATATGTGCTTTGCCCCCAGAGCGGATCCCGGCTATATCTTGATATCTTTCCACTTCGCCTCGTTGTGGCAACAAGCCTACTGACAAGTGATCGAATCTATAGCATCGTACAGCTCTGCGTGAACTATTTGCGTATATACCTGCAGCTCCACCAAACACCTGCGTTCGCGCCATACGCATGGCTCTGCTGCAGTCATTATGGGCCTTTTCAATGTGTATTCATCACGCTAATGTACCTCCATTCATTCCCAGACGCCGGGGAGATCTTTCTGGCCCGATATCTCGTCGGCGAGGTTATACATCACTGCACGGCTCATTACCAGTTTTCTGACCCCTTGTCAACTTCAACGAGGAACAACCCGGAAGAACTCGAGTCCAATGGAGGCAAATTGCGGATGCCTTTGGCCATCCAGGTTTTGGTAGAACTTCACGATCGCCTCGACTCTTCTCGTGGACCGCAGGAACGACCCCTGTCGCTGCCAGATACAATTGAGTATTCGTATCGCTTTCCCGCGTCTCATCTTGCCAAAAAGGCCACCTCCCACTTGCGCGCTACACCCAATCAGACCTCTCCTGAGACATCCTCCTCCGCCAATCACACCAACCACAGTTGCGAAACTCCGCCCACTGTTACAAGACCTCCACCAGTGGTGGCTGCGGGCAGCAAACCAGGGCTGCCGGATAGCGTCTTTGAAGCTGAAAGTGATTCTGGCCGAGATACGGACTTTCTTCCGACTATCTCCGATCTCGACGCCTGGTCGTCGATGATTATTCTGGACTCTGAAGATATCCTGGCCAATTCTGATAACCTGATGACTGATCACGCAACCATGCCAGGATTGGGCATGTCCAATACGACGTGCGACCCGTCTGCTCTATCTGAAGGTCTTACTTTCTCAACTTAATGGGATTATACACCCGATAGTATCTATTCATCGACACTCACCCTCCTGTCGCATGCTATAGAGAAGAATATATATAGAATCTTCACTTTCATTTCCTTCTCTTTTTCTAACATCAAACCTGTCTCATAAAGTTATTTCAAGTCACGGAATAGTCCACGCCGCTGGCATTCTCCACGACCAGCTGGTCGAGCAAATCACTCCAGAAGCATTCGAGGCTGTCCTGGCGCCCAAAATTTCAGGCGCACTGGCCCTTCATACTGTGTTTCCTCCCAACTCTCCTGGTTTGGACTTCTTCGTACTCTTCTCTTCCTGTGGTCAACTCCTGGGATTCCCGGGACAGGCGTCGTATGCAAGCGGCAATGCTTTCTTGGACGCATTGGCGCGATCGCGCAGAAACTAAAGTGACAATTCTCTCTCGCTCCTCCAACATCTTGGAAAGGGATGGGGATGGGTGCCAGTTCCAGCGGCGCGCTGGAGCTGGAGCTGGAGCTGTACAGCCGGGGAATATCGGATGGGACCCCAGACGAGGCGTTCCGAGCATAGAGTTTCATTTCCGCGGTTCCTGAGGTAGATCATGGAGTTGTTCTTCGAGCTCGGCCGCTCGAAGCTGCAGAAATGCTGCCGCATGCGATTCTGACAGATATTGTCACCCGGAAAGAAAGAGATGTGGATAATGGGCTGCGGGGGACTGAAGGCCAGAGGAAGAAGCTCACTGGCCAAGACCTTTCGGAACATGTGCGAGCTGTTGTGAAGCAGTGCGTATCGAAGACATTGTCGATCCCAGAGGAGGAAGTGGATGATAGAGTGGCATTGACGGAGATGGGGATGGATTCAGTCATGGCGGCGAATTTCCGGATGAACTTGCAACACACCTTGCCAGTGAGTGTTGCGCCAAATTTAGTGTGGAAGTACCCCACGGTGCATCATCTGGTAGAAAACTTTACTCAAATACTTGATGGATAGGTTTGCTGCTCGAATGCAGATAAGTAGATAGCATCATGCAAGTGCGACAAATATTCCTAAAATCAATTTTACAAAATTAATGCAATGACCCCTAAGAATTGCTCTCTTTAACGGATGAGTGCGAGTGCGCCCGTAGAAGTCGACTGGCTAGTCTACTAGATCAGAATTTAAAAACGCGAATCTTCTGCCCACCGGTAGAATTCTTTTGTCTTGTAGACGGGCTTCGAGGATACCATAACTTCTTAAACTATTTGCGGTCCGCTACCTAAACGGGACCCGTCTACCTACACCGCCCCGAGTATTGTAACTTGGTGCAAAGAAGGATTATATAATCCGACGTCGACGTCAATTCTATGTTCTTCACAGAACATGTGGTCTTCATGTCTCAGATCTAGAAGATCGACGCAAGATCCTGACATCGTTAATTCCAAACAGACCAGTGTCTCATGTGCTCGCTTATTACTGCCGATAACTTCCTGGGTCTCGATTCTCCAATCATGTCCAGTCTTCACGAATTCGTTCATCGACAGCGACCAGGACCATGGCAAAAATTCCGGGCCCAGCCTTACGTCTTCCTCGCACGAATGCTTTACAGTTGGTATAAACCTATTCCAGCTGTGCCTCTCACAAGTCCTGTTGCGATTGTCTGTATCTCCGATACTCATAACACCCAACCCAGTGTTCCGGATGGAGATATCCTTATTCATGCTGGTGATCTCACACAATCTGGGTCTTTCCAGGAACTCCAGGACGCACTCGACTGGCTACGCGCCCTGCCTCACCCAATCAAAATCGTGATTGCTGGCAATCATGAGCTATTACTTGATTCAGCATGGGATGATTCATCAGGTCAAGCAGCCTCTGAGCGAGCTCAGCTCGACTGGGGCGACATCACCTACCTGGAAAATGATGAAGTAACAATTTCCTGCCCGAATGGTCGTCAGCTCAGGGTCTACGGGAGTCCTTACTCTACCCGGCACGGCAACTGGGCCTTTCAATACCCCCGAAATGAGGATGTATGGGCTAGCTCCGTACCAGATGGAATTGATGTGCTCATTACTCATGGTCCACCACTTGCTCATCTTGATCTACTCAAGTTTGGCTGCCCTCATCTACTACGGACGCTATGGAGAGTTCGACCAAGGTTGCATGTATTTGGTCATATACATGAGGGTTCAGGAACCGACTTGATGTTGTTTCATGGACTCCAGGAGGCGTACGAGCGCACTGTCGCTGCTGGAGGAGGCCTTAGAAATCTTCTGTTTACAGCGTGGGAATTAGCTATGGCATGTCTTCGTCCGGCCGTGGAAGCAAATTGTTTACTCGTAAACCCGTCCATCGTTGGAGGTTTGCGGGATAATGAACGGAAGCAGCCCGTTACAGTCTTTATTTGATGTTGTAATCTTGTTGACCCACTGAATTGAGTCCCACCTTTCTTGGCTTCCAAATTCCTCTATCGTGGTCCCGCAAGGTTTTGATCGAGGGAGAGCAAATTTGTTCAAAGGTAGGTACATAGGATATACTCGCTACAATAGTATTACTAGATAAAGACGAACAATTTTTTCGTGCTAGCGTGCCTATATCCTCCCAATCTTTGGTTTTACAGACAGCGTAATCTCAGTTCGGTGGGAATGCAGGGAAATTATGGAGTAAATCGTACAAAGTTAGTACTTCGTTCTTCGGAGTGCTAAGTTTTAGAGTAGTTTCCGCCAGCCGAGTCACTGGTAGCCAAAAATCTCTATCGGTGGCTCCACTGCCTCACCATTGAAGTCTTGCTCACCCTCGAGGGTATAGCTGGTATGTAAAATCGATTGAATGTGTCTCTACAGTGGTGTTTCATACTGGGCTCGATGTGCGTATTCATGTAATGTGTGTGGTTTGCGTGGGGTTATGGGAAGACGCTGCCTGAGGCTGAGTGCTGCCTTCCCAGATCAGATCCATGTGCACCTGCCCGATTAATTCGATTATTCACGGATAATTGGACACCCACGAGTCAAAGCAAAGCTTCATCTTGACAATTCCATACTACAAACTTCAACATCGAGCATTATGGGTCAGTCGTTGTCCAGTCTACGTCGACGCCGCAGCGCTCACACTCTCCGGGGCCTTGCCGCTCGTCCAACCCAGAGCAGTCCCCCAGATCTCTCCCGCGAGACCCTCATGAATGCGCTACAAAATGTTGCAGCATACATTGCCTCCAAGAATCAATGTATTACTCTCATTGTCGTTGGTGGCACCATCAATACAATATTACTCCGGAGTCGCCCCAATACCCACGATGTGGACTTTTTCAACGACAATCTTACACCTGCTGAGGTCAAGTGCCTCTCGAAGGCAACAAAGTCAGCATTCAAAAGAAACCGCACGCTGGGGCAAGAATGGCTCAACAATCATATCGTTCTATTCATTCCTCTCCATATACGGCGCATTCTCCTTATGGAGGCTCTTGACCAGCATGCAATTGTTTTTCAAGCTCCGGGGCTCACTATTTTTGCCGCCCCTTGGACATATCTATTTTGTACCAAGATGCATCGCCTATCTGGTAGTGGAATAAGCACTGTACAACCTTATGATCAAGATGACGCGGTTCACTACTTGGAGAAATACCTTTCCCAGCACTCTACCGCAAGTGTGACCCAGGTCATTGTGCGATCATGGTTTGCTCAGTATCTACTTCAGTGGACAACAGAAACAGCAATGTTACTCCCGGCAGTTAACTCAACATACAAAATTATATTCAATGTCCAGCATGATCCAATCAACCTCAATAACTGAGTTTTCAAGTCACTTCCACCATGGTACCGACAACTGCATACGACAACTACAATGTGGGGGCTGTCGTACTGGCAACAGTGTGGGCCCTTACTTCAGCTGTAGTTGTCATCATAGCTTGCGGATCGTCGCCAAGGTCGAGATTTCCCTCTTCGAATTGATGTCGATGATGTTGTGATAATCAGCAGCCTTGTGCTTTGGACCTGTTCCCCTCCCCCGGCAGGACGGAGGGCTGACCCTGTCATTATGCTTCTATTAATTCTAGATGTCTCTCTTATAACAAACCTCTAGCTATTCTATCTCTTTAGCGAGGTGGATAAGTTTAGTAAAGAAATTATTAAAATTATCTTTTAGCTTTAGTATTAAGCCCTGGTATTAGTTATTAATACGCTTTAGCGACGCAATTTAGGTTATTAGAAACGCTCTCTAGATATTCTATAATATTTGAGGCGTCTTGGTAAAGGTCTGAGGTACTTTTCGATAAAAAAGATCAAAATAAAAAAAGCCTTACCCTTATAATAACTCGCGATATAGATTACGCGATCTTTAGTAGTTAGATAGTAATTAGCGTTCGCTACTATTGCTTCTATTAGAACGCATACAAAGATCTTGACTGTAGGCTGAGTCGCTTCCTTAACCCTATTGTTCTCTTATAAATGTACTCTTGGTTACCGTGATTTAGCACGCATAACTCACCTTACAGGTTTCCTATCACACATATGTATTCACATGTATGAGTTTATGTTGGATTGCCAAAGATGCCTGATGCAGGATGAGCACCAAAATTTATAGACACAGTTTCAAATTGCACGTTTATGTCTTGTTGATGCTGCAGTCCCTTTTGCAGTTCTAATTACAGGTGCTCCAAGAATGATCTTTCTATATAGCGAGCTAATAAATAACCTGGAGGAGCCAAGCTCAAGTCTCTATCGCGAAGATTTAAGACATGCCATGACCCCCGCAATCGCTTTCAATGGTCTTGCAATTGGGTTCTTGAGTGACACACCCCATGGTTGATAGCAAATAAACCACCGCATGATGACAATTTGATGTTGCATATTCCAATGGAGTTCGGCGGCACAAATGCTCCTGAAATTCCGTGTCAATTCCTTGTTCAAGCAGACTCACGACCACTGGCAAGTGCCCGTATTCTGCTGCCCAGGACAATGAAGTACGACCCTGTTTGTCCTTGCTATTTGGATCAGCGCAGCTTTCAACTAGAGTATTCACAATAGACACATACCCACCCCAGGCTGCATATGAAAGAGCAGATTTTCCAAATAACTCATCCCCGTCATTGGAATCAGCACCACCCTTGAGAAGAATGCGTATCATAGACTAATTTCCACGTCTTGCTGAGGTTGACAATGGAGACTGGCCATCATTCTTTGAATCTTTTTTATGGATTTACTTTGTTTCAAATTTCATATTAAACGCCTTGCCCCCTCCCGCTGTTGCTTATCTTTATATTATATCCCCAAACCGCGAGGTCTGATGCTTTTGTCTGAATTAGAATTGAAATTCATTCAAATTAATATTTTGAATATTATACTCACTCCATTTTATAATCTAAAAAAGAGACTGTCGTTGTTACCAAGTGCTCCTTATATAGTGAGAGCAGTTTGAGGACAAAGTCCTCAAATCCTAGTCGTTTACCAATAACGCAGCGGTTTAGCTTTTAGAATGCTTCCTAGAGGTTAGGCGGTGACAGTCGTTGCATTACCTTTCTTTGGTAGTAGTTAGTAATCTGACTGAATCGAAACGTTGGGCTTTTGTCTATGTGCTCTGCCCTGCAAGGTATTAATTGATAGAAAGAAACATCTATAAATAGGGGGTAGGCTAGCTGTTTGGGTGGGACGGGAGGTGAATAGGAAGTTCTATTCCTACAAGGGATTTCCCAAAATAATCCTATCCTATCCTTAGCATCCTATTTGCCATCCTAAACGGCCAGCCTCAACTATTACGTGGAGTTGGGCTTCACTTTACCCTATAGATACCTAACTATAGAACAGGAGATAAGAATATCAAGAAGAAAGGATTATAGGTTAAGAAGAAAACAAAGATGTAATGTATTCTAATATACCTCTTATATCCCATATTCTACTACTTTTATAATCATCGATACCAGCTAATGAAGGCGGTGGCTCTCTGCCCTTCTGTCTGTAAGTAAATTCCCTTCGCATTTTCGCTATTCAGATGGCTTCGTAGCGTACACAAACGTCCCTTACCTAACTACTTCAATCTTAGCCTCTCCCACTTACTACCGACTGCGAAGAAAACCGCGACGCCGGCGTAAGCTGTAACAATTAAGAAGACAGCGCGCAGACAATAGAGATAGGCCTGCACGATGCCTGGAACAGCATCGGCGGGGAAAACATGGCGGATCTCAGTAGCGCCTGTGGCGATGACGCTGAGCGGGTCGACACCAGGCGCCATGGACGGAAGCTTCGACAAGAGGACATTGCTTAGCACGGATTGGCCAGCCCCTAGGGAAGTCGAGGAGCCGACACAGAAGGAAACTGGAGGTGGGGTAAGTTATTCATTAGATTTGCATGACTAGAGTGTGCAGGGCTTGACTTACATAACAGCATAGCTGATGTTGAGGCAAGGTCTTCTGGCTGAGCCTTGGCCTGACCCGCGATGATTGCTAGCGGGAGGCCAGACCCGTAGGCAAGCCCAGAGAGGATCTGATAACAAACCCACGCGGCAGTGGGGGATGTAGCACTCAGGGTATAGATAAGGCCAGAGCCAATGCAGCCGCCAGCACTTGCCCACAGCATGAGCGGGACATAGTGGCCATAGACCGAGACGAGGATGCCCGCAAGCCCGGAGCCTATGCCGCAGCTAATGAGCAGCGGGAGATTATGGACACCAGCCTCGGAGGGCGAGACACCCACGACGACCTGGAAGTAGATTGGGACGTAATAGAGCAGGAGATAAAAAGCTCCCTCGTGAAGGAAGCCGTATGCCATGCCCACAGCGACGACACGTTTCCTGAGAAGCCGCGACACAAGGAGGGCATGGTCACCCTGGAGGTACTGTGAGACTATAAAGGCTATTGCGGCGACGACGCAGGCGACGAGCAAGCCAATGACCTCAGCCGAGTTCCATGCATTGTAGATACCAGCTACCTCGAGCGCACGTGTGAAGAAGATGAGCGAGCCGAGGGCGAGCACGATGCCGATTGGATCCATGTGCGACAATTTCTCCTTCAGCGGAACCTTGGCCCGACGAGCGGATTTGGGGGGCTGGAACAGCAGAAAGATAATGATAGCAGCGGTGCCGCCAATTGGTAGGTTAACATAGAAGCACCAGCGCCAGGTCGTCTTCTGCGTGAAGACACCGCCTATGATGGGACCGAGGACGTTGGCAACGCTATAAACGGTGGTGATGAAGCCTGTGAAAATAGGCCGAAGCTGTGGGCGCACAACGACTCCCAGGATGGCGTATCCGCCCGACGCGATGCCTGCGCCTCCCGCGCCCATGATGGCTCGCCCGACAATGAGGACGGTGCTGTTGGGCGCAACGCCTATAGAAAGCAAGCTAGTCAGTTCTGGGACGGTATTCATGTAGATGTAGTGTTTGATTCCTTACCTGCAAGGAGTGAACCAAGGTCAAATATAAAAACGGAGGCTAAGAAGGTGTACTTGATCGAGAAGAAAGGATATACCTTGCCCCTGCGAATTTTGAGTTAGTAAAACCTATGCAGGAGGTGTAGACGACTTAAGGTGTGGAGAGAAAGAACTAGGTACTTACCAGAAGGGCTGGAAGCAAGCCAGCGCAATAAAAAAGGCCGAAGCGTACCAACCAACGAGGTTGATGCCTTTGAAATCATCAGTGATGCGAGGGATGGCAGTCGCAATGATAGTCTACTGCGACCAAAATAATAAGAAACGCAAGCATGAGCGAGTAAAAGAGGCAATAAGCGATCAACACTTACCATATCCAAACCGACCTATGACATCCACGTTAGCATTTGATAGTTACAGTAAGAGTGATGGTTAATACCAAAAAGAGGCCCAGAGCAACACCGACAGAGATGCAAGCCGCCCAGAAGGCGCTAGGATATTCGACAGTATCACTTTCACTATCACGGGCGGGTGCTTCCCCATTGTAACTATGCGGAAGATCAACCGTGTTCTCGGACTTCGACTCCATGGCGGCGTGGGTAGAAACCTAAGGGGTCCTAGGAGAGGAATGGAAAGAGAAAGGAAAGCGGAGAAGGGAGGTGTAAGAATTTTGGGCGAGATAGAGATTAGAAACAGAAGGATTAAGGCGTTTCCATTACGTTAGAGCGTAAGTGTATGCAGGCTTCCAAAATAGGTGTAATTAATATTTGTGTTCACTTATAGTAAAGGGTTTTTTGTCGGAGTACATAATATAGGGACCAATCAGCGGCGAAAAGAACTCTATATTTCTGTACCCTTGGTTCTGGCAATTTGTACGGAGTAGTTAGGGGATTATAGCTGAGCGTTACCGAGGCTATTATCCATTAATCGGGTCTCCATAGTCTGTTCGTTCGGACATTTTTGGCCAGTCACATGTGTTGTTCGCATTTTAAACCTATTCTAGGCCCTAGTCAGCCTAGTGAATGTGAATCAGCGGAGCGGACGGACAATAAGGACGGAAACTAAAAAAATCAGCCGGATAGACCCGGAACGCACCTTACAGCTACATATTAGCTCATTTTGGGGAAATAGTGGAAATTGAGCGGTGTGGACTTGTGCCATAATGTCTAAACAGTCAATTGAGCAGAATGATGGTGCTTTCAGAACTGCTAAGGTTATCTATCGGCCTAATATCATAAATCAAAACAGGAATGGCTCGTCTTTATAGGAGGACTAGATCCCGTCTGTTCACGTTCAGTATTTCAAACGGATGCGTTGTGTGATAAACGAGACAAGCTGAAGACGAACGACTCAAATCCTCGATTATCAATAACGTATTCGGTAAGCGAGCGACGCGCGCCAAAACACTGTAGTAAATGCGATAAATTACAACTTTATATCTCCACGGCCATAGCTTCTCGTAAAGTCTTCCTGTATAAATATATTCTTTATATTGAGTCTGACGTATTTTGAAGGTCTCAAAAGTTTTAAATATATATTTTCAATTCACCACGTCTTGAATGCTCAGACCTACACATTACAGTGTGTTTTATGGTAAACGTAGACATATCATAATTAAATTATCCCAGACCCCTAAATTAGGCTACTTGTGCTCTAAATTAGTGAATTACTGAAAGCTAAGTAGAATAAGCTTGTGGGTGTTGAAATATTGTGTTCTAAATATCGCATTTATTACGGTGTTTTTGGGGTGCGCCGCTCGCTTACATGCGCCACTCGCTTTCCGATTACGTTAGTCAGGGGGATGCTGAATGATCAGGATAGGGCCCTATGATTGGTTATTATGAGAGATGCATATAGAAGGCGAAAAGAGAGCGGTTTAATAGGATAAAAACCAGGGGTTTTACTGTGTAAACCAGAATTAAAAATCTCTGCGGGTAAGAAAATTGGCACCTTAAAATATAGGCATGATTAATTCGGCAGAAGTGTAGGTGCCTAAGAAATCGGACAGGGGATTGGTAGTATCAATCCTATATATTTTATAGTCCTTATAAGTTGAGTACATACGACCATAGGGTGTGGAGAACAGGGCTTCCCGTCCGCTCAGCCGTACTTAAGCCACACGCCGGCAGGTTAGTAGTTGGGTGGGTGACCACCAGCGAATCCCTGCTGTTGTATGTTTTTGTTGTTTTTCTTAGTTTTTTGACTTCGCCCGGAACTTCGGCACTTCAAATGTTGATGTAGAAAGCCGAGTGTTGATATGTGTTATACGCATATTTTCCTAGCCAGAAGCGGTTAGAACCTGCCGCTTTGGCCTATAAATTACAGGTTTTAATTTCGGCTAGGTAAAATCAAGCTTTGCCAAGGATTCCAAGATTCCTTCTGTTACAAACCAATTTATGTGAGACTAGTCCTGGCCCCCTAAAACATAGGGTCGTATCACATTCATGACAGACTTTGGTAGCGCCCTTGAATTTTCGTACAATAAACCGCTAATAAATTTCTCAAATTCACGCTTTAGTACAAAACGGTTTGTATATGTCTTCGGCTATCACTTGTTTGGCTTCTCATGATCCTTCGTCCCTCAGCCTCTCACAAATCGAAAGAAAGGTAGTCAAAGCGATGAGGTTGAAATCGAGACCGTAGGGCACTAGTACTTCTAGTGATCCAAGTTTAGGATGATCGAACGTCACGTCGGGGGCTATAGCAGCCACGTTGTTGGTGGCTTCATCCACTAACTCTAACCTTGACGTACGCTTCCAGACGAAGGTTTTGTACACACTGTCGTTTCCGTGGCCAGCACGCACCACTGCGGAGAAACGGTACAGTTTGGAAATGGCAATCTTGCGGTCTGTATCCGACCACCACATGGTAGAGCTTTCGCCACTGGGGCTTTTCAAAATGCCGATGTCGCATTGACCAGTTTTCTCTCTGAACTCGCAGTGGCACAGTTCCCGATCGAGCTCTTGACCGCACAGATAGATAACTAGATTCGGCTTGGTGAAGTTCCATCTGTGAGCGCGGACGTAAAGCCTGGGATGTCTGTCTGAATGGACCTGATAATCGCGATTGGTTTCACAGAATATATGAAAGACGTCGTGGTCCGTTGGATTTGACCCCCGCTCCGAGATTCCTGTGCTTACTAAGGGATCATGAGCGTCGTATGGCGGTGGGAGATCATGTTCCATTGTCACTTCAGGAAGATATTAGGACTGCAATGGAGGGAGGGCGAGTGAAAGAAGCGAGAGAAGGTCTCGAAGAGCGATGCACGTCAGTCTATTTGGGGGAGAAAATACCGCTAGCCTAAAAATGGTGGCAACTTTTCGGTACGTACTGTCAATTCCTGTAATTAACAACACGGTAATTTATCATCCGACCGATCATCGGACCTGTGTTAGTTAGCAGGAATGAAGGTTGTCCAAGCGGCAGGTGGTCGGTCTTCTTGCCCTTGCTGGCTTCCGGCAGGCACGGTAGCAACAACATCCGCCACAGCCGCAGCCGTCACAGCCGAGGAATTTATCGATAGGGCATCTTCGGATCCGGACCTTTTAACACGGCCACAGGCGGCACAAAATTCAGATACGATGGCGATGGCCACAGCTTTGGGAATGCTATCAAACACATACATTTACAATTCATGGTACGGGATGGATTTTGTAGGCATTGATATATCCATTTACAGATCATGGGCTATGGTGATACAAAGGGGCACAAGCCCAACAAGAAACAAAAAAAAAGGCACCAACACCATGGTCAACATGATCCCGTCAAAGGGAATCCCTTATGAGCACCGGAGAGAATATGCACGCAGAGTAGGAAAGATAGAAACCCAGTAATACACTCATGGGAATCGAAGCGATAATGGAAACAGGGAGGTTTGATGTTCGATAAAGAAGACACGGTGATGATTCCGTGTCTTCTCTACCACCGTCTCTTCAGGTACCAGCCGTAAGCCGGGGTGCTGACTGCCTCACCGAAGGGCGTGGGCACTTCAGCGGAACCGGGCCGGGCCACGGGGTGGCGTAGGTACACGGCGGCACAGATGTTCTGGTTGACTTCGAGGTAGCGCGGGATGAACGAGAAGGCGGACATGTAATCGCGCGGGCGCCAAGGTGTGGCGTAGGACTTGGTGTTGTCGATGGGGTTGTCGCGCATCTGGGTGAGAGCGCGCTTGAGGACGTCGAATTCTTCGTCGGAGAGCTCGGAGGTGTCGACCTCGCCGCCCTCGGCGGCAGACTTGAATGCCTCGGAGAGCTTGTCGCTGGCACCTTCTGATTCCTCGGCCACTGCAGTCTCCTCGGTCGAGTCCTTCTTATCCTTCTTTGACTCCTTGGGCTTCTTCTCAGCACGTTTGGCCTTCAGCAGCAGAGTCAGTTCTGAAAACTGAGATTCCAAGTTGTCGGTGAGGACTGTGCTGGTTTCGGAACGGGACAGAACACGGCGCACTGCCTTCTGGAACCCGCGCAGCTCCTGCTTGCGCTTGGCTGGGAGGACATCCTTGTCTTTCGACATGATGGTCTTGGCCTGAGCCATCAAGGCCTTGAGGGTATCTTTGGCATTCTCCACCTTATCCTCCTTCGCCTCGGCACCCTCCGATTTGGCCTGTTCCGTCTCGCCCTCGGTCTCTTCCTCCTTCTGCTTGAGTTGGCGGGTCTCACGTCGCTCGAACTTGGTCTTTGGGGCACCGGTTGCAAACATCACACGCTCGGGGTCGACTTGGAAGAGGTCACCGGGGTTAAGGAGATAACTAGGGTGTCTCATCTATAAAGCCGAGTACGTTAGCAAATGCAGTTCATGCCCCGAGGGAATCTCCAGAATCATACCTTGTGTCCATTAACTGTAACTGCACCGTGAATCACAAACTGTCGTGCCTGACGAGTGCTGCTGGCGAACAGAGAACGGAAGATCGCAACATCCAATCGGCGCTCCAGGGGAGCGAATGCCATCTGAGTGTAGGGTGTGAGACGTGCAGTCACCGAGTCCCTGCCACGCTTCTCAAGTCCGGAACCACGACCGGCTGATGTCTTGGATCCATCATCTGCTGCCAGGTCGGAGGTGCTCATGGGGATGACGCTGCGAATCCGCTTCGAGAACATGCGCTTCCACTGGCCCTCGCGGACCTGCTCACCGTGGTAAGCGCGGGAAAGAGCCTTTGCGGTCCATTTTTGTTGGAAGAATGTGCGGTTCGCAGTTGCCGGCGTGCGGAATCGTTGCAAGTTATACAAGTTGTACTTGCTCCATGATTGACGGATTTTCTGCGCGAGACGCAACAGTTAGTCTGTGGAAACGGTTCGCGTATCGAGGTCAATTGGGCTTACCCCCTTGGCTAGGGAAGTGCTGGCCCTGTTCCGCATTGTGGCGAGTGAATGGACGCAACTTTGGGGAAAGTTTTGGTGGTTCCTCGTCTGGCCTGTTGCTGGTGGATGCTGCTCTCCCAAAACTTCCGCATGTCACGTGACAAGGACCGATTTAACTCACGTGATATTTATACGTTCTGCCACCTGATACCGCCTCATCAATTCTGAGAGCCCTTATTGGCCAAGTCCTCTCTCGCTTAGCACTAGCGTCATCGGATTCGCTATAAATACCCGACCCTTCCCGCAACCCTTCCTCCTCTTTTCTTTCTTCTTCATACTTACCTTGTTTGGGTGGCTGCGATCAACACGGCGGTCCACCACAGATTGGTCCCTGCATTGCACAGCGCGGCGGAACAGTTTGTTCAACGGCCTTCGGGTCATTGACAGGCGTATTCTTTGGCACCTTCCACTCAGTGGACCTATCTTTTCATCACGCCTTGGGTCAGTGACCCGAGCTTGGAGAAGAGAAATGAACATGCCACGTAGCCAGTGTATATGTATGGTCCTACCATGGGGTCACTGTAGCTCTTAGAAACGTTGCTTCAGCTCCTCGCCCTTGAATCGTTTTCTTTAGACTGGTTCTAGCCTTGGAAGGGATGTCTTGAGGCCATTCCACACTTATCTCTGGTGCGATGCATCTGCTACTGCTTTTTTGTCAGAGTGTAGCGCCACATAGACGCGTTGGTTTCGCACAAGGCCTTACGCTGATTTGTGATCCCACAGATCTACCGACCACGACGACGAAATAGCCAGGGTGTTCGTTCATCTCCACCTTGCCGAGCTACAATCAATGATTCGCAACCAACGTGTCATGAGTGTAGTGGGTAGACCTCGCCTCCAGTTACCGTGTTACCAGCGCATGAATAGGAGTACAATCCTGGGAATCTCTCCCAATATACGGATGTTTAGCAGCATCAAAGTGTTGGAAATTGGAGCCCTCATCCTAAGGCGCCAATATCGGTCGGCATCTCTCTGCCCCGATGGCTGCTGATTGGTCAGCTAGGCCCATGAGGTTATTGGAAATGGGCGCCCGTATATGCAGGTTCCTTATCTATATCGCCTTCTTTGCTTCTTTTTAGGGGGTTTCCCCATGGACACCGGGCAGCGGTGTAGGAGAACATTTTTGTATGCATTTCTCTTAGAAAATAGTTCTCAGGGGTAGGATATAAATATCCCCCTGAGAACGAGTAGAAAAGACAATCAGAATTTACCATCAATTACCTATCTATCTTCTTTTCGTCTAATTATCTACCCCCTAATTCTCAACAGGTTATGAGCCCGGTTGTCTGAACCATAGACACTGGATACCCGCCTAGTTTACCTCACCTCTGAGAGGCCCCCTGGTCGTATAGATAGCATAGCATTATGCTATCATCGACCCATACTAAGACGGCTAATGCTGTAGCCACAACCGCTGTCGCTAGAGCATTTCCGCAACACCTAGTTCTATAGACGTCGTTGAGAACGCTCGTGGAACCCAAAGACGATAGACTAAGCGCGTAGATATCGCGCGAAACGGCTTATAAGTAGCTATATACACTAGACAGCGCTCAACAGTAGCCTAATAGACCCTCCGACGACGATGACCTATCCTCCGAGGATGATAAAGACGACGGCAACGATAGCGATGCTAAAGAAAGAGACGGCTCTAAGGATAACGATCCTCTAAGGGCCTCCAGTGCCCGCGGCACATCCTTAGCACGTCGTCTAAAGAGCCGGTCGCCTATCCTAGGCACCGATATCCCCAAGGATAGCAAGAAGCGTATTAAGCACGTATTCCGTGCTATTAAGCGTAGTGGAGACTACGTATAGGTAGAGAGACTCACTAGCGCGCCTACCTATTGTTAATAGCGAGAAAACATCTCCGTAGCCCTTGAATAGGATAGCCTAATAAGTATCCTCGACGGCACTATTAAGGAACCCCTGAAGGACCACGACCTTTGATTCGAATGGGAATCCATTAATATCCGCGCTAGAAGAGTCCTACTAAGCACTATCTTAAAGGAGATAAATAAGGACCTCGCGTAGTACTATCTACGGCCACGCTTTATCTAGAAGCAGATTAATTCTTAGCACTCCGTCTTAGACATCTAGACGACGCGCGACGGTTTCGACGCACTTAGACGTATAGTTATTAGCCGCTGCTCTAGAGTAGCAGATTACGTCTATAAGATCGAGTAAGTATACGAATATATATAGATAGGACGCCCCTAGAACACTAATTAGGAGATCAATCGATGCTAGCACCTCCTTACTAACCTAGACACGCCTAGATAGAAGGACTAGAAGTAGAACTTCCTCGAGAAAGCCGAGGAAAAGAGATAGACTAAAGATCTATTTAATTTCCGTAAGATCGCACGAAAATTATTACTTATAGAGACTAAAGAGAAATAGCTATCTCTAGTCTTCTCGACGAGTATAAAGAGCGGAAAAGGACGCTCTTATAGGCCCCCTAATAGCCGCAGCGCCTATAAGCACTACGGAAAGAGCGGCTATAATATTAACTAATACTAGAAGAAATACCTAGACTAGCGCCCACTACGCCCTCGCGGAAGCAAAAGCAGCGAGAGTATAGGCAGTAAGACTTTAAATCAAGACGATTAAAGTAAAGATAGCTTCTATACTATAGCTATAGAGGTCATTAACCCCCTAAGCTACGCGCTATCGATAGAATTAGAGATCCTAGATATACTACGGTGGATTATAGATATAGCCTATAATAAATATATAGTGTCCTTAAGCGATTTCTTTACCCCTAGAAGCACTAGAAAGGTAACTAGGACGGTCTAGATAGCTCTAGCTACTAAGAATGTCGACTATATTATTAGCGATATCAAGATAGTATTATATAACGCTAGTCGCGAAGGACAGCGAGTGCGCCTATATAACGTACTATATATACTAGGGATCTACTATAACCTTATAAGTAGCCCAAAATTAGCTAATAGAGGCATCAAAGCCACGTTCGACTATAGAAACCTCGCCCTACGGATAGAAGATAGCACACTACTAGCCACTAGCACTAGGCGAGGACGTCACTAGCTCCTAAACGTTAAAGAGATTATATAGGACGCTATAGACGTCCTAAATATATCTATAGAAATGTCTATGGAAATACTTACGGAATCCACGATAGCTACCGAAGCTATAAACGCGTAAGACCCTAGAGATATAGTTATAGCACGCACAATCAGCGAGGTAGAGCGATAAGAATCGCTAACCTCTAAGCTAGATTAGTCAAGACTAAACGTAGAGATATAGCACCGCCGTCTCTGCCACCTAGGCATAAGCATTATCGCCTAAGCGGCCTAAATATATAAGGGCATTAATATTAAAGGCCTAACGGTCCCAAAACGACTATACCAGCCCTACGTAGTAGGAAAAGCGCACTAAAGGATAAGACGCGCGATACTAACTATCCCGCGCTTAACTAAGCCAAGAGAGCTTATCTACGTCGACCTCGGAGGAGGCGGTAGGCTATCGAAGGGCATTAACAACGAGAGATACTAGGTGGCCTTTATCGACGACTACAACGAATAGGCTATAGTTAAATTCATTAAGTATAAGAGTTACGCGAAATATATAGTCTAGGAATTCGTCAAGGAATACGAATGGGACTACGAGACGACTATTTAACGCCTACACTCGCTAGTAGATATAGCTAGCCTCCTAGACCACTAATAGCGCTATCCACCGCGTAGAGACACTATCGTAGGCTTCTAGAGCGACCACGGGGGCGAATTTATTAATACGAGCCTATAGTAATAGGCAAAAGATAGGAATATAGTATAGTTCTTTAGCGCCCTATATATCCACTAGCAAAATGGCAAAATCGAGCGCCTAATACGTGTCCTCGGCGAAAGAACTAGAGCTATCCTCGAGGATAGCAAACTGCCCCTATTCCTATAGCCAAAGATTATATGTAGTGTCGCATTTACTCGTAACCTTCTCCTATACTATAGAAGACGCATCGAGGGCGTAAAATCCCTATACGAGATTAGATATAGCCATAAACTAGACATTAGCTTCCTAAGTATTATCGGCAGCGACGTCTATATCGTCCTATAGTAAGAGCAAATACGCAAGAACCTAGTGGGCTAACATCTCGTAGACCGCGTATAGATAGGCAAGCTAGTTAGCTATAATAGCCTATATAGCAGTGGCTACTAAGTCTATAGACCCTACCGAAACGATCGCCCTCGGGGCATAATATATAACGTCCGCGATATTATTATCGACGAGGGTAGCGATTTTACTATCTATAGCAACCCCGACCTTCCTACCACTAATACGAGCGCGAGAATAGCTACCGAGGGTAAGGGGGAGGCATAAATAGACGAAAAGGATAGCAGCGAGGCCATCGAGGATAAGGCTATTATTATTCTTAATAAGAGCGATGATTCTAGCTAGGAATCTAGCTAAAACACTAAAGATTCGAGCGATTTAGGGGCTGAATCGACAGAATCCAAGGCCTCTAAGAAAATAGCCTCTATTCCCTACTTAGGACTAGCGCCCTATACCCTAGCATTAGACGTATTAGCTATTTTAGCTATCTTAGTATCGCTAGCACTAAAACCGATCCGCTAGCGTCTCGAAACCTTGGCCCTAAGTACTACTATCACGAAATCCCTCTCGATAGACTAACTAGCCACTAGTAAAGCTACTAAAGGACTACTAGAGCTACCCGCACTACTAGATCTATCGACCATCGATATAAAATAGATAGACTCACCGTAGAGCCTTAAGGACGCCTAGAGATCGCTACTCTAGCCCTAGTGGTAGCGAGCTATACAAACTAAAAAGAAATAGCTAGAGATCCTAAATACCTAGGAAGTCGTTGAGCCACCTAAGAATGCCTACATTCTTTTAGGAAAATAGGTATTCAAGCTAAAAACGAACGTAGACGGTACCCTAATAAGGTTTAAAGCTCGCTAGGTCGCACGAGGCTTTATGTAGAAAGAAGGAATCGATTACGACGAGACCTTCACTAGCACTAG